ATTCTATTATATATATCTATATATTATCTTCTACTAGCTTTACTACTAGGTCTATGTTAAATATATAGGCTTATTCTCTATATTCCCTTAGTATTATAGCCTTTATACTACTAGCCTTACTAGCCTCTTTGTCCTTCTTTAGTACATAAGTAAGTATCTCTAGTGCCCCTCTAGTGTCCTATACCCTAGGTATTAGATTATAGAGGGGTCTATAAAGACTACCTTAGTATTCTTTAGGGCCTTCTTAACTACCCTTTAGCCTTATATAAGTTAAATATAGTTCTTACCTAGTAAATAAGTCTAGCTAATTATTTTTTACTTAAGGTTAAGCTTTACTACTTACCCCTAGGGGATCTCTAGGATAATATTATATCCCTTATATTACTTACTTATAAAGTATAGCTTTATATCCTTAATATTCTAATATTATTTTTTACCTTTAATATTATCTTCTCTAAACTATAGTCTAAGGCCTTACCTCCCTATATACCTTATAGTAGTAGTCTCTCCTTATAGACTACTAGTAGCCTCCTTGTGTATAATATTCTCTAGTATATAAGGTTTTTATTTACCCCTAGGTTAATTAATGCCTTCTTTTTTCTTTATATACTGCTTATCTTAGTATAAAAGTCTACCTTAAATTAGTAGTATAGTCTCTTCTCCTAAGGTAATTAGATAGTGTTAACCTTTATTACCTTTATTATATACTATTTACTTAAGTGTCTAGGCTAACTATATCTATAGTACTTCTCTTTAGTATAGCTAACTAATAGATGCCTTAGCTTACTATAGTTAAAGTAAGTTAAAAAGTACTATAGTCTAGTTAAAGGTAAATAGTTACCTTTCTCTTCTTTTACCCTTAGGGCTTCTAGTATTAGTATTAATACACCCTAGGTTATTATAGGCGTAGATATAAAGTATATAGACTAAGGCTCTATTATAAGGACCCTTATATTAAGACTTAGTAGTATAGCTAGGGCCTACTAGTTTCTTTACTTCTAATTCTACCTCTACTAGTCTACTAGTTTATCCTTAGTGTAAGCTTTAGCTAGTGTCTTAGCCTATTATATAGTATTATTAAAGGCTTATTATATCTTTAGTATTCCCTAGGCTAATATATAGCTCTTTAGATTAAATAGTAACTAGTTAAGTATATAGACTACTTATTACCTTTTAGCTTATAAGTTAAAATACTTTACTTTAATAGTCTTATACTTATTAATAAATTACTAGTATAACTAGCTAACCTTTTACTTTATATTATTAAGCTTTACTATTATACTAAAGGCCTATATATTAGTATTAGTAATATTATTCTTTAACTAGGTCTTTATTACCTCCTAGGTTACCTTCTTTATCTAGCTATTATAGTAAGCTTTAATATACCTCTACTACTTATATACTAGGTTACCCTCTAATATAGAGCTAGTGTACTATACTTTACTTTAGTTATCCTTAAATTCTTTTTTTATAACTTTAAACTATCCCTTTAGCTTAAATAGGAAGTCCTAGAGGTTATTCTATATACTCCCCTTATATTAGATTAAAGGTAACTACTTTAATAGTACGTTAATATAGTAGCACTTATACTCTAGCTAAAGAGTAGTAGCTAGGCCTAGTGTATTATATACCTTTTTAATAGGGGCCTTATTTATTAAAGCTAGAATCTAGTTAACTATCTTTCTCTTCTTAGCTTTTTTTACTTACTCCTCTAAGAGGTGCCTAAGCTTCTCTTCTGTTATCTCTTTAAGGTTACTTTAGAGCTATTATTATACTAGTAGGCCCTTATTTTTTACTTATGCCTAGGTGTTACTACTGTCTAAGGTTAGTTACCTAGAGGTAACGCTTATACCTTACTAAGCAGTAGCTTAGGTGTTAAGAGGTAATATTATAGCTCTAATAGTTAATACACCTAGGGATAAGTAGAGATTAGAATATATTAAAGGTATTATAGTACTAAGTAAAGGAGTCTATAAATAGTGTAGTTAAGGTTAATTATAACTATTTTCTAATCTGCCTTCTCCTAATTCTCTTGTTCCTATAAACTCTGCTTTTGTATAACCCTTAGATAATAGTTTTCCTAGTCATAGCCCTATAGCTGGTGGTCCCCTAGTGCCCCCCTACCTCTGGCACCTGACACACAGATGTAACACCAACGAGGAGGACAGCAATTGAGGTCAGGGTGAATTTCATGTTAGGCGGAGTGAGACTACTGCGCGTTTGCTCAAAGATTGTAAGGTTGGAAAGTAACGGGCCGGCCGAAGTACTAAAAGCAGAGAATAGATAATAGAAGACGTCCAAGTATAATCTGATTTTGTGTCTATTGATACCCTGAAGCTGGAGAGTGGTGGGCAGTATATATAATAATTGCTCACTAGCAAAGTTAATCATATGTCTATCCGACTTACGTGAATCAGTAAGATAGAGGTAGTCCTATAGGTGTGCGTCGGACATGAAACCAGGGTGCGTACTCCTAGAATGCCAATTCTGGATACGGTATCCGTATAGCCGAACTAGATTTTGGGCTGAATGGTACCTAGTACTACATGTTTGACGGTGAAACTAGACGCTGTATTTCTTTAAAGTGGATTAATATACAATGCAGTACGCGAAGCATACCAGCCAACCTTGAGGGCCTATTTATGCCCACTTTTCCCTCTTATCTTAAGGGGTACATTGCGATACATCATTTACCGCTAAGTTAATTTGGCTGCTTTCACAGCTAACATTATTACCTATATTTTAGTGTCGTCTTCCGAAATTGGAGCCTCTAACGTCTCAAGTACCTCTAATGAGACCCTTCGGAGGTGTATAACAGTTGCTATACTACTCGAGAAACTTTTGGGCACGTGTACCTCTAGCCGTACGCTAGAGCAATGTGAACTAAGTCCCTACAAACCGCTTGACTGTTTCCTGCCACATCTGCTTACACAAATATTCAAGGCGCTATAACTTATGTGAATCCTATAACTATTATTTCTTGTTAGGAAATGTCGGTAAATCCTTGGCCTTTTAATTTTGGCCTCTTATAGATCTAATTTATTATAAAAGTGGAGTGGTTTCATTAAATACCTCCTGTAACATATCTGAGGCATTCTGTTACATGTAGGGGTTTGATATCTTAGAAATAACAGATTATAATATAATATCTACTATGGCACCTTAAGCCTATTCCTGTTTACCTCCCTTTCTTAACTATTGCTCTGTTTTCCTACCCTCTATTTAACTTCTGTAAACTCCTTTGTTCTAACTAGTAAGGATTATAATTTCTAGACATTAAAATAGACTACATAACTACTACGCTTTTTAGTTATTATAGCCTAACAAGCTATAAGAATAATAGCTCTACTAGGTCCTAAAAGTATAGATAGTATAGTCTTTATATAGGCAAGAAGACTAGGTTTTTTTATATAAGTCTATAAGAAAGAAGAGTAATAGAATATACTATATAATAACAAGATAAGATTTATATATTAATGTTATATAGGATATTGCCGACTGACACCGCTTTCTGGAACGACGTCGCTTATTAATCTAACCTTTGCTCCTTAATATAGATACTCGCGGCAGAATCCACCAAGCGAGGCAATATTTAAGGAACGTGGATTATAGCACTATAGATAGAAGAATTAAGCCACTTTTAACTATATAAATGACTTCCTAAACAGACTACTTAATTAGAATTAAGAAAATAAATACTAGAATAGAGATATATAGAAAGCTACTTTTTATAGTAAGCTACTTACTTTCTTTTTATATCTTAAAAATACTCTTTAACTGTTTTTAAAAGTCTAAATGTTATCTAAAATATATATTACTTTATATAGAGATACTAATAAAGATAAGAAAGTAAAAAGAAGTATTTTATAAATTATTATGTAGTATAATATCTATAACTTAACCTTAACATTTATTTATAAATATCTTAGTCTATCTTATTTACTTAATACTAGCTTACTATACCCTATAGCACTAGTAATAAATGTCTCTTTAAGCACTATTGCCCTTACGTTACGACAGTCTAATAAACAAAATTAATAAGCTATACTACATCTAGTATTTAGAAAGCTATAATTTTATTCTATTTTTATTATAATATAATATAAGGTATTAGTTATATTACTATTACTAATAGTGTTGTTTTTAGTATAACAGTTACAAGGCTAGTTTACTCTAGTCCTAGTATAGTATAGCCCCAGTGTCTAGTGTCTAAGTTTTATAGAACCTACAGGTTTAAATCCTGTTAAGGCCAAGGACAGGTCATAGATACCCCACCTAAAGGTATACAGTAACTACCTAGACTTTAGCAAGATATACCTAATTAGAAGGTTAAAAAGTTATAGTAGTATTTACCCTAGGGGTTCTAAGTGTAGATCTTTGGGGGGCTATAGAGGCTTCCTTCCTAGAGTAGATCTATATAAACAGGGCTACCTGTGATCTAGGGGGGTGTGTCATAATGTGATATAAGGTGTCAGTTGTATTACTGTAACTAACGGCGTCGTTTTTAGCGCAACACTTTGTTTTTTTCTTCTTGCACACAAAGGTCCCCTAAAAAGCAACTTCTTGAAGGCTACCTTTTAATGTCTTACGTAGGTTGTACCCTGGGCACGAGGAGCTCTCTTGCCGAGTTTATGAATCACCTTGGTACAGATTTCAAACGTAGAAGGTATTAAACACTATAGTACTAGGTTTAACTTTGTAGGTAAGAGTGCTATCCTAATTTCCGCAATTTATACATACAGCGTATAATAACCCTAGCAATAGGCAGCAAGAAAAGCCAGGAAGTGTACAAGATTATATACGTTTCCTACATAAGATATATATTCATATATTAAGCCGAAATACAAAGATTCTAACATATAAGCTTAGCCTCTGTAAATGAGCAGTGTACATATGTGAGTGGTAATAATATGTAGATATTGACTCTGTAGTAACATGGAAAATTTTAGATGAGGCTAGCCTTGTAATTATGATCCTCCGCCGACAGAAGATAGCTAAAATTAGAGTTCGCACTGCCTGGCATTTAGGCTGCTTTCCGAACAAGTGTAGCCAGGATAAGGAGCGTCCCAAGGGCGCTCAGCTGTATCGTAGTTGAAATAGTGCGGCTTCTCGTTCCATTGGAACAGGTCCTCCAATGCCGATGCCACTCGAACCAACTTGGCTTCCTCCCATTGCCTTCCATAAATGCAAAGTCCATATGGAGTTGCGTAGTCATCTGCTCCAGTAGGCACAGCAGCAATCGGGTAACCTGCATATGATGGCAAGGGAGCGCATGCATTTCCCCTATTTCCGTCTCTTCCATTTGGCACTAGCACCCCATCCATCTCAAGGATAGTTCCGTCTTCTCCCACATAACTGTACATATTATCAATAGCCTGTCGTGCCGTAAAGCGACCCCAGCCAAACGATGTCCAGAATGCGGTACCAAGGTTGCCTTTTGTGGCAACCCCAGCATCGTAGAAGGATTGGCCTGTCTTAGGATCCCACCACCAAGTGTTGTTTCCCAACGCTCCTGTGGTTGCATTATTGGCGTCGTTCCATTCGGCCATCTGCGCTAGAGAACTCATGCCATGTCTCTCGTCACCTTCTGGGAATGTCCAATTTTGCAGCCACTCGCCATACCCGACAGCAAGCAGTGTGTTGAAAGCAATTGCATGGTTAAATTCAGGTGCGAGGTCTGAGGGATGGCCGGCGCCATAGGGGTTTACGATTTGCGATAGTCCTGCATTGTGCTGGAACCTTCTGTTAGCGACTAAAGGCGTCGTGTGAGTGGGGCACTCACTGTCATGTTGTAGATCTTAGCCCCAGCATCCTTCAGCTCCTGGATACGTTTCTCGTAGTCCTCCCGGTTGTTTCCACTGTTTATATGCTGAGATCAGCACAAGTTAGCAATGGCCTATCGATGATCATATTCAATTACATACTGCACCCGTCGACCAAAAGGGATTCCACGGAAGCCCTAGGTTCATACCGCGAAGAGCCTCCTTGCCAACCACCTCTGCAGAGTATCCCTTCACAGGATCATGTCCAATTGCCTCGGTTGTGAGGTTGTCATAACGGTCAGGGCCGACCATAATATCAAGCATGATCGATACGTCTTCCATTGAGCGAGCCAATGGCCCTGGGGTATCGTGGTAATAGCTCCCAGTAACAACGCCGTGACGAGAAATCAAGCCTGGGGTCGACTTAACAGTATAAACTCCCAGTTGTGCAGCCGGATGGACGAGAGAACTATCTCAAATGTTAAACAGGTCAAGCAAGAACCGACACAGGATGAGTACCCATATGTTTCTGTGCCCAGTGCAATTGCCACCTGGTTGGTTCTCACGGCAACGACCGAGCCACAGCTACTCCCAGCGGTAGGCTGTGTCAAGTTGTAGGGGTTTCTGGTTTGTCCCGTTCTGCTCGAATAACCGCTAGCGTAGTTGGAGGTTGCGCGGTGATCAGCAGCCTCGGACATGGTTGTGTGGCCAAGCAGTACGCCGCCGGCAACTCGTATCTTTGTGACAACCGTTGCTTCGGATGAGTATCTTCCACCAAGTAGAACCAGCGTTCCTTCACTGGTGTTATGTCTATCATCAGTGTAGTAATTATCCTTAACAAGGAATGGAATGCCGTGGAGTGGTCCCCTGACCTCACCGCTGGCACGCTCCTTGTCCATCTGCGCTGCAATCTCCATAGCATCGGGATTGACCTCGCTGATTGAATGGAGGTACCTGCCGATGATGTAAGTTGGAGATCTTGGTTGATTGAGTGATGGATACGTGCCTGTTGGTCTTCTCAATTCTTGCTAGATAGCACTCAACCAAGTCCTGACTAGTAAGATGACCATCCGACATCCAGCCCTGCAATGTAACGATAGATGCATCTTCTATCTTCACTCCTTTGCACAAAGGCACTGGTTACGATAAGCGGAATTTGCTACTTAGGCGATGAGCTGCTTTACTCACTGGGAAACGGGCCACAGCAAGATGCATATGCTAGAGGCGTTCCAATCGCCCCAAGGGCCAGGAGCGTAGAAAAGTACATCTCGCCGTCCTGTGCTACAGGGTCTGCAGTACTAAGTCACTCAGTCAAGAAAGCCAAAGCTATGTTCTTTTTAAATGCCATTCTTTTTTTCATTACATTGCGATACCGGCACTTTCTTATCTCCAACTCATAGTAACATCCATGTCTATGTGGGTTAGTCTGATAGCTCCTCTAGTGGGTATGATAAGATGCCGCTTGCAGTGGAGTTGTGCGTAATAAGATTCATGATAATGACTGTGGGTCTTGGGAAATAGTCGCCTTCAAGTGCCTAGGCCTGTATTTCCAGGCCAATACCATGACCGACGAGGTTTAAAATGCCATGTGCTGGAAGCATTGCTAATGTCGTCCACCACTTTCTGCTTCTCGGGCGCCGATGCATTTTCTGAGAGCCAAGCGCTAATTTCCATCGTTGGATCGTCCGACTAGACCTTGCTTTATTTCCCTCAATCTTGAAAATAGTATCTACAAAAGATATTAACCTGAATTCAATAGAAACAAAGGTAACTAAGCACTGCGAAGACTTTAACTGTTCAAGTAAAGAGGACTTTTGTTTGGTCTAGTAAGTAGATTACTCTCAGTTCTATTGATGAGGTGGTAAACAGCTTTAAATATAGTTCTTTCAAATCATCAGTCAATCGAACTTTAAGTTTATATGTCCTCAGTCATCATCCCAACTTTGAGAACTCTAATAAGTATCCGCCGGATCTATGCAAGGGGCAAGTGTAAGAAGAAGTCACCGGTAACAGAAGGTAGGCCTTGTTCCTTCCTGGAATTCTGGTAAGAACATAGTTAGCCGCCACAATGACCATATTCCTAGAGGTAACTGACTTGGTGCCTTCCTTAACCTGCGATATAAACAAAATCGTCCTTCGGATCAAGTAATCAGGATGGAAGTGACCGGACACATTCATCATGTAGCCGGAGACTTAGGTGTTCTAGAAGTGACCTGACAAACAGAAATACCGCTTATCCATGGATCGCATCTGACAGGTGTGATTAATACGCGACGTTAGAGAACAGGTAACGCTTGTCAGAATATGCCGAAGGCTGCATCATCGTTACCCGTAGAGCTTACTAGAGCGCCTCTTAGTTAAAACTTCGTGTAGATCTGCCTGGCTAGCAATAAGACTCGGTCAATTGCCGATTCTGAAATGCCCTCTGATCTTCGGTTCCTCTTAATTTGGCGGCCTTCCTGAATCATGTAGATCCGGATACATCTAGCCTGCCCCAAGAATATCGAGGACAACAAACCTTATCAGCATCCAACAGAAATTGCTTAAGCGGGACCTCACCCTAATAACTTAACTAGATTTACCTCCCTAACATCTGGCCAGATTCCCTAAAATTCTTTTCCTTGTGCGTTCTATATAAACTTATCATCTCTACAGCACCAATCTTAAAATTTTCCCTCGTTTATAAAGGCCAACCCACTAGCATCAAACGTACCGAATTCTTCCTACATGTCGTCACCAACCACTCCTAGTTCAGAGAAGCATGCTCGTCCCGAGACCGAGCAAAATTCCCTCCCAATCTCGGACAATCTTGGACACGATCAAAACGCACTATCTAGGGATGGAACCATACAGCCGGCCAATCCCGCTGCTAAACCAGACGGTGGTCTTCTTGCTTGGATGCAAGTGGTCGGCGGATTTATTTTATTCTTCAACTCGTGGGGAATTCTAAGCACCTTCGGTGTCTACCAAACTACGTACGAATCAGGTGCACTTTTCCGGGAGAGCTCATCCAACATTGCCTGGATTGGAGCCATTCAATACTGTATTGCAATGTTGACAGGCTTCTGGGCTGGGCCTGTCTACGATCGCGGCTATCTACGGACGCTACTTTTCATCGGCACTTTTGGTCTTGTTTTGGGGCACATGTTCCTCAGTCTTTGCCATGAATACTGGCAGGTACTTCTTGCCCAGGGCTTTATGGTTGGCACTGCGGCAGGTTGTCTTTTTCTCGTGTGCATATCTACGCTTCCACAGTACTTCGACAGAAATCTCGGGCTTGCCGCTGGAATAGCGACATCGGGATCTTCATTCGGCGGGATCATTTACCCTATCGCCTATTATCATTCTGTCGACCGCGTCGGTTTTGCATGGGCTACTCGAATCCTTGGCTTCATCGCATTAGCTACGCTTGTGGTGCCTCTGTGTGTCATGAAGGCTCGCATGAAGCCAGTAGTCGCGCGGTCCTTCGTCGATTGGACCGCTTTCAGAGACGGTCATTACATGGCTTTCGTTCTTGGCACTTTTTTTGGTTCGATCACCATACTGATACTCAACACATACATCAGCTTTTACGGACAGAGCCGATCACTACTCAATGACGCCATGGCCTTTGACATCGTGTCAGTGTTCAACGCCGCCTCGTGTTTAGGGCGCATCCTGCCGAACTTCATCTCTGATATCTGTGGCCCTTTGAACATTTTTGCACCCTTCATGTACATTACCGGAGCTGTAGCTCTTTGCATGATGGCTGTAAGTAGCCAAGGTGGTATCATTGCTCTGGCTGTCATACTCGGCTTTTTGAGTGGCGCATTTCCATCGCTGCTACCCGTTTGCTTCGCACGTCTAACCAAAGACAAGAGCAAGCTTGGAACCCGTATGGGGATGGGGTACGCCTTATCGAGCTTGGGCTATTTAGCTGGTGGGCCTGGTGGTGGTGGTATCCTTGGCAGGGTTGAACCATTAGAGTGGAATGGGCTATGGATATATTGTGGCGTGTCTTCGTTTGTAGCCGCGTCGATCTATACAGCGATCCGTTTCTACGACACTGGATTAAAACTTCGCGCCAAAGCATAGAACTCCACAATAGTCTACTTGTCATAGAACCTGAATGTCTCTATACTAAGATGCTTAGATATTTATTGTAACTTATATAATAAGCAATCTAACTAGACAAGGAAACTAATTACCTAGTTATAACTATTGTATCTTCTTCTGTTCAATATATATCTAGTTCCTAAAAGTAATATAGTTTATAAATAATGAAGCTAAATTAGTCCTAGTAGTTATTTTATAACTATCCTTCATAAATATAGTCGCGATAAGTGGTCTAGTGCAGTTCACCCTATACATATGTACTATGTAATATCACAGTACATGAATCCTAGTACAAGGCACCCCTGACCTGTGCCGGATCTCGATATCTTAATACGTCATAGAATACCCGATAACGCAGAACAATTGCCGAATTTGACTTCACTTCAACCATGGCTGCATACGCCAACGACCTTCGGGCGCCGGAAAGTCGGCGGGGACTGCTGTTGAATAAGGTCGCGCGGGTTCGCGGGTGAGCCACGCTGAACGGCGATAATGGTATTGTCGAGCCTACCACCAAGGTCGCGATGGGTAAGCCTAAGGAAATAAATAGCAATGGTAGTAGTAATAACGTACATGCATAGCGAGCCGCGCACCTTAAGAAAAGTGGGGTATTTCTGGCTGGGCTGCACGCGAAAACACTGTTACGTAATTGTTAAGGCCCCTTAACAATTACGTAACAGTGTTTTCGCGTGCAGCCCAGCCAGAAATACCCCACTTTTCTTAAGGTGCGCGGCTCGCTATGATGCGCGACTCGCTATGCATGTACGTTAGTGGTAGTAATAGTGATTTAGATGTGGGGGTGTTTTAGATGTAGGGTGGGGTAGTTATAGAAAATTCCATAACTACAAGACTGGACACGCCATGTCATTCTTTAGACTTGCCACTTTCAGATTGACAGTCGTTAGTACAGGGAATACCTTTTGGAAACTGACATAGTTCTTGGTCACACCTGCAGGGTAATGCCTCTTTGGCTTACGCTGTGTACGCCCCATGCCTCTTGTAGGCGTCATAGGGCATGTGTTTAAACCAGCGCCGCACTAGACTTGACTCTGTATTGGGCTATAGATGCCATCGGGAAAATGTAGTCTGCTTCTTCTTACTGCTTTTTTGTGGGAAAGTGGATCAAGAGATGATAACTCCAAAGGCTTGACATGAGGTCTACCTAGATGTTGAGTCGCGAACTATTGTATTTAGTCATTACCGCAGCTTGTCTCAGTATTTACTCAGATATAAAATTAGGATGCTAAGTCCTAGCGAGTCAAGTCAAAGCTTAAATCCTCTTTCAATCATATGCAATAAGCTTTAGCTCTGTTTACCTACCGCCGAGGCACCCAGGTGAATAAAAGAAATGTCCGGTCTCAACCACATCAGGCGGGGGAACGACCGGCCATCCTTTTTTGCACTCAATCCTAGGTAAATGAAATCGCCGGTCCGACCCGGGGGTGTGTGATTATCGTGCTAAGCTAAATACCCCTCCTTATAGAAAGGGCAAAAATACTAGGTTACTAGTAAGAAAAAGGGATACTACTAGGCTTTCTAGAGAGATAAATACTTACTATATTACATATATAATTATTCAGTTTATCTCCTCATTTTATTACCCATATATATATAGCTATGTCTCATGGAAATAAACAAGAGATCATGATGAATAAGTAGTCATTCTAGTGACTATCCATAAGAGGAAAATTGGGTTTATAATTAGGTTTCATACTTCTAGTAGGGTATGCTATGGAAGATGCTATGGGCCTATGGAGATCAGACTATTGCATCACTTGAAAAAACTTTACGAGTCAATCGGGAGTTATACGAGTCAGCTACTCCAAAAGGCGTATATATACCACTTGCCTTAGTGAGAGCCGACTTGGAGATCTTGACATAACAATTACATATCGTAGACAATTTCTTAGGTGTCGATATTTCTTTATACATTTCCTCTAAAATACAGAAATACAAATACATGGCTACCCAAAGTGATAAGTCATGCTCGACCCAGCACCAGGGCCACGGGCTCAGGGTTGCAATCGTCGGTGCGGGGTTAACAGGTCTGATTACAGCTCAGGCTCTGAAGAAGGTAAGTCGTAAGCCTTTGCGCACTATTTTGGTCACTATTTATTAAACATACATAGGAAGGGTTTGAAGTCACTGTCTTTGAGCGTGATAGTCGCATTGACGAACGACAGCGCGACTGGACTATTCTTCTTCACTGGGCTATGGCAACACTAAGAGAGATACTTCCGGAGCATATCCTGAACAATTTCCCTAAAAGCTATGCCAATCCCCACTTGGAATTCAACGAATGGGATGAAAGTGTTCCCTTCTATGACGGCCTGACTGGCGAGCTGATGTTCCGGAACCCGGTTCCTGGTGCAAGGCGAATCAGTAGACTCCGCTTAAGACAAGTTCTGGTTGATGGTCTTGATATGCAATGGGGAAAGGATCTCGAACAAATAATCCCCGGCCAGCACTCTGTTGAACTTAGGTTTAAGGATGGCAACATTGTCACTACAGACTACGTCTTAGGGGCTGATGGGCCATTTTCCAAGGTTCGTGAATTACTTGTAGGGGTTGAAGATGCTAAACCACTTCCGTCTGGCTTCTCGATTGCCAACTGTATCTGTAAATATGGAGATGCAGAAAAGGTCAATACCGTTATGAGACTACACCCGGTGTTTGCTGTATCAATGAGCTCCCTAAATATGGCCGGCTGCGGAGGTAAGTGTCACTATACTATTACTAACAGTGCAATTTATAACTAAAACGAATCGTGGAAAATAGTCCAGACTGTTCTTGATCCTAGCGATGTCTCTACCTGGGAAACGTTCTGGGTCAAGATATTTCGCGGCCATTCTGTCAGCCTCCACGGCCCAGAAGCCATTGAGTATACTAAAAAGGACATGGCAGGAATATGTCAGCCTTTCCGATCTATCTTGGAGTGGACGCCGAAAGACAGTCCCTGCACTGTTAGTGAGATGAAATACTGGATGCCAACTCTATGGGAAACACATGAGGGTAGAGTTCAACTAGCCGGAGATGCAGCTCATCCTATGCTACCATGTAAGTCCCTTACTACACTGTACTACTACATACTTACCCACCATTCTTAGTTAGGGGCCAAGGGTTACAACATGCTATTGTCGATGTTGAAAAGTATCTTATTGCACTTAAGCAAGTAAGAGGCGCAGAAAACACTATTGCCAAGAGGGAATCAATGAAAGCGTACCAAGAAGATGTAGTTAAGAGAGGAGGTGAAGCGGTCACACAATCGCTACAGGAGGCTCAACGTGCGCTGGAAACTAATGAGTTTGATGAGACACTGACGTTCACTCAGGGTCATGGCAGATCAGCATGACAGAAGTCAATGTACATTACGAAGGCAAGGAGGAGTCTAGTCTTGTTAAAAAAATGAATAGACTAGAAAACCACACCGACTATACCCTGTGTATATATGTCTATATATATATAGGTAGATATGTCTAGTGATTCTTAAAACTTACACAGGGGAAATGAAACAAATCGTTCCCGGGAAGAACCAATTCCAAGCAACACTCTTGAAAATCTCATCTATAATAACGGTGGAGGAAATTCATTGTTTAAAATAATGGCTGCATCTGACAGACCGCACTCTATGGAAGTCTCTAATACACTGATTCAAACATGGGCATATTCCTTATGGCTAGACAACTAGTAGCAACACAACTAGCCTAAACATTGCTCCCAGATAACATGGCAAAGGCAAGTTAATTGACTCATCGACGAGTGATGGACTCCTCAGACATATGTGACGCTTGGACAACGTTGCCACTAGCAGTCTTACCAGTCACAAATTCCGGAGAGGTGCTATGAGTCAAGTGCCAATTGTAATCGCTTCCATTGTCAACGCTTGTAACTCTCGCTGCCCTGTTGTTCGTATTTAGTATTATGAACCTACTTGGAGAGATAGCAGACTTACTCCTTGCGCTTGATGTATATGTTGAGAACGTGGGTTGCGGCGATGAGTGCCACCGCACAACCCAGACAGAAAGAGAAACCTGTGGGGTAGCTCGGGGCTTCAACGGTCGGGAAAGTCAATAAAGGCGTCCAGGCTGTTGATGACTGGGCAATGATGGTGATCATGACCAGGGTGAACGACCGCTGCTCGGGCGAGTCCCAGAGAATGGTGTTGACCCAGCCGTGGAGCACGCTCGAGAGTACGTTGGACCAGTACATCGTCAAGAAGGCGAACCACTTGGCGCCCTCTGGCACATCCCAGACTACGAGCACAATGAGGCCCGTCACGTTCCAGAGCGAGGAAAAGGTAATAGCCTATGCCGGTCCCAGGACCAGATCGGACAGGAAGCACGCCACAAGGTTGTACAGAATGCCCAGCGCCGGCGCAATGGTCCTCATCTCGTTAACCTGAGCTGGGCTATAGCGGCCGAGACTCTTGATCCACAGGAGAAAGCTGCCTGTGCTCTTGTCGATGCCAGCGTTCCAGAAGAGCACGTCGACAAGAACAACGATCCAGAACTGCGGGCTGAGGAAGATACTCTTGAGATGGCCCAGCTTGAACTTGCCGCGCGAAACGTGGCCGCCGCGTTCCAGGCGCACTTTGGCGACTTTGAGATCGTGGTCGTTGAGGATCCAGCGGTTCGGCTGCTCCAAGGTGCCGGGGAGGAGGAAGTAGCCGAGGATGCCGACTGGAATGGTGATGATGGCGCAAATAACAAAGATCCAACGCCAACCAGCCATTCCCTGGACGCCTTCGAGCCGATGCAAGGCCCCAGCCGCGATGAGACCTGCTGTGAGAGTTCCGAGATTAAGACCGGTGTAAAAGATGCCGCCCCTGCGTGCGATTTCATGGCCTCAGTACCAAGAGCCTATAGTTGTATCAGAATGGGAAGGGGTGCACCGGCATAGAGCCTGCATTGACTCCAAGACAAACAATGCTTACCGGTGACATAGTGCATAGCTGGGAAGAAAGCCGCCTGCGATAGCAATGTCAGCAAGTGCTTTGCAAGCGATCTGCGCCGCGGAAACTTTATTACCTCAAAGAAACCAACAAGGAAGCGGTACGCCGCCAATGTTCCAAACGAGCTGGCGCGGTTTTGCAACGGGGTGAAAAGCCCCCAGAGGACATCCATAGCGGGGATCGTCCAGTACATCGGAATGTACGTGAACAGAAACATAAAGGGGACCATGCCGACAACTGCGCCGACGGTATATATGGTTTGGAGCTCAATAAGCCCGCTGCCTTTGAAACCAAGCTCTTCCTCCATACCTCAGACGTAAGCATTATCTAAGTTGATCAGTATCCTTGTTCGCTGGTCGATTGATAGTACATCCATAGAACCTACTCAGGTTTACCTGGTCTGCGAAAAGGAATCGATCAGTTGACGATGCTCTGTAGTTTATTAGACTGGCCAGGAACGTACCAATGTATCTGACCCAATAAGCCAGAACAGCGTTGGGAACCATGATGAGGTCCAGCTTGATGATGAACCTGCGCTCCTCGGGCGTGTCATCATCGGACTATCATTGAATCTTCCACCACTTCTGCCTCGGCACCGTGTTGTCTGCCATTTCTGGCCCCAGGCAAGCAAATTGTGTTGCTTCGCTATCTTGGGAAGACTGGGCGTCGCGTTCGAAGCGGCTCTAAGGCGGATCTCTTTAGACTTTGAGATGTGACAGTCAAGCTTTCCAACATCCCTTCCAATGCCCGGGCGTGGTGCAACTGATATCTGCAGGAGACTTGCCGGTCGTCGGCCGTGAACCCCTGCACGCAAAAAAACCCTCCCGCATTATCTATTGCGCCAGAGCATCTCAGGGTTGTGCCATACAATTCTTCATCAGCTGAACCCGCCATTTGCGGAAAGGGCTCCACTCGCCGAGCTAAACCGGGGGTTCGGGAAGCCCCCCGACATTGCCAGAAGCGTTCGCTTTCGTAGGGCGATATCATGGCGAGTATGGCCAACGACAAGCTTCAACGTGCAGGACCCTGCCGGGACTTAACCGACATCCCGCGAATTCAAGTCCCAGTGGCAGCGAGGTCTGTCCAGGAAAGGGATGTGAGTGGGGTATGTAGCTGCATTGAAAGTATGCTTTGACGTTGATAAGATGACCTCGCGCCTTGCACTTGCTGACGAAGACGATGTATAAAGGGGGGGACAAGCGCCGTACGGGGACTGTGAGAGGATTTGAATGGCGGGCTGGGAGCCTGGTAATGACGTGCTTTACAGTTGTGATGGTGTTAGATGCGCCACATGCAACCTCCGCTGAACTCCAATCGCGGGGGAGTATCGGCTCATAGAGGTGGTCAACCTCACTTCCTTCAATTTCTCCGGATCAGGGGCCCTTCAGCAAACACTGACAGCAAAGTGGAGCTAAGAAGGACGACTGAATGAGATATACATGAATAATACTCCGTAAGCTAAAGAAAAATGTGTATTCTATTGTGTATTCGGCTCCTCGGGTCATCAGCGGGTAGCCGCTGTCACTCAAGCACGCACGACTCGTGTCTAGGATTCGTGCCGCTGCGGGAGTTGTGACTAAAAGAGCCCCCATCCTCGCTTTCCAAGAAACATTATAAGAAATTGACTGGAATTCTGTCTGAATTCCTCGTACAGATTCAAGCGACAAGATCAAGGTTACAAATTTGCCACAATTGATGCGCGCGAGGGGATGGAGGCATATATGTAGCACGAGAGGGAAGTCTACCATCATACCAACCTTCACAAATAACATTATAATTTCCACGCAACTCAGTAAACGATCCGACTGAATCGGGTTTATAGATTCTCTTGAGTTGATAAGCTGCATCTATCGCTAGTTATCCTGTTTCATTGAGATTACCACCACGATGTAATGTACATGTGCCCAAATGCTAACCGGTTCCGTCTCTCGCCGGGGAGCCCAATAACATGACTATGTGTGAACCGATTCCGGATATTCGCCCGCGAGCACGACAACCCCCAATAACTCTTTCAACTTGGCGCAGATTTGAGCTTCGTCTGGTCACTGCGAGACTTTTAAAGGCTTTTTCAAGTCTAAACGCCACCGTATCGCATTCACTCAATGTTTTGTCGATGAGGGTCCCGAGGGACATTGTAACGCATTTAATTATACTTCAAGAAGTGTCTTTTTGGTTCCCCTCGCTACACCAGTTCTGAATCAAGTTGTGAGCTGGGCTATATAGAACGGTAATAGATACCCAGCCCTAAGTGCCTGGATATCAGAGCCTAAAAAAGCGGGTTTCATACAAAGAGTTCCATTATTTATTTGTCCCTCATGTTCTTCACCCCCTGTGGCTCCTGTTTTCTTGGCATGTTTGAAACTAGGGGTGTTGGGAGATGAGACAGTAGATAATTGTTGGCTTTCCCCCTGATCTGAAAGCTATGGGATTGACCGTGATAGAAAAGACAGATTGGTATGGAAAACGTAATTGTCTATGATTATAGTTACTACTTTAAATCTCATCAGAAGACTCGATTCGCCGCATGATCTGGTCCCTGTTACGCTCCACAGCTTCGATCACAATATCCCGCTGCCTAGGCCATAGCCGACTCACTGCGCTTTACTAAATAGGACCAGGCGAGGAAGCTCTGAATGCACACTTCAATAATTGGCTTGTACAGATAAGTATGATAGAATTAACATTGCTTGCTAGACTTGGTTTGATGACTAATACCGACCAGAGACAGGTGGACTCTTTCATAAAATGCGCAAATTCCAGATGTCGATTTTGGATTCTATTCTTCGTCGTTGCACTACTACAGCTAGATGGTTGTTATCAGAATGGGGCATTGTGTTTGATTCAGAGAGGATGTACCTTTGCAGCTCTATCGCTGTACCTTTCCGCAAACCTTTGACTCTTCATATGCTTTGCAAGGTACTTCGGATCCAGGTACGAGATCTGGAGGACCTCGTCTCCCGTGTTAGGTCTCAAAAGATTCCTGAAAAATGCACTGGCCTTTTGGTCGCGGTGCCAGTACAACTGGTCATCTATGTCCTTCCGAAACGATTCCCCTTGATCAGAGTTGTTTGAGCCCCTGAAGACAAACGAATTCTCGTCAAAGACTGCGCTCGGCGATATGAGCATCTTATCCCGGTGGTTTGCGCTGATTTCTTGAGCGATTGCTAGGTGATGCGCCGAAGGCTGGCCGGTGGACTGGTGGCTGGACCATCCGGGCGACGGGAAGACTTGGGTGGTGTATATTGATACGTTAACGAGGGAGCTTATGACTGCGGCTAGGGTCGATGTCCAAAATCCATCAGGGAGTTTGTTGATGAGGTGGAGACAGAGATGCGCATATAGGTCCAGGCTGATGCCCGACCCTCGATGAGCCGGGTGAATGACAGTTAAGCCGGAGTGAAGCAGTGGCCTGTCGGGGGATGTGATGGGCAACCAAATGGCGGAGAGGAACGCAATGACTTCATCCTTGCACCGAGAAACGACGATCACCTTGTCGTCCAAAGAGGTAGGGGATGCCTTGTCGAAGACCTGATACTTGGGGAGGGGACTCAAGCAGAGGCGGCCCAGATGGCAGAAGGAGTCTTGCAGCTTCGTCTTCTCATCCCTGCTCAAAGTGATACCAGGATGGGTTAGGACCTCTATACTGCAAGGCAGAAGCATTGCGTTTCCGTGTAAAAGAGTGCTGGGCTTGTTCTTGGTATTCTATTCGAGGGTTGGACCGCAAACACTTTGTTCCGAGAAAGTCGATCGCCTGAACAGTATTGGTAGTCGAAATCTAATTTTAAGGTCGACTGTAGCCTGGTTTCTAGAGCTTCCTAGTCAGATTAGTTAATCACCAAAATTAAATTGCAAGGAATGTGACGCAATATGTATGCAAGGTAAGCCATGTGAAGACGCCCTTATCATCACCCCTGGCTATGGGATCTAATTTGAAGACCGAAGATCTCAATACTGTCGTTGTTGTGGTGCACCGGGGCGCTCATTGGTGGTATCTTATCACAGTATGCCTTCTAAAACATGTCAAAAATAGCATCTTGCAGTGTTTTGGGGCCTACAGAACTGCACCCTTCTTTGTATGCCGGTTACTTTGCCTATCTGGCGGTGGACTGATCCTCTTGTATATGAATACTCCGGCTACGAAACAGGCCTTTTCTTTATATCTTCACCATATTGTGCTTTGAAGCATAACTGTACCAAGTGAAACTTTCAATATAGATTTGCAGTATAAAGGACTCAAGTGGTCACTGGGAAAAGTGACAATCATTTGGTACATATCGACTCGTCTGCCACAAGACAACTAATCGTAATGTAGTTTCCATTCAACGTGCCCTTCCCTTAGTTGTGATATAGCCTACTCGAATGGCCTAATCAAGCTACACTCGCACAATGCGCCGCTTCTCCACCACTACTTCTCCATCTTCCTCGCAACGTTCCGGTGCTGCAGCTGTCCTGTTGTAGTGTATGATGAGATGAGTGGGTCACTGGACAAATGTAGAGACCGGCAGCGTCGCGAAATGTTGCTCCTAGAGGTGGGCACTTTCTATAGGTCACCTAAAGACAACCAACATTGCGGTGTAAAGCACAACGCTGCTTACTCTCACCAAGATAATGACAAAGGAAATATCAAATGGCCACATCACCAAGTCTGACGTAGCAATGCTTTGGCCTGAACTTGATGCCCTCCAAGGGCTCGTAGGTTGAGGTTTCCTTGGCGCACGGCTGCAGCTCAAAGTTCCAGATAATCAGGGTCACGAACAGCGTCAGCTCCAGATTCGCCAGCTTGCGTCCGAAGCAGTCCCTGGTTCCCAGTCCGGATGGGATCGCCAGCCCCGAAGTAGCTTCGTAGCGCTCTCCGCCCGCCACTTCGTCCGTGAACAGCCACCACTCCGGCCGGTAGACGTTGATGTCGTCCGCGGGCCATGAGCGGATGCCCCGCTCCTTGGCCGCCTGCTTGGACGTCTCGCTCCGCACCGCCTCGTCGATCTCGAACGACAGCGAGGTGTAGCTCGGGCCGATGTTGGGCATGAGCACGATCGTACCCGCCGGGATGTGTGGTGACCGAGGACTACCGTGTCCTGCGTGTACTGTCGATCCATGACCGGGGCGGTGTGGGCGAGCCGCAGGACCTCCTCGATGACAACGTCGAGTCATGGGATCCTGGTCGTGCTGACCTCGCTGTGCGAGGGGGCGCGGTTCTCGGCGAGGGCCGAGGCGTGGGCGGCCCGCAGGTCCTGGCGGAGCTAGGTTTGCGCTCGTAGGCAATCGGCTAAGAGCTTGACGGCTCATGAAAGAGTAGTGCTGATGGTATTGTGCCCGGCCATGATGAAACCAAGAAGCTAGGGTGCGTCAGTTTGTGGTGGGTAGGAGAAAGGGTTAGGTGGGAGGAAACGTACTTCGTCCTTCATGACTGAAGACCAAAATATCGGTTCACGACCTTTCTTCTTAGCGAATTTGCGCTCTCGGTGAATAATGAGATCGACGGCGCACATGACCCAGAACTCGCTATCCTCGTCGGTGTCCTTCTGTAGTTTCTCAATGGCATGGTAAGTTTGCTCTTTGACGAACTGAGCTCGCTGGTCCATGAGCTTTTTCTCCCTGGGCTGAAGCTTCGTCCACCACCACGCGAGTTTCACCAATCCGGACCTTGTAATATATTGTATGAGGTCGCCGGCAGCCAGGATAGCCTTGATTGGCTCGTGGGGTTGGGCTGTAGGGAATTCCACGGGATCCGCCGTGGCCGAGATAGCCGGGACTGATTGTGTCTCTTGCCCCGTAAGCAACTCGGCTTGCGGCTTCAGTGCCCGGTGAGGGTGACTGTCACCGAATCTGAAATCCAAGACAGCGTCGAGCGCGGCATGGTAAAAGTCCTGGTCGGCGGAGAAAGCTCGGTCGCCCGCGAGGCGCGCCTTGGTCTTCCACATGTCCTCAAAATTAGCCGCGCTGGTGTAGATGTTGGGCGCCGCGACGCTGCTCAGGAACGCCGACGTCATCAGGTTCTGCAGCAGTCGCCGGCGGCCTTTCCACTCAGGACCCGTCTTGAGGTTGATGTGGAATTGCGGGGTTTCGCCATTCAGGTTGTCGATAGTCCAGTCGGAGCGGTCGAACTCTTTCCGGCGCATGAGAATGTCCTGCGCCTCGCGGAAGTCGCTGATAACTACCGCGAGCTTCGCAAAAGGGACCAAGAAGACTTGGAAGATGGGGCTGTTCCTACGCTTGCCCTGATCAACTATCCAACGCAGGGGGGGTGCCGTTGCATTCATTGAGCATTGTCGGTATGTCGCCCAATAAGGACTTGTTTGCTTATGGGCTGTATGGGATGCCGGAAATGGGCTTGGGCAGGAGGTATTGATAGAGGGCGAATAGTGCAAGGGCAAAGGTTACAGCCGCCATGCCGAGTATGCGATGCGACACACCTAGGTTGACCAAAAGCGCCATCTTGAACGCAACTGTCTGCGTGGTGTTGAAGGTAGACATTTGGGCCGCAAGGTTTTAAGGTAGAGTGTCAAGCTCTCATCCACAGCGTCGTCTATAGATATGTTTCCTTCTCGATTCATTTCCTTCCGACTTTTCATGGCTCGCTGAGACACGGTGTACCTCGCGACCCGCGGATGCCCGCTGAGACCCGCTGCGGTGCCGCCCGGCGTATACGTCCCGTCGACGCAAGGGGGTGAAGTCGATAACATACCTGGGGCTTCTAAGTAATGTTGGTTCCCCTGACCTGGTGTGAGGGGACCCAAGGATCCTACAACATCGTATTGTTAGGTTGGGTTGGTATCTTATGCCGGCCATCCTGATATCAATTCTAGGCTCTATGCAAGTAGCACGAGCCGCATAACAGAAAGAACGAACCACGGGAGATTTAGAGCAATTCGCCAATTCACGGAGAGGAGTCAATGAATACGAAAAAGAAATAATGAGGGACCGCGGGATCCGAATAGTATGGTGGCTTGCGACAACTACATCCAATTACGCACATGGGTTCGGAGCGTTGATACAGCCTCCAAACTCTAAACTGCGTTGTGTCTTGGGCAGCCGCGGAAAGGAAAGACAGAACAGATGGCTAAACACCAAGAACGCTAACAAAGGTTGAATGAAATAGCTCATTTGTTGCTGGCTTGCCCCTCGCATGTAGGGTTTCTCTATATCAAAGGAAGTTCTTTGTCTAGGACTATATATCTGGGCAGTTCGATCCGCGCGCCTGGGAGCCGAGGTCCCTTAAGCGGATGCGGATCCCCCGGTCAGCCGCCACCAGCGCCGTGCCGCACCGCCATCGGCTACAGGAACCCCACTACCCCTCCCAAGATCTTACCCCCTGGCGGCAAGATGACCCGAGCCAGCCGCCCGATGACTTCATGCTCGACTACTTAACCTTCAACTTTGCAACTCTACACCGCCATCTCCAGCCCCTCAAATCATCTCGCCATCACATCAACTAACGCCTCATACCATCTCCGAACACACCAATTCATATCACAATGGCCGACGCCCCGAGCGCCAAGCGTCAAAGATCCTCCAAGGACGTCCTCTACGAGCTCATCTACTGGCCCGGTATCCCCGGACGAGGCGAACACATCCGCTTGCTCCTCGAGGAGGCCGGCGCCCAGTACACCGACACTGCGCACGCCGAGGACGGCATCAAGACCGTGCTGGCCCAGATCGACGGCAAGAACCTGGGCGACGACCTCAACCCGCCGGCGCTGGCGCCGCCGATCCTTAAGCATGGCGACCTACTCATCAGCCAGACGCCAAACATCCTGCTGTACCTCGGACCTCGCCTGGGACTGGCGCCCAAGATCGCCGAGGACGACGACGGCATCTACCGCGTCAACGCGCTTGCGCTGACGGCGCTGGACGGCCTGAGCAACGAGGCGCACGACACGCACCACCCCATTGCCACGGGGCTGTACTACGAAGACCAGAAGGAGGAGAGCAAGCGCTGCGCAAAGGAGTACATCGCCAACCGCCTTCCCAAGTACCTGGGTTACTTTGAGCGGGTGCTGAAGGGTAAGGCCAGTGGGGAAGGGCCGTGGCTCTACGGGGGCTCTTTGACGTACGCGGACTTGGTGCTATTCCAGGTGAGACGTCTCGTATGCTTGAAAGGTGGCGACTACCTGGTGCTGACGCGAAAAGTGCATCGACGGCGTCAAGTTTGCCTTTCCTAATGCCCTCAAGCGGCTCGAGGGAAGCGGTGACTATAAGGGCGTATTCGAGCTCTACGACGCCGTCAAGGAGCGTCCCAAGATCAAGGAGTACTTGGCCAGCGACCGTAGACAGAAGTACAGCCAGGGTATCTACCGCCATTACCCAGAGTTAGACGAGGAATAAGGGAGGTATAAGGAAAAAGGCAAAGCTCACTCCTCCGTGATCAGTGACAACACAGGAAGCATCCTCGAGCATGCCACTGGGAGGGAGAGAAGTGATGAACAGCTCAGGGCGTTCAAAATCTATATATACGCCGTGGTGCTGAAAGACTGAAAGATCTATGGACCTCCTTAGCGATACTGCTTGTGTCACATCCTCAGTCGTATCAATGCTTCATGTTGCTATGTTTTTGCGCTTTCTATAAGATGCTGGTCTCTTATTGCCGACCTTCATTAATAGTTTCTGAGCGTGTTGCAGTTCTATCGGTGCTTGTATATACAGGCTTTAATTAAATGGACGAGATGGGAAGACGAAGAGATTGAATAAACTACGAAGGAAACCCTCAGGCTCCGAACAGAAATTCCTCAAGTCGGACCCATCTATCTTTTGACTAGAGAGCCCTGGACCGCCTACTGAGTTTCTGCTCACCGAGCCAGAGAGAGTCTACGCTTGTTTACTTCCCGCGCCTTCTTTCCCGCGTTCCCACTCACCCAACGCTCACCTCTGGGCCTTTTTCTGGAAATAACAATAACAAGACATCGGGCCTCTCTTCTTCACAGCTCAGAAAATTTCTCACACGTGGCGACGAAATCGTTTGCTGCCAAAATTCGCGTCGCAAAATCGAGACAAGACAATGTCCGGAACCAACCAAGATGTGGCCGCGCGTCGCGGACGCGACGCCCAGCGGCGCAGTCGCAGATGCAAGATGGTATTTACTCCGTTCCATGAAGCGTAATAGCCAGTAACTTCAGATAAACACAGTAGTTGCATTGGGGGACGCCTTTACTGACTTGTGCCACGCAGCTGCAAGAGAGCCGCCAGGCTGGCAACGACAGCGACGACGAAGGCGACGATGTTGACGACGAGAGTGCTATCGAATACGACGGCCTAGAGGATTGCCTGGAAAAGAAGCCGGTTAGGATCCCAGAAGCCAAGCAGTGGGTCGATTCCGAGGCCAAAACCGCCATATCCGAAGTCAGCACCAGCCTTAACTGGGAAGCCCTCGCAGCCGAAATTTATATGGCTCGTATCCGCTACAACACCACCGAAGACAACAGCGAGAAAACCGTTACTGGTGGCTCCGTCGTCGCTGCAATTCGCGATACCGATATCAACCACGCCGGCAGCTGCAACAGCTTCGCCAACGCAGCAAACCCTAGCCAGGGTCACGAGACCGACAAGAACAAGATCATGGGCGGCAAAAGCAGCAAGAGCGGCAACGAAAGCAGCGGCGGTGGCTACATCAATGCATTCAAGCCCATAAATGTCAGGTGGGTCCCTCCCGAAACCGGCCTACACCTGTTCCTTGCTGCCATCAATAGCCTCGTCATCTAGACACTTCACTGACTATTGAAACTAGGACTGTCAACTAGGACTGTGATTCTACATGACTTTCCATGCACCAGCTCGATCAGGAGTATCATGCATCATATGCGTGGCGCCAATGGCTTCCTACTCAACATATAGTCTCGGCTCTATCGCACTCGGGTTGATTTCAACGGTCTCAGTTGTCCTTTTCATGGTCCGATCAATACGTCTCAGGAATCATTGAAATGTGGGCTTTGGGCAGGGAAATCGAAGCTATACAAGGGAACAGCACCATAAGAAAGCTAGGATGAACCTCAGGTCGCCATCTAGACCATGGAGATAGCTAGCTACCCCAGGAATCAAAAGAGAGCAAATTAGAATGGGCATGGACTTAAGGGTGCAATCGAGGAACAAGGCCCACTGCCCCTTCTAACATTTACAAAAGTATGATTCACTGACAAGTATATCCGTACTGACATGACCCTCTAGAGGAAAATTCTGGTCTTCCAATCTTGTTCCTAGAGAGGCTAGGTTCAAGGCAAAGAGATTGGGCAGATGGGAAAGAGCGAACACCACATCTGCATCCCATTCAGTGCAAGTTCCACCTTATCACATTTCCTTCTTTCCGACTTTTCCACCTTAACCAAGTCACGAACCAAGCAACAAAATATTCAAATCCGATAAAACGAGATCACAAAATTTGAGAGTTGTCAGGTCAAAAAGGCTCTAGAGGATCATTTTCGGTGTGGATCGACACAAGCGACTAGGCCACACCAGGAACAGCTAAGAGCATGAAGACCAAAGGGACAAATCCCGAACAGGAGACCGGCAGTAACCCAAAGGCTGTAAGTAGCCCCTGTGAGTTCTTTCTGCAGTCACGGAGTCCAAGAAAGCCAACTCTCGTCACTGACATTTGCAAAGGACAGGTCGGCACAGATCAACGGCAAGGACGCCATGGAGCAGCTTCTCGAAAAGATTCAATCATTCCACATGGGTGCTGCTCTTGTGCCGGCCGAAAAGGAGGCGGTCAACGTGAACGCCAAGTGCAAGGGCGCCTTTGCCGTTGCGGCCGCGCAGGATAACTGGGACCTCTTGGAGGTGAAGAGGATTGTTGCGGAGGCGAAGCGCGATTTCTATGATTGAGAAGCGCACAAATGATTGAGGGGTTCAAGCGTTTGAGACGGATTGAACGGTCATTTTGGGTTGCTGGAAAAAGCCAGGCAGGATTGTTGATTCCTGCCTCTGGGGCATCTGATGGATGGACTGGTTACAAGTTGAGGACAGATGAGCCTGCTATAGTTTCCCAGTCCTTACCTGTCTGGATCCAAACGCACTTCAATGCAGTTTGACGTGGTCCAGAAGGTACGTCGTTCATTGTCGTCATATCCTAAGCCACAGCTGACCCTTTGTGTACTTATTCCGATCCAAGAAACAATTTCACTTAGAAGTAAGTAGCTGTTCAGATCGGTGAATTGAAGCCAGTACTCTGATGAACTAGAAGAGTCTTTAAGAGTTGGGTGACGACCATTGACCAACATGCTTTGATACTTGGATCAGGCCCAGTGTTTTCGAGGTCAAACCAATGAAGGGAAATATTTATCCCAGAAAGCTATGCAGGTGAATGAACAACATTGAGAATCCTTCTGAGGGTTTCTATAAATTAGTCAATGCAGCCTCAAGTTTGAGTTTGGAATCATCAATTCCATATTTGACACACTCTTCTTTCTTTCATACTGACCCAGCATTAGAGTTTTCTTTCATCATTAAACTTCTAGTGTGTACTCATGACAAGTCAAGTTGTCAATGCCATTATTCTATTCATGGTATTAAAGGACTACACCAGGCAACAATGTCTTTGAACGCTATTTGGAAGGCCACCGAGGCCCGCTGCAACGAAGTCCACGGCATCATAATCGAGTTTGAGCTACTTCCCAGGGCATATCAAGTCCTTGACGAGGTATGTTCCCTCCCACTCAGAGCTCTGTTAAATCCACTTCTTCTTCCTTCCATCCCGCGCACTGACATCAGTTTCTGTGATAGGATGACCACTGGCTTCTCGCCATAGCGCTTCAGAAGCTCGTAGTCGAAAGGTTGTATGAGCTGCAGCCGAAGATGGAGATGGTGAAGTCGGGTTTGGCGGCTGCTCGGGACGCTCTGCTTCAAGGATATGTCTCACAATTTGACACAGACATGTCTAACATGATCGCAAGGATGAAGGCTCATGTGGAGGCGTGGAACGGCCTGAAAGGAGAACAACTCTTCCATGAATGCTTCCAAGGTGGCACGGCTGCGAACAAAATGGACGAGAACTTGGCTGAGAATTAGGAGCTTTGCGATGCACAGGGGAACATGTGCCAGCTGGGATGGTCTCGGTATAGATGAAGAGCAGTTCCCAATGGAGCATATGAGTCTAAGATGGACTCCATTTATCAGTGAATGCCACATATGTTTGCCTTGGATAGCCTTGAACACGGCGATGGATAGTTCCCATCTCGCCGGAAAAACCTGATGAAACCAGAAGGAAAGCCAACAAAGGTAAGAAGAGAATGGTCAATTAATAGGATTCTTCGAGATTCCCGGCCCTGGTAATGTGTTTCAAGCCGTATGAAAGTTTCATTGTCTAGCATGCCGGCAGTGTTCTCCCTTAGAACCAGTCAGGCCCGAAGGGGCAACAGCCCATCTCCCTTCAGGTCAACCGCCAGTGTGGCAAGCAAGCTGAGTCAGGAGTCTTACCTGAGGGATAGGTGGGTACAGCACTGCTAATACAGTCAAACAACAACTCTGTTCCCTGATCGTGGAACCATAAGCATATGATACGTGTCAAAGTCAGGCCGCGAAAGTAGGGACAAAGCTACCAACACAGCCATCAATTCGGCCAGACCTGATAAAAGACTTCTAGCAACAAGGGTTCCAAGTTTCGATAAATACATATATCTATCCTTTATACAATCACTTATCGACTGCTCTCCTCTCGGTCCAACGGATATCCTATAATCGGCATTTTGAACACTGATTTCGTCAATCTCTGATCCCTCATTTGCCCTGCATGGCTTCCAAAGGCACCAAGAAAAATATCGACGACAAGGGGAAACATCTTTCTATTGACTCTCAGCAAAGAAATGTAAGCCAATTATCAATTCTCCATGCTTGATTCCCCGTTACCTTTGGTCTTTTAAAAAGTCGCCTGATGATGACATAGAGTTGGCACACCAACCCATACCCGTGCACCGCTCCGAGATGCATCGAGGTCGTCAAACTCGTTGGCCAGTTCATGGACTTGCCCATGGACTACAAGGTTCCCGACGAGGTACGAGATAGCAATTCTCTGGTATATCACGGCAATGGGAAAAAGCTGGCATGTCTGAGAACGTTGGCTGATTCCAAAAATCCCGAGGTAAAAATAGACAACGTACGGGTTCTACGCCGCCGTGATCGGGGAGCTGAAAGCCCAGTATGCGGAGATGGCGGCCAACTCGGGAGACCTGAAGCAGAAGCTCTCCGACATGTTCAAGGAGTGGCAAGATCAAGGAGAGACTTCCCCCATGAATGAGGAGGTCGTCAAAGCCGTCGCAAAGATGAAGATCTTCATGGCCGCTTGGACAAAGACAGTCGACGAGATTGATACGCTGAAATCTGTTCATGAGTCTTTGGCAAAGCCCTCAAATCCCCGAAAAGCAGCGAAGGGCGGGAAATAGGTCTGTTGTGTGCGGTATGGTCTAGTCCGGGCAGCTAAAGAACCAGATTAGCACGGGTTTCACGACAAGGGCATGAACTAGACGTCATCGGACCTAGCCATCTAGAAATGGCTTCCTCTTGTTTCGTACTTGATGATAATTTCAAGATCTGCCGTCAATACACAAACCCAATGGACTGGCTCTTCCATATCACATCATTTTCCACTCACCCGCAGCACCACGCGATACACTTCGTCCTGTTTCTTCTAACAGCCGTTCGTCCTGCCGAAGAAAGTCAACCGCCCCCGCAAGAAGCAGTCGGAAAATGGAGGCGGAGAAGCTCCGCGAGGATGCGGCCAATATTTCGGACGAGCAGAACAAACCAAAGAAGCAGGTGTCCGAGGACGACAAGAGCAGGAAGTTCACTGTCACGATAACCTCGTGTATTTCCACCGTCTGTAACAGCTCTGTCAGGTGCTGTTGCACGTGACGTTTCACATTCACTTGCCTATATATAGGGACCTACTTTCGTTACTTCTACACACTTAGAATTCAAGCCTTTTAGACCTCAATTCCCATATGCCCTGCCGTGTGCTCTAACTCGTGACATTCACCGTTGTAATGGGAGGAGAAACTGCACGTTCCGGCCACACTTCTCCCCATCTTCCCCCCCCCCATCTTCGTCAGGAAAAAATGGTTAGAGACAGCTAATTATATCGGATTGGAAGATGGACAAGCTGTCGATTTGATCGAAGATAGTGGAAGCCCTGGGAAGTCAATTGATCATTGTCTCCAGCACCTCAAGACTTTCGAATGGAGTTCATTGCTCCGATCATGATCACAGGGGACGAGCTTACATTGTACGTGCCTCAAGAGGAGATATTGCGTGCGAGCTCAAAGTCCCAGATGGATTCGCGTTGGCTGCCAAGTCTTCCATCATTCACAGTCCAGGACTCGATCGATTGGTTCCTCTCCTCAATGATGTGTGGCGGGGAAGTGGCCATGGTCGTAGGTATCCTTGTGCCTGCCTGTTCGCACTAGACGCATGGGCCGACCCGCTGGATGCAGCAGCCAAAGACAGGTCCCACTTGCTTCAACGACATGTCTTCCAGCCTACCCAGACGGCATGATGGCTCTTTCCAACAGATATTGCACCACAACCATCATGATGCCCCGAGTCTGGCTTACGATAATTCCTTCTGGGTCGTTCTCGCCGTGTCTGCATCGTGATCACACTTGTCACCTGCTTCCGCTTACCGCTGTCAGGTAGCGCGCACAAGGTTCAAGGAAGTCGCGGAAAAGACGCCTGCCACTACGGAGAAAATTCAATCCCGAAGTAACTCTTTGTGCAAGTCCCTTGTGTGATTCTTGTCCAGATGGCCCCGAGTCTTTCACTTGCCCAACTGCTTCCCGTCTTCAACCTCTCCCATCAAGATCAAAAGGTACCAACAGCCATCCCAACCGCCAATGACAAGATAACCATTGACCAAGACACCAAAAGCTCACGAGAAACACCACTCCAAGATGGATCAGTCTACCAAGCCCGAAGTTGAGCCTAAGGTACGCTTTCCTTGCGCCCTGTTGTCAGGCGTTGTCGGACACCACATGATAACACCTCAATAGGAGGATTCCGTCACCGCCCGCATACAGCACGCTAAAAAGACGTGCGACGTTCTCTCGGATGGCATCAAGTCCATGAATATACCCGAGGCCATCAGAAAGGCGAAGAACCTGACAGATTACATTCAAATCCTGGATTTCAGTGACATGATCAACGACATGCGCATCAGGGTCAACGTTTCTCGGGCCAGCATCCAGGACGTGCGCAATGGCACGCTGGACGAGCCGAGCATAAAACTGCTTGAAGAGATTGACCAGGGCTTCGATACGCTCCTGACGAGAATCGAAGGCTTGCGCGAATGCGTCGATGATTGGATGGAGACCATGAATGTTGCCTCCCCTTTGAAGATAGATAAGACTTCCCCCGCGGCTTGATGGAGACGCATCATGGAGAGCTGCCATTGTGATATCGATTATTCACACGTTAGGCACTCACGCTTGATGGGGGACTCGGGGCAGGTCGTCATGGATTATGGGAAAGGTGTGAGACAGATCAAACATTACCAGCAGTTTCGCAGTGTCAGAAGGGGTAGTATAGACACCAGTGCTCATGGGATGCAAGAACAATCCATTCAATAAATTATCATTCCCCCCATACACCACCCCGAGCCTTTCTGGAAGAATTTGGAAACACTGAAAGCCACCCAAACACGCAGTTCCACACGTGTTGCGATAGGGCTCAGCAGGGTTTGACATGTTTCGGGCACCGGACGAAGAGCCAGAACCTGTCGGGCAGGACAGCCCTGTGCGCTGTCGACTCTAAATTCCAAGCGTCCGAGGTGGTATTATCTCCCCTTCCATGGACCAAAGCGAGTCAAGACTCGGCATTTTTGAAGATGGAGAGTTGATGGCTTCGCCGGCCAAATTCTTTCTCACTTCGTCATGGTGATAGCTAGAGCCAGTAATGCCCGCGTGGAATCACATTTTGCTTTTCATTGGAACTTCTCACCGACCTGATGAAGGCCTCATGTCACTGAATCCGAACATATGTCATCTCTCGCCCCCCGAAGCTGGTATGGATTTTTACCAGGGGACCCTTATGGGAGTCGAGCCCACGGTGCTTGAGACTTTTTAGCCAGTTGCCGCACTTTAATTGACACTTATACCATTATGGCATATAGCAGGTAGGGTGGGCTCATAACTGTCGCGTAATAAAACGATACCGTTAGTTACGTGGGTAGTAATAGTAGTGGCTTACATATCGTGACAGAAATGACTAGCGATTGCTCGATCTTGCCGAGGTTCCAGCAACTCGAACACAGTGACTTTTAGTAATGGTCATACATCGGACCTTCAGAACAGCTGTAAAGCTCGAAATATAAAATCATTTCTCTCATACAGGTAAAGCTGCTGCCTGCCAGCCTGCCAGAACCAAGACAAGGCGATCCAAGTCAACACTTACGACCAAGACGTAATCCAACACGAAACTGTCGAGCCAATCATCAACAAGAGCCGTCTCTCCAACTGCAATCCCAGGCTTGCATCCTTTCGCGAAGGGCTGTATCTACCCCGGCCAAAAAGTAGCCGGACCAAGCCTCACCATCCGAGTACAAGCCAAAGAAGAAAACAATAACAACCACCAACACATCAAGCCCACGGTCGGTCCCTCAAGGGGCTCTCCACCAGCGTGAAGCGCAGCCCCAGCTGGTTCAGGAACACATCGAGGTCCCGCGCGTCCCTGACATGGGCCGGCAGGATCCAGTCCCCGGCGACTGGCTCGAAGAAGCTCACGCGGGCGCCCGGGTCCCCGCGGACGTCGAAGGGCTCCCACTCGACGCCCGGACCGGGCGCCGCGCGGGAGACCCACTGGCCCCTGCGGCGCATGTCGCGCTTGACGGTGCGGTACTAGCGCCTCCGCTGGGCAAAGGCGACGCGGTGGCGGGACGGATCCCGGGGATCGTTAGGGTCGTGCTCGGCGTCGGCGTCGTGGGCGGCCTCGGTGGCGGCGAGGGTCACGGTTTGGAGGGCGAGGGCGCGGGAGGCGCGGAGGGTGCGGCGGCGGGCGCGACGGTGGTGCCAGAGGGCTTGGTGGCGCGTGAGAGCGGCGCGGTGCGCAGTAAGGGTGTGGTAGGTCTCGTCTGAGGGTCGAAGGACGCGGGAGGCATCGGGGAAGAAGGCGTAGTGGAGGAGGTCGCGGATCGAGCGGTTGTGGCGGTGGAGGGTGACGCGGGTGATGCGTAGCTCGACGTCGCGGGGAGACTGCAGAGACAAGTCAGTTGGATGTTGATCGACATGAGGTGATGATGCGACCGGAAAAGAGACATGTCAGTGGGAGAGATGGGTCAAAGACGAGGGAACGAGGGAGCAGACCGTGTCGGTATAGACTTTGCAGCTTTCCTTTTGGTACCCTTTCTCAAAGTCTTCCACTTGACGGTACAGCGCGTCTGCATCATCCTTGGTGAAAGCCTTGTGCTGGGAGTCTTGGGCGACATCTGCATCGTCCCAGGCGTTGGATTGTTTGACGATACGCCGCTTCTTGTGAACTGGGGAGAACGGGGCGTCGGAGAGACCCGAAGGGAGCCCGTGTTTGCCTACCATTCCTGAGGCCAGGAGGGGGTCGAGGAGAAGAGATGGGCGTCTTTGTTGACGGACGCAGGTCGAGACGCGAGGTCGGACTTTGTCGTTTCAATGAATGGGGATGGCTTAGGTAGGAAAGCTTTGAAAGGCGCTAGAGACCATGATACGGAGTGGCTGCTTTGATGCTGAGTGGGTGGTGCCTTGGGCGGCTGGTTTTTTGGCGGGAATGGAACAAAACAATGCGATGTTGATCTTATGTGAAGCTGTCATGTTTTTCCAGCGACAGGTACCGTGGACATTCAAGTTTGCATCGAATGTACCTGATGCCATTCGCCATTTACTTGAACCTAGGAGGCCAGCTGCCCGTTCCCTCCAGTTTCACCACCTCTTGCGCTTCTGGCTCTGCTCTCTGAGATGATGGTGCCTACTGCCTGCCTCCTGTTCTCTCATGATCAAGAAGCCTACGTTGCACCTTCCTGGTCTGTTCTCTAGGCTACCACCGTGAGCGAACACTGTCCATCCTGATTGCCTTTCAACTACGGACGAGCCTCCCCACAGGTCCCGCATATCTCACACAAGACCCAGAGAGCAAACTGAACCTATGAAAGCACGCCAAAACCGTCTCAATGCTTTACTTATGAGTATCATGCCGCATTCATGTTTACCGCAATGATATATCTTGCCTGCTGAGCACAATTGATAATGCAGATCGGTAGTACTATTTTAAGACAGCTATCGGTATCAGACTGGATGATATTGACCTCCAGAAGCTTAAGTTGCGCACCAGCCCTCCTCGCCCTTGTTTCGAATAGGTCTTTGTCTCACTCAAGTGAACAGGCTTTGCATCTTCGTATTATCACTGTGAAGCAGTCTGTCCCTTTGTGGGTTTTGAGGCCATGAGCAAGAGCCAGCCAGATCATGGAATGATCACTTGGTTGGCAAGGTAATCAAGCCCGGCCATTCCACCTTGAAATTGCTTACATGAACCATTTCTCTCCTTTTTTCCCCTTCATATTTCGCATTTTCTCCCGCTTCGCCTGAAACTCTGCTTCCGAATTTAGCAGACCCTACAATTCTCCCCTCCCAAAATTGTCCGCTTGCTTAACTCTGCTCAACTCGCTCAATTGATGGATTCTTCATCGCTTTGGCTCAAGATTCGCTAATTTCGTCTTCAAAGCCACCAGAATTCCAAGACGGAGCCAGTCACCAACGCGCAACAGTCTGTCAACATACCCCAGCCTGCGAACACGCAGCTATACGGCAACACGCCGCAGCCTACCAGCATGGAGCAAACCGCCATCAACTTTCCCTTTTCCTTTTTTCTGGTAAACAATTCCATATTTGATAACCGGATAAAAGTAAGCACCATCTCCCCATGTCTCCGATCCCGTGCCCCCGCTGACCCCCCAAGAGCTTCGTGTTGGACGAGGTCGAGGCCATCACGACCATCGAGTACATTGAGAAGCACAAGCCTAGCGACACCGTACATCCCGAGTACCTCGCCCACCTAAGCCGCCCCACGAAGGAGCGAGTCGAGTTCTGCGACAAGACGCTCGCCGCGCTCGACCGAGCCTGGAAGCAATCAGTCCGCCAGGGCATTCTCGTCCCGACCAGCAGGCCCCTGAGATCGGCATCCTCGAGGACTGCTATGAGAACAACAAGAAGCTCTGGGAGAAGCTCCGAGGCCTCATCGATGCCCATACCCGGAGTCGGGACTCCGGCTCGGAAAGCCAGTCTTCAATGAAGCAACGATGGGAGCACCGTCAAAGAAGGACGTAGGGAATAGGCAGCTTTCTGCTACATTGGATGCGCGAGAGGTAGCTCACTCAGGGAGAATTAGGTCAAGAAGAACGGCTGCATAGTGTACAAATCGATTTGCCTCTTCACTTTTCTTACATTTGTGGTGTTGATAACCGCCGACCCATGTCCCTTGCCACACGGTTAAGCAGAGAACAGCAAGGTCGTCAAACACGTGCCTGGAATTGGCAGGCGTCGCTGTGAAACCTCTCACGCATCCATCACCTCAGATCAGCAGTATAATCGATTAAAGGCTGTCTTGTCTCTATTGAGTTGTCTCGAAAACGTCTACCCGCCAACGCAAACCCAATAACATCAAACCAAGAACCAAAGCATGCGTCTACCCTTCCATTTGCTGTTTCGTGTTTGTGAAAGCGCAACATCCGAAGAGAAGCAGACCGGTGACTTTCTCTGCATACCGGAAACGCGGCAGTTGATCTCGCTCAAAACCTGAATCTCCAACGCCGTGACTGTACGGTCGCTTCCTGCTATCAAACTGATCGTCTTATGGCCCCTGTGCAGGAACGTCATCTTGGTTAGAAACTGCGAACACTGCTGCATTTCCCATATGCACTTGACAAGTCACTCAGTACGGCTTGGCCCAGCCCCAGTCCCAAGAATCCGCTTTCTTAACCTTGGCAGTGGACGGCTCGCCCCATGTGTCAGAAGACCTCTCCTGCTCGGACTCGAAATCGGGCGTCTCGGCACCCCAGGCACCCCAATCGCAAGCGTTTGCCGCAACACAGCGGTCTACAATGGAGCCCTCAGACTTCAGGTAGGGCTGAGAGGGGACGGCCGTCACTTTTTTGGCACGCATCTTCGTCTGGTGCTTCTTGTCGCGTGTCTCGTTCCAGCCCTGGACCGATCGGGCTCCCAGCTTTTCGTCCATGCGATTCTCCATCTTCTTCTCAAGTTTGTCGCTCTTCAAGTTGAGACGGTGGAGTGCTTCGTCGAAGCTCCTCTGAAGCTCCTCCTCCTTGTCGTCGATACGTTGCAGGGCCTCTCTCATGTCCTCATAGATCTCGTCGAAGAGTCTTGGCTTGACACAGTCAGCCATCTCGTGGGAGACAGCGTCCTTGATCTCGTGCTTGATGAATTCGTGTTTGATGTTCGAGTTGATATACTCGATGAGCTCTTCCTTGAGCTCAGTCTTGAGTTCGGTCATGATGTCGGCCTTGAGGTCGGTGACCTTGGCCTTGAGCTTGTTCTTGAGTTTGCTCTTGAGCTCGGCCTTGATCTCGGTCTTCAGCTCCTTCTTCAGCTCTTTCTTCAGCTCCTCAATGATAGAGGCCTTGAGGTCCTCTCGCTCCTTGGCCTGAGTTTCGATGGTTCCGTTTGTGTTTGGGTAGCCAGAGGCGTGGGTCTTTTGCTCTAGACCATACTGGCCATTGCCCTTGTCGCCATTCTGTTTCACATCAGACTCCCCATGGGCCAAATTGATGTCCGAGAAAGCATCGTTCAGAGCAATCTTGACAGCCTCAAGCTCGTTCTTCTCATTGTGAAGGTCCATCTGGAAAGAAGCAATCTCTTGGGGGTCGAAAATACCCATTCCAGAGCAAGAGCTAGAAGTCGGGGTAGTGTTCAGTGGGTTGTCGTAGTTGGCGAAGTTGTTGCACTGGATGGCGACGAGCTCTTCGACGGCCGCCATGGCCTTCTCCAACTCAACATTGATGGACGCAAACTCGGTTCCTTTCTCGAGAAGCTGCTCTTTGGCCAAGGCGAACTCGTCCTTCTCTTTCATCAGGGCCTTGGTTGCAGCGTCGAGTCGGTCCGCCGCTTGGGTCAAGAGGGCGTTGGAGGCCTCATTGTTCTCCATCATCTGGAATCATTGGTCAGGTCGCATTATTGCCAGAAAAGCCTTGATAATAACGATTTTGGTTTCTGGACAAAGTCCGCCAAGTGCTTCAAAGTCAGTACTCACCTTTCTGATGCTAGCGGCCTGAGGGCCGACGTCGATGTTCAGTTCCTGACGCATAGTGACTGATTTGCTGGTCTGAAAGGTGAGTTATAACACCGGGTCAAGGAAGTTAGAAACAAATGTTCTAAGAGTATCTTACATCAATCTGATATTTATCCGATGAAAGCGGATGGTTGTGAGTGAAAGAGTTTGCGTCTAGGAGCAACTGCGGCGTGTCGGGGGCAAGGTGAGAGATTTGGATGGATGAGACGAGTAAAGTTGAACAGTGCGAAGAAAGCAGCGTAGAAATTGTGCAGGGCAAGTGAGTTGTGTGAGCCACAAAAGATTGTTGCCCTAGGAGCCTTTTGCTTGTTGGGTTGTTTCTCTTGCTTGGAAGGAAGGTGCTCTACATCAAGTGAGTTTGGAAGGTGCGACAAAGCAAAAAGAGTGAAATGTCACTTGAAGGATTCTTGCCTCAGACAATGGATGCTCAAATCGTCGCCTCAAATAAAGACTTGCGTCTCAGTCTCACCCTTTGCAACAACAAGAGAACTATGGCCACGAGGTGGAAGCTCTATTACAGATGCTGTCATGTCATTAACCTCAAGAAGTACATGCAGAACACCCACTTCTTTTACACACACACTCATTACTGTGTTTAATAACCACCATAGTTCTCAGGTAAGGCCCTCTCTCATGCAGTCACGGAACTAGTACAAAGCCATCTAGACTAATCTGGCCTATATCCCTTCTATCTGTTATATCCAAGTTACACCGATACATCTCTTGCCACACTCAAGCTTGATAATGACCATGATTTATAAGCCGGTTAAATGCGTCTTGACGCTAGGGTGCTCGATATATTAGCAAAAGGTGCCCGTGTGGTCAGTCTGTCTACCCATATACATGTGCCTCACTTGCCAAATAGAGTGGAAGGTCGGCGAAAGCAGGACGTCAGCACCAGCCGATGTGTCATTTGTTGCCTCTGCTTAAGTGGCTGGCAGGTGGCAGGTATTTAGGGTAGTGTAGGGGATGGTGGATATGTACATAAAAACGTGGATAGACATATAAAGATGCACTCGTCGATCCCGGCCCAACGGACAGGTAGACTAAACAGGTGCCTAAACTGGCGCAGGTCAGATAAGATGATACTTCTGCTTTGTACTATTTCAATCAGAATGTCCCCATAAACGACAGATGCCGTCCGTTGTGCAAGGTGGGCTGGGGCTTGAAACCAAAGGCTTTGCTATCATCTCCACTAATCCAATTATAGTTGGATCTCGATGAATACTTGGGATCTAGACTAAAATGTGGGGAACGAGGCGTTTATCGCCGGCGCATTCCGAGGCGTTAACATTAGGGCTCGAAAGGAAGCCTGGCTCGAGCCGCGGGGGTGAGGCCTTGACGGGTCATAGCGTCGATGCATGGAATCGGACGATAGAATGGAAAGCAGTCGCTTCGCGGGAATCATTTTGGAATTATATCACCATCGACGCTAGATAAGCATGATGGATGAAAGTTGTTTACGCAGAAAGCAACCCCCAAATATCAACCTCCGTGCTTTCTGCATGCGTGATTTGTAATGGCCTTCTGTAGATTCTGGGCGACGTTCAGATATAACTATCGGAATCGCAAGTTTTGGGCATTCGGACGACACACAGACTCTTACCTGAAATGTTGGGCTCCAAGCCTAAATTCTTTGACACCAACCTCCATGGAACCCTAGGGCACAGACAAACTGCCTAGTCTTCCTGTTTGCGACCTAGGTGTGTCCCTCAGCTGTGGCTGAGGCTGATGCCATTTGGCTTGACACACGTGGTTGCTTACCATTTTCTCTATCACTGCACAGGCTTTTCTCTTTATACGTTCCAGACACAAGCGATGTGCAGGCTCTGTAAGAACAACGCGGTTTTCATTGTTTATCTCATCGGCTGGGAACCTTTGTTTCCCCTCTTTGTTCAGTCGTCCATGCGTTGAAGTCTTACTGGCTGACTAAGAACTTGACATGGGCCGGACCCCTTTCGACACTCAAGAGGGCAACATCGGATACCATAGGCACCACGCAGGCGTGAGTGGGCCCGCTTGAGCGCATCTCGCTTTGCATAATAGACAAGCGATGTGGGAGATGGTGAGCAGTCCAGGCAGAGCTCTTGAGCGTGGAGGGATTGGTAGGTACAGAGTAGTGTGTGTAGTGTTAATAGATGCCGGGAGGTTGGAAAGGCTAGATTTAGTGTTACCAGGACGTTAACGCTGTATGGTAGATTATTAGGCTTCTCTACCTTAGCAGGCGGCGGTCACGGTGGCGTTTGGTGGCTGTAGATAGATACACGAAGAGGGTACTTGTTGATCCTAGCTGGCCTAACAGATGGGTAGACTAAGCGTGGCTGGCAAAAGTTCTATGTTAAAGTAGGGCACTGTGATTGATGGAACGTTGTATAGCTCCCTTCTGGTAACTGCAAGTATCACATGTCTTGGTCGTCAACCTGTTTTGCGGGTTGACTGGAACCCAGGTCACATGCCCTTGTTGAGCCGGAGGCTTGAAATACATGGCTGTAGTGGAAACGTGGAGGTTTTACTATGGGCTGGAGTAGTGTAGAGCTTTAACGGATCGGAGTGATATTGACCAAATCGTGGGATCCGAGACATCAGAGTTCCGCGAGATTAAGCCTTCCAGGATTTGTATAAAGACGACCTCGTTCGCGTCTGGAAAGAGATCCCTTGACGCTCCCACACCATCGCATCTCGACAGCCTGCCAAAACCACTACTTCCGCCGCCAACTACAACGACAACCTTAATCTAACGCCTTGTCCTCCCCACATCTTTCTGACAATATGCACACTTCAAGTCTCCTCTTCGCCGGCCTCTTGGCAATGTCCAACGCTGCGGCCCTTCCGCAGGCTGAAGAAGCTTCTCTCCTCACGGCCCGCAGGGGTGGAAGTGACAGCGGCAGCGGAAGTGGCAGTGGAAAGTCATGCGACGTCTGGGCCAAGGTCAATGCGGATCTCAACTCAGCCTTCATGATCGGTAACCAGTGCAACGACATGGCGCGCGCGGCAATCCGCGCCATCTTCCACGACTGCGGGTCGTGGGATACAACGCAGGGGTTCACCGGCGGCTGCGACGGCTCGCTGATCCTGGGGACGACGTACAACGGCAGCCAGGACATTGAGCTGAACCGCGGTGAAAACAGGGGGCTGCAGAAGATCTCTTCAGTGCTGCAGGATATGGCTACTCGTTATTCTGTGCCGGTTGCGGACATGATTGTGTTTGCCGGGAGTGAGTGTCCTCCCATCCGCTTACTTCTCCCCCCAGGGCAATATTTTAACCCAGAGCCGCAGATGCTGCCATCTTCCTCTGCCCCGGCGGTCCCAAGGTCAAGACCTTCATCGGCCGGACGGACAGCACAACGTCGGCCAAGCCCGGCGGCCTACCCGACGTTTTTGACACGGCGCAGAACCTCTTCACCCTATTCCAGAACAAGGGTTACGGTGCCGAGGACCTCGCCGCGCTGTTGGGCGCCCACAGCACCTCGACGCAGAATTTTGTCGATGAGACAAAGAAGAACGCGTCCCAGGATTCCACGTGAGCTCTTGAAACCACCCATCATAACTGTTTATTTAGCTGTCACTCTCGTTTTCAATGTCTTTGGCTGACGCTGTTGATGAATAGCCCGGGCCAGTGGGACGTCAGCTACTACAAGGAGACGTACGACTACGCGACCAAGAAGACGGCCGCCCCCGGCGTTTTCGTCTTCCCTTCAGACGAAAAGCTCGCCACGCAGACCGACGTCGGAAAGAAGTTCCAGGGCTTTATTGGCAACCAGAACAAATGGGCCAGCAGCTTCGCCAACGCGTATGTCGCTCTGTTCATCAGACTGTTGCAGAGGTACTGACCGGATATTTCTTTTAGCATGGAGAAGATGGCGTTGTTCGGAAACGACAAGAGCAAGATGGTTGACTGCACCAATCAGATCCAGAAGCTGTAGAAAGCGAATCTGATCTGATTTAATGACTTGACGGACAACTTTGAATTCTTTTTCTATTTCTAAGGACGGGTTTGATGGCTTTAACGATGCTGTTTATTATTCACGACCGTCATGACTCGAGATACTTATGAACTTTTCTTCTCTATCTTAATAGATTCTTTTCACTGATAAAACTGCAATGATATCCCTTACTTGGTTCTCTGATGAACATGCTTTTTTAGGTTGCTACAAGGCCTGGAACGCTCAGGCTCAGAACTGACTTGATGAGACACCAGTGTATGAAAAATACAGGATTGACTGACCAAAACATTCACCGGTCACGATATACAAACCCCCTGATCATATTTTCTGTATGGATGCTTTGAAACTTGTTGACTTGGGCACTGCACCAAGCTATTATAAGTGCTGGCCGCGCCAAGTTAGGACACATACGACCATACCCACTGGAAAACTCGGGATCCCGTCCGCTCTCCCATAGATAAGCCAGTGAGGGCCGGATTAGTAGTTGGGTCGGTGACGACCAGCGAATACCTGGTGTTGTATGTTTTTTGGATGTTGTCATCTCAGTATCTAAAGCCTTAGATCTAACTAAGCCTTAGCAACCAGCTAGAGGGATTTTCCAAGTTGCATGTGACGAATAGATTAAGTAGAGAATTGGGCGCTCGATGCTATACCATAATCGTAGCTTTAATCACCTTGTGGTTCAGGTCTTAAATCTAGAGAAGCTTGCTGACGACAATGACCACCACGACTACCCTTATTGCTAGGGCTTTAGTACCATCTTCCGGAACGCCTACATGGCTTACTCAGATGAGACCCTCCTCCAGGCTCTGAAGAAACTCGATATCTGCGCCCTGTGCCTTATCAACCAAGATATCCAAACAAAACCGTTACCAAACAAGGCGCTTCTGGATGCTAAGCTGAACCCTAAGCTCTGGGGCCGCTAGAACAACGAGCTCATCCAAAACCCGAGGAAACTTACCGACTTCGACATAGAAGAGGTTGGGAAACGCTTTGACGCCTGAACCGTCAAATACGTGCACCCGGACGCTCTCCATAGTGATCTTGCCAACTCGCGCGTCCGGCTATGCTGGCTTTTAGCTCAAGAGAGCATCGACCATTTGCTCGCCATCTCGACGAACTGTATATTGCTATGTCGCAGGACCGGCATAAATAGGATCGCTGAGTTGAGGTCGTCACCGGGAACAGAAGCCTGGACGGAGTCAGCCGACAGTGGCTTTGTGTAGGCATTGACAACCTGTGGTCTCTATTGTTTGGGGTACAAGACCCAGAAATCATATCGGATGAAAAGGGGCAGGTCATTGAGAAGAAGAAAGGGATTGTGGACTGGTAGGGCCTGGTAGGTCATCTGCGGCACGAGTAACTACTTCTCGCTTGGGTCGACGACAGCAGCTATTTGATGGACGGTCGACTAGTGCCAAATAGACCAATGGTTAACCAATATATATAATCATAGCAGACGTCAAAATATGACCGAATTGCACACGAAACTCAAAAGGTGCTATGAGTGTGGGAGAGGATAGAAAAGGACCGCACAACTATTATTTCCAATAGAATCACATGAATACGTTCTTGCCCAAGAAGTGTCTAGCCAATCCGGCAACAACCTCCAACTGCGAGGTAGGATCCGAATCGTACTTCAGTCTCTCCGCCGCGCGGCTGAAGATGTGCCACACCTCTATGTATTTGTGTTCCGTGTTCCGGTTCGTCCCGATAGACTTCAGCGCGAAGTCCATCTGCTCGCGTTTGCGTATCTTCAACAAATCCTCTTTATGGATCGCCACAGTCGGATCGAGCTGTCCTGTCTTACTGGTATGGAAGATGCCCAATCTGACGCATTCAATGATGAGGGCTGCCAAGCCCGTGGCGAGGGCATTTGCAACCGAGCTGCCTGAGTGGCCCTCAAGCTTTTGACTGCCGGTGCCGTACACACTCTCGATGGGTTCCATCGTGACCGGGGAAAGTGTAACTCAGCCAATCCGCATCGCCGACGTTGCTCGCGGTCGCCCCAGTCGCTTTCGCTGCGCCAACTCTAAAACTCTTTGTGCCGATGCTGTGCGGATACGTCTGGTCTGCCGTCTTCCCCTGATCGCTGGCCGCGCAAAACATGAGGATGCCCTTCTTTCCAGCTTTGATTATTTCGTCCTCAAATGCGTCCTTGATAGAGTCCTTTAAAGGCGGTTTTATGGTCCACGACATACACATGATATGTACCCCTCGTTCGATTGCGTATTTGATAGCCTGATTTCTATTAGAGAACCTCAACAGTGACAAGGGAGTGCTTCCAGCGAACGGTATTTCCCACCTTTATTGCGCTTTCAGGGCGGATCTGAAGCCTAGAGGAGCTTTCAAACGTATCTAATTTGATGACATGGACGATTGCGCTAGGACAGACGTGGTGAATGAGCATTGCCATCGCCGTCCCGTGACCAGATGACGAATGCCAATAAGGCGAGACGCGCCACGTCGAGCCTTCCCGATAGTGACAAAAGCTTTGTCCTGGAAATTTGAAGCCCTTGAGAACATCATGAGTGATATCTGCTCCATCGTCTATCAATGCGACTTGAACTGGACCCAAGGACTGATCGGTCACAGGTTCTCGAAGCACTTGAACCTGTCGGAATTAGGAAGCAAAGTCCCCCATGCACTGCATCCATTTGTGTGGATCAATTGGACGCTGGTCGTTATGGCTTAGCTGGACGCTGAGTTGTATACCTCCCTCCTGAAAGATGTCGCTGGTTGGCTTCGGGCGAGTAACCCGAGGTGGACTCAGCTCGTGCGGCCACGTCTTACGGAGCCTCTTCTCGAACTCCTCAATGTTTTTCCTATTTCTGTTTTCAGACTCTAAGTCCTGATGATAGGATGTTGAAGTCAGCTTCCCAAAGAGCATTTGGTTCAATCTTCACTCAACCTACCTCAACTTGATTGAGATGGATCGACTTTAACGTGGGTATTTTGACCAATCCATCGGGCTCTGACCACGCTCTGAGCACAGTATTTCTGCCACTCCACTGGAGGTAAACTTCTCTTAGGCATTTACCTACTCGAGCAAGTGTTACTGGGTCCAAATCCGGCCTCCGCCAGTCGAGGACCTCCACGTCCTGTCGGAGATGAGCAGAAGCATAAAAAAACACATTGTGTTCAAGGTTTGTATACTATGACTTACAATTGACTCCAAAGCTTTTTCGATTGCCTCGTCGCTATGGTAAGGCGGCTCAAGGTCGTCAACAATCACCTAAGAATTAATCTGTGAGACGTGGCAGGAATACATGAGAAATAAAGCTTGGGTGGAAACACACCTTCAAGATTCGCTTGACCCCTTTTTCTTTCTGCCAATTGAAGAAGAAAGTCATATCCTGAAGTCTTCAGTCTTTAAGCACTAGGGTAGATCGAACTGTTTGAACAAACCTACCGTCCGAGCCTTTTGCGGTGTGTTGGAAATGTCGTCTTTCTTATTTTCCAACTGAATCCGTGGAAAAGATACGTACTGCAGGGCAGAGTCGAACTGAAGATGGTCAAAATGTCTCTTAAAATTGCCCCTAGTAAACGTCCTGGGTGGGCCAAAGTCAAACCACATTTCTTTTCGCTCTGGAATAGGGTTAGAAGTCAACGTAGAAAGAGGTGCTCACTACTACAGAACGTAGTGAATGTTTATTGAATTACCTATCTCCTCAGGCGAGTGGAGCAAATGAACTATTCGGTCTGGTGTTTGCGTAAGAAGGTAATGGAGTTTTATCTGCTCTTCGATTTGGCGAGAAGCGTCTTCTTGATCTTGTTCGCTCTGTGCATCTTGCTCTATCGTGTTTTGAACAGAAACACCGGTTACGTTAGAGATCCTTACTTTCCGTTCATTAGATCTGGGCATCTTGTTGCCGCCTGATGCTTCTTTGTGGAAGGACTCTCCTCGCCGTAGCCCAGCTTCAGTCCGATCCATCTTGCTATCTGGTAGCGGTGGAGGTCCCATGGTCCCTTTCTCCATCCTTAACACTACGCTTTTAGACTCAGTATTCAGATTGGATGGTGTGGTCCGATGGTCTTTCCCGTAAGTTGCAGCATTTTGAGGCGGCTTCCTCTGTTGACTTGCTGGCGATTTTGCAGCTCGTCCCCGTAACCTCTGATAGTACTGATAGATGGAAAGAGGTCGTTCGGAGAACGATGGAGTGAATTCCACCGTTAGTGCCTCCGGTCCACGCAGAAGCATCTCTTTGACAATACCAACTTGGGTTTTGCAGCATCTCTCATACTCAATAGCTAAATGGAGAGGTACACGGCCTTGCAAATCTTTGATGGCGAACATTTCCTTTGGCACGAAACTGCACATCCTTCTGATGATGGTTTCCCTTGTTTTCTCGTTGGCGAAGGTGAATTCAAGGGCAGTATGTAGGCAAGTTGTCGCTTTTCGGTTCTTAACACACTCGCTGCGCACAGCTTCGGTGAGGAGTGGAGTGGTCTCGGGCGGTAGGTTGATGCAAGCTGCGTGAGTAAACATTGCGTTGCCCTTGAGGGTGGTTGGTATCGACCGAAACCAAAACATGGTCGGCACAGTGATATATTTCAGGCCTACTTGACGCATCTGACCTACGAAGCAGACCTGTGAGGTGATCGGGATATGAGACTGCTGTATGCAACCCAGTTCTGGGTTCGGCACTACCAGCCAAGGGATGATGCAGCAACTCGTTTGGCTGAGCTTTTAACGATATGCCAAGACTCCAACGCTGGTTGGGTGCATTCATGGTATTGCTTAATTTGTTCATAAAGCCAATGGCGGCCAACCGGGTTTCTCTTGCGCTTGCCGCTCACTTTGGGCTTGATGATATACTACAATCTCTCGTAGAGAAGACTCAAGACGGCATTGAAGCACGAGGGCAAGCTTTGATCGAAGCCGCTAGGAACGGCCAGAAATCTTCTCTTCAAATTCTTATCACGTCAAAAGGGCACGGCCTCGATGTAAACGACACATATGTCCAGGCCGCGATGCAAGCAGCATGTTCATGCGGACATGATGAGCTTTTCAAGATTCTACTGGATGCTATACCACCTTCAACACAACAAACCTTTACTGAAAGTCGAAAAGAGGAGACTTTTGGAGAGGTCCTTCATGAAAAGAACCCCACGTTTGAGGAAGACCTTGTAGTTGGTGTGGAAAACCAGCTTGCAGATGTCGAGTCTAACGCGAAATATTCTCCTGATGAGCAGCTTCCAGACGACGCCTTTGATGACGTTGCAATACCAGGTTCAGACACTTCCCACAAGCCATTGCGTTGGTTGGCAGCCCCGCTCAACAGAGCATCCTACCTGGGGCTGGACAACATAGTCTCGAGGTTGCTGCTATCCCTCGGCGCGGATCCTGACGGAACAGAAAAAAACGACCCGAGAAAGTGGCGCCCTCTTCATCTGGCCGCTTTCAACAACAATTTCAAGACAGCCAAGCTGTTGATAGATGCTGGCGAGAATTTGACTGCTGCAATGGACCGAAAGGGTTTTACACCCCTGCATTTGGTCAGGACTGGTGGCGCGGAGATTGTCCAGCTTTTACTTGACAAAGGGTCGTCCATTACCACTCCGGACCGCTTTGGCTTCACACCTTTGCTATTGATGTCCGCATGGGGATGTGCGGCCGCAATAGAAACACTTCTTCATCATAAAAGCCTTGCGGAACATTTGCCGTCTGATACAAAACAACAGCCACTCATATTGGCTGCAAGCCGAGGCTTCTACAAGAGCGTTGAGATTCTACTCCGATATGGGGCAGACCCAAACCAGCCTGACTCGAGAGACGAGACGGCTCTGCAATAAGTGGTTCGCAACGGCGAAACTGACATTTGCCGCCTTGTGTTGCAACATGGTGCGGATCCAGATTTTACAGCTAACGAAGAACGCTCGACCCCTCTAGTCACAGCAGTGGGCAGACAATATACAGACTTGGTCAAGCTTCTCGTCGAAAATGGTGCAGACATCGAAGCCAGGGAAACGCCTCCCACTCTCTGGAAACGTACACCTCGTAGGTGACAACCCCCTCGATGGTGTCTACCACCGACTAACTAGTCACAGTGCGCATTGCCGCAAGTCGTGAAGACCCTGGCATCGTGGAATTTCTCGTTTCAAAAGGAGCGAATCTTGAGGCGGTTGATAAGGATGGCTGGTCTGCAATCTTTGCATCATCACTGTTCGGGAGAGCAGAAAGTGTCCGCATCTTTGCTAGAGCCGGCGTCGATGTGAAATCATACTTCGGTGAGAATACAGAAACTCCGTTGCATGTCGCCATAAAGTTTCCCGAGACTGTTAGAGTTCTTCTTCAACATGGCGCAAACGTCAACCAACCATCTTCGGATGACGACGAGCTTTGCACGCCATTCGATAGAGCTGTACGAGACAACCAAGTGGAAACGGTCAAAATCATGCTCGAAGAGGCAAAGAAGGCTCCCGATTTGACACTTCCTTCCACCAAGAAAGCCTTACTAGATGCAGTAGCTTGGGGCTACGAAGGTGTAGTTGCCCTCGTTCTTGAGGCCGGCGCAGACGTCAATCTTGTGGACGAAAGCGGCTGGTCGCTTGTTGCCCTTGCCGTACAGGACAAGAGCCCGACGTTGATGCGCTCGATTCTGGAATACCGCCCTGACATCAACACTAGAGATATGGACGACGATACACCTCTACATCTGATCGCAACAGGGACTCCCCTAGAGACAGTCCGCCTTCTGGTTCACGCCGGGGCTGAGCTAACTGCAACAAATAAGTCTAGTTGGACTCCCATCATAAACGTCTTGAGAATAGGCCATGAGGAGGTCGCCAGGTACTTGCTGACGAAAAGTTCCGTCCTTGCTATTCTCAAGACTCCTCCCGTCAAAGATGCCCTTGGACCTCTACAAGCTGCCTGTTCTTCTGGCAACTTAAATCTGGTACAGTTACTGGTTGAAAAGGGTTGTGACGTAAACAGTCAGTGTGGAGCGTTCTTCGCCACCCCTTTGATGGCGGCTGCAAGTCGAAATAAAGCTGTCCAGGATACGGAGCGAATGAAGACCATGCAATATCTCCTTGACAGAGGCGCTGACCCCACCATCCCAGCTGGTCACGTCGCATACGCCATCAGCTTCGCAGCCTGGGAGTGTTCTCCTGACATAGTCCAATTTATCCTGGACCGCAAAGCTTCTACCAATGTCAGTGATGGCTTTGGCCGAAAACCGATACATCTCGCCTGTTACAACTCACTCGCGGTACTGAACCTTCTTGAGGTCCAAGACGGAGACTTTACAGTCAAAGATTCGACCGGGCGGCTGCCTCTCTACTACGCCGTTCTCAGCGGGCAAATGGCGCTTGTGAATGAAGTGTTACTGCGCTCCGAAAGGGTTGGCATCGACATAAATGTCGTAGACAAGAACGACTGGACCCCACTGATGTGGGCAACACGGGCTTCATGCTTGAATGACCGCACTCAGCATGAAATCGCTCAAGATGAAGACGTGATCTCACTTTTACTTGAGAAAGGGGCCAACAAGAAGCTACTTGCCAATGGGCTCAACAGGAAATGGAGCGCCCTAGACATCGCCCAGTATCATCATGCCGAAAGGTGAGTCGCCATGGGCTGTTGCTCAACTCTCATATGGGGGGGCGGTGGGGGTAACACCCATTCCAACTGTCACAGTTGCCATGTTGTCGTTCTCCACAGATGTATTCACGCTTGGTGAGAATTCAGCCGCTAACTCAGTGACAACGTAGGATTGCGATGCTACTCGGAGATGCCTCACCACCGCACGAGACTTCTGGTCCAATTTTGAAAGGCACGTTCGCGGAAGGGAGGTGGTGCGACTGTTGCTTAGTTGAGATTTGGGGTTTGTACTCGGAATGCGTTACTTGCCCGCATTACTATCTGTGTCACAAGTGCTACTTGGCCAAGTCATTTTTTCATCCTGAACATGAATTCAACGCTGCTGGCAGCGAATTCTATTCGACTCGCGAAGTCATTGAGAAGGCAGTCTCGGTAAAGTCTGGATCCGGGAAGGGGGAACTTAGCGGCGAGGAAGGAGAGACCTCGAATCAGTTCGACGACGAGATTATAGATGAGGAGAACTTGGTTAAAACGGAAGACACGGTCGAGGTGAGTACACTAGAAGGCCACCAATATGATGATGGTCCTGTAGCAGAGTAGTTTTCCAAAAAGCTTTTCGCCATCGGCTTCTTGCGTCCTTGTTGGACCGAAGAGGCCACCTTAGCTATCTTCTCTTCTATATATCTTGCTTGACAGGTCTTTCATTTCATTGATTTCGGCAGGATCCTTGTGGCAAGGCTGCAGTAGCAATGGTTTCTTGCCTTATTTTGTGTTCCAATATGATTGAGTGGCCTTGTATTAGCTTAATATCTTCATCGCCGGGATCGCCAAATCGCCTCGGTATTGGCCTTTCTGAACATTGTCCCGTTCCTGGACTGAATTGAAGACAGACTTTGAGAACTATTCTCTCCCCTTTCCCAGCGTTGAGATCTTATTATCTTCGAAGGGGCTCCCAGACCTCAGTCAAGACCGAATCTCAGGGCTGGCGATAAGTCAACCTACCCACTTTTTGGCACCCCCCATATTTCGGCATGCCAAAAATGAAGCCATTACAACCAACACCACTTTATTTAATTAACTATTAACAACCTCTTGATGCCACGATAATACAGCTTTTGGCCTTACTAGGTAATTTAGATGCGCTGGATTTATCTATATCACTTTTAACTTCACTAGCCTCCTGCTGCGATTACTGCACCTCTTTGATTGTCGTAAACTTTGTGTTAGGATCTATATGAACAGCCTTCTGTTTCCTAGGTATACTGTTGGCAACTTGGGCTTCTAGAAGGCTGATTTTTTGCTGGGCAGTAGCTAGTATATAGGACTGTTCTTGGAAGCCTTTTTTGACCTTTCTGAATAGTTGGCGTTGTGTGGCGATGCTTTGTTCTAGCTAGCTGAAGAGCTATAGTTGGTCCCTAAGGTCTTTTACCTTCTTTGGCGTAGACCACTTTACTGTAGATAAGGCTAATGCCTAGCCCTCTATATTATAGGCATCCTAGGCTATATGGGTATCTTTGGCAGCTGCTTTAAGTGGTGTTGATGGTGTTGTTGTTGACGATGTTGCCTTTTGGACTAGTAGCCTATTTATAAGTGGCTTTGTAGCACTAATAGGCTATAACCTAGTGTATTTCTAGCTACTCTTAATGTTGCTAATAGTTAGACTAGCTAGGTAAGCCTTTTAATAGCAGGAAAGGAAGTTCCTTTTGCCTACAACAGTAGAGTTAATCTACTGACTAAGATATCTAAGCTTCTTCTAATATACTGCCTTAATAGGGCTAAAGACTGACTAGTTAAGTGGCTAGAGGACATGAGAGGTATGTGGCGGCAAGAATAAGAGATAGATGTTATTAGTATAGTATAACTATATAAAATCTGTTGTTGTATAGCTCCTATGCCTATCTAGGATAAGGAGTCTGGCCTGGTTAGGCTAGGAGGGCTTAGTCTAAGGAAGGAAGACTCTCTGTAGCTATTTAACAGTAGTAATATTAGTAGTCTATTTATTCTCTGTTGCTATAAACTCCTATCTATTATATAGGCCTAGATCTAGAGGGAACTACTACTGCTGGACTATTTTGCCCTTATATATAACTAAGGGATAGATAGTAATGCCCTTAGTAGATATACACTTAATAATAGATACCTAGGCTTATGATCTAGGCTGTTTTTTCTTTACTGCCTTTGTTGAAGCCTTACTTAGCATTAGCCTATTATTGCCTTTGCCCTTAAGGATACTAGTCTTATCTATATTATATCTGTTGGCTGGTTTGATGGCTTGGATGCAAGGTATGGCGAGATATTTGAACTAGTCCCTGATAACCTTAGTAGATGCCCTATTAATATGCCTTAAATTAATGGATCAACTTCTCTGGACCTTAACAGATAGGTTCCTTTGAATGAAGCTATCTACCTACCTTTTGCCTAGAGGTTGGGTATCCCCTATAGCTTGGAGGATGCGATGGGTAAAGTCCTTTAGTTGTTGATGGGTTGGTGGGTGCCTGAGGTCTGCCTGGGTAGTCACCTAACTGGCCAGGCTGGCCTCCTGGCTAGTTGAAAGCCTCTGGAGGTCTTTAAATGCTGCTTTCCTTGGTTGGGTACCTCTTAGTTGATACTGGAGGGTTGTTCGTGGGATGCTGTAGATAGAAGCTGCCTGGACAACACTATGGCTGTTTTTAACAGCGTTAATTGCTTGATTGATCTCATCTTTGGTATACTGAACCATTGGTATATAAAGAAGGTATCCTGAAAAAATGAAGTGATTTGATAAAGGTTGAAAAAAGTGGTAGTAGTTTGAAGTTATAGATATAGCTGTTAATGGGGTGGCTGGGCGGCATTTTTGGCATGCCGAAATGTGGGGGGTGCCGAAAAGTGGGTGGGTTGACTTATAGCATTCCTCCTGCAGCCTGCACGTCTTGCCAGAATAGGTAAGTAGTTCGTTCCCACATCGAAATTTAAGTATTAAAGCGGCGGTTGTCTTCTTATCGTTGATGCCAAGAAACCCGTGAAAGAGGGGCTTTGCTGGAATACCCATGTCGCAGCAAGGGTGTTATTTTGGCTCAAATGCAGGCAGCAGCGACACAGCAACAGTTGAATCAAGCATGGCTGTCTAGGTGTGTTCATAAAAGATTACTGCTTACCCCTGCCGGCTGAGCCTGACTGTCAAGCTCTTCTATCTCAACTCTCTTGTTTCGATCCACGTGTCCACCAGCCGAAGTCTAGACACAGACTGGCATCGGGCCTGATCAGCAATGTCTACCACCTCTCATCACGACCTTCGTGAAATCACTATACCGACCGAATTAGCCTCGGATCATACACAGGAAAAGAGGGCATGGGATTCCACGAACGAGAATGAGAACAAAACAGAGACTCTGGCGAAACGACCACGCTCAATGGCCTGTGAGCTCAACGATACTGAGAGCCCAGAACACCACACCAGGAAAGAGCTGTCTCATGAAGACTATACCGTTGTATGGGTGTGCGCTCTTCCTATGGAAATGGCTGCGGCGAAAGCGATGCTTGAAGTTGTGCACAAGCCCCTTTTGATGAACCCTAACGACACCAACCAATATGTTTTCGGCAGCATCGCTCGCCACAACATCGTTCTTGTTTGCCTACCATCTGGGCAATACGGCATGGCTAGGGCTGCTATCTTCGCAAACCAAATACACTGGAACTTCCCTTCTATCTACATAAAGCTGACGGTTGGGATTGGCGGTGGTGTTCCCAGCAAAGGCGATATGCGGCTCGGTGATGTTGTGGTTGGCCAGACTGGAACATTTCGCGTAACTGATTTCCTAGGCTACCCCCCTTGGACTATCTATCAGGCAGTCACCAAGCTGTGGGCCGATCACAAATCGCAATCCAGTTCGATACCCTTGATCCTCTCCGAGATGATACAGAGGAATCCTACGATGTCCGCCTACACATATCGTGGAACTGAACAAGACCGGTTATACGAGGCTACCTACGACCATGTAGGCGAAACCTGCGAATTTTGTGATCCAGCCGAACTCGTCCACCGGAATGCGAGGCCCGATAACAACCCACGTATACATTATGGCACCATACACTCTGCGGACCATGCCATGACGCGTGGCCGAACACGTGATATTTTGGCAGTAAAGCATGACGATATTTGGTGTTTTGAGACGGAAGCAGTTGGCTTGGAGAGACATTTTCAATGCCTTGTCATCCGGGGCATTTGCAATTATTCAGATTCCCACGAGGCAAAACAATGGCAAGAATATGCCGCAGCCACTGCTGCGGCCTATGCAAAGGAATTAATGTCTGTAATACAACCAGGGATAGTACCCCCACCGATGCCAAGCGCACAAGGTAAGTCCATGACCTTCTTCCCTCTCCCCATCTTTATATAGCTAAAGTGTAGAAGCGTTCCCAAGCGACAAGTCGTTAACGCTGGGGCCATCGGGATTGATACATTCCTTGGGACTCTCGAAAATCGACAGTCGATATGAGAACATCAAGGAAGCTCATTCTCAAACGTGTCACTGGCTGCTTGACCACCCTGATTATTTGTGCTGGCTAGATCCCAGCAAGATGACCGACCATCACGGCTTTGTATGGATCAGTGGCGAACCTGGGACAGGAAAGTCGACAATTGTGAAGTATGCTTCGAGCCAGGCGACCAAAAACGCCACGCCAGAATCTGCCGTCATCTCGTTCTTCTTCGACAACCATGGCTACGACCCGGAGAGGACAATCGAAGGGATGTACAGGTCGCTACTGCTGCAGTTGTTTTCAAAGTTACCAATGCTGCGAGAGGCACTCAACGATGTAGCGGATAAACCTCTCGGCTCCATCAGTTCTGGTCTATCCAAAGTTCCACTTCTACAAGACCTTCTCCTCAAGGCCATTGCAAGGCTGGGCCGACAGGAGGTTACCTGCTTCGTCGACACCTTCGATGAGTGTGACGAAAAAGAAGTCGGGGATATGCTTGACTTTTTTGTACGCTTGGGTCACTGCGCTGTTCAAAGCGACGTCAAGCTTTATATATGCTTTTCCAGTCGGCGTCACCATATGGACATACCGCATTGTCAAAAGTTCACCTTGGATGAGAAGACGGGCCACCAAGGAGACATCGAGTTCTACGTTCAGGATAAGTTGCAAACTAGGAACCAGGAGCAAAGCGAAGACATCAAAGCCCAAGTTCTCCAGAAGGCATCAGGAGTCTTCTTGTGGGTTGTGCTAGTGGTGGATATACTTAACAACGAGTATATACAAGGGCACATATCCGCAGTCAAGGAGAGACTCATTGAAATACCTCCTGAACTTGACGGGTTATTTCACTATATCTTGACGCGAGATAAGGACAACATCGATGATTTCCTTTTCTGTATCCAGTGGCTGCTCTTTAGCAGTCGGCCGCTCACAAGGGAAGAGTACTACTTTGCCATGACAGCTGGCTTGCAACCTCAAGTTCCTGGCCCTCGAAATCCCAACGAGATAACAACGGAAGACATGGACCTATTCATTCTTAGATCTTCAAGGGGACTGGCTATTACGCTAACCAGATCCAACAAGTCGATTGTTCAGTTCGTCCACGAATCGGTACGAGACTTCTTACTCAAAGATGGTGGCATCCGCTCCTTGTGGCCAGATCTCGAAAGAGATTTTGCCGGGAAAAGTCACGAACGACTCAAGAGTTGTTGCTACAGTTACCTTCAAGCCGACACCATTCATTACCTAGAAGAGAAAAATTACGATTCAAGAGAATCTCTTGAGCCGGTACTGAAGGAAGTTCGCGACAAGTTTCCTTTCATGGAGTACGCAGTAACTCAACTGTTGCATCATGCTGAAGCTGCGGCATCTTCTATTACGCAGGTGGAGTTCCTGCAAGACTTTTCTGTATTCGTCCCTGGATCCTGGGATCCCCGCCGTCGCCTATTTGATCCAAATCGAAGGTACCGCTCGCGTAGCATAGGATGCCGCCGCCCCGCACGAGACCGGGCGCCCGAGAGCTTCTTTCACTTTCTCATGGGGCAGCAATACACGTCACTGATCACAACGATCATTGGTTCTACTTCGCTGTTCATCAATCCGACCATTGGTCCTTTGGCAACCAAGGACAATGTTCTCTCCAGAGCCCTCAAGATGGAAAACGCAGCCATAGCAAGGGCAATCCTGCAGTCACTAAAGGGCTATCAAGACCTTCATGGTAGTATACTACCAGACGACCCGAGAATAGCCCGTGGAGTTGGATTTTTGATCAACAAGCCTGACAAGTGGCTACGACGCACGCCTTTATCATGCGCTGCATCGCAAGGGCTGACTGATATCGTCGAACTCCTTCTTGAACTCGGTGTTACTGATGGAAAGTTTGACCCGGCGGCCCTGCTTTCATGGATTAATCTTGCTTGTAGAAATGGGCATGGCGATATTGTGAAACTCCTGTTCTCCTGGAACCCCAGTATCCGCCCGAGCGGGAAATATCCGGAGCTGCAGCCATCTTATTACAATCCCAATTCTGAGATAAATCTGGACCACAAGTCTGCTGCGTTTATGGCCCTTGGCGATGCTATGTTTTTGTCAGAAATGCAATCTGACCCTGTCTTTATTACCGAGACCTTTTGGAAAGCAGTCAAACATAAACAGGATGGCATAGCGATATTTCTATTAAAGAAAGGCGCCAAAACACAGCCAGTCGCAGGCCCTGCAGGCCTTGGTCCAGCCCTACATGCCGCTATTCACTCGGGGCTGGAATCTCTGACAGAGTTACTGCTTGAGAAGGGCGACGACGTCAAGATCACTGACAAAAAAGGTTCAACAGCACTTCACATCGCCAGCGGGAGCTCAGCATTACCCCAGCCGTCATCGGCGGAGAGGATAGCAAGAGTTCTGATAGCAAAAGGCGCCGATGTCCAAGCGTGCGACAACGACGGCAAAACGCCTCTCCATCTCGCTTGCGGAAACCGAACTTGGCTGGGATCAACAGCGGTAGCCGAGACTTTGATTGGCAGCGGCGCCGACGTCAACGCACTCGACAAGGACCAAAACTCTCCTCTCCATGCTGCCTGCGAGGCTGGGGGCCAAGCGACAGTGGAAGTGCTGGTCCAGAAAGGCGCTGACATACGAGCGCCCAACTCGGATGGAATCCCGCCTCTTCATCTTGCTGTCCAGGCGGGCAACCGGGCGATCGTTGAAATGCTCCTCGGCGAGGGCGTTGACCCCCAGACGCCGGATAGACGCGGCAAATCCCCGCTCCATCTTGCGTGCCAATTTCCGGTTTCTGGAATCGCCGAGATCGTGATCGAGAAATCGACGGACCTCGGAAAGCCAGACGAGGATGGTAGATCGCCGTTGCATCTCGCTTGCCAGTTTCAGAACTTTCAAACCGCTCGAATGCTGGTCGAAAGGGGCGCTGCGGTCGGGGTTCCTGACAAGTATGGCAAATCGCCACTTCACCTTGCTTGCCAAGCCGAGAAACCAGCGACGTCGACAGAGCTTACCAGCAAGGGCTATTGCAGATCGGAGCCAGTTCAAGTGGTTCGCGATCGGGAAGTCTCGGAGACGGTCGACATGCTGTTCAAACACGGCGCCGTCCTGAACTGCAAGGACACCATTGGCGAGACGCCCCTTTTCTCTGCCGTGAGACGAAGCGTTGGCCCCATCTTCAATCATTTGTTGGAACTCGGCGCAGACGTCTCCGCCACGGACACGCGAGGCCAGACGGCGCTCTTCGCGCTGTCGACCACGGGCTACAGTTTATATCTGGCCGACAAGGGGCCAAGACTGCTCCAGAAGGGACTGGATCCCATGCACAGAGATAACCTGGGCCAGACCTTTTTGCACGTGGCGTGTCAATCTGCCGAGGTGTGCCGTCTCTACCTCGACTTCGTACGCGAAGCCGTCAAGTTTGGCTTGGATGTCGACGCGCTCGACGGTTCGGGCAGAACGCCGCTAATGAACGCAGCGAGGTCCGGCAACCAAGACTTTGTCTTGTTTTTGCTTACACTAGGAGTCGATGCGAACAAGGTTGACCGGGACGGCCGTACGCCGCTGACCGAGGCTATCCGGAGCTGTAACGGGCGGAGCGATGGACACGATACAGTAGTTCACCGCTTCCTGGAGTATGGGGTGAAGCCTCATGCATCATCTGAGGCCGAGCACAATCCCCTTTTTCTGGCTGTGGAAATCGCGCCGCACTATGTTGTAGAGCAGCTTCTGGGCCACATCGATATCGGGATCACTGATGCCATCGGTCGCTCTTCCATGTTCTTCCTCCCCCAAACCCGTGTGTCGAAGGAAAAGACCAGGGCAGATTTTTTCACGTCGAGCTACGTGGCTAAAAGTTTGATGAAAAAGGGGGCAGACATCAGTCATAGGGACAGTACCGGGAAAACTGCGCTGCATCATGCAGCTCAAAAGAGATTGGAGGGGCATGAAGGGAACCCATCTGAGTTCTACCGGACCCTGAGCGAACTCGGCATCGAGGTCGACGCGCAAGATCTGACGGGAAAGACGGCGCTTCTCTGCTCCGTGTCCTGTGGGAACTCCTTGGCGATGGACTGTCTTCTTCAAATCGGTGCCAACCCAAACCTGGGAGACGCCCGCGGGCAAACGCCACTCTGCGAACGCATAGCTGGCAGGATGTCGGATGTGGTTCCGGACGTGCGGCTTCTCCTCAAGCACGGCGCCGCGGTAGGGGCAGTGGGGATGAACGGCGAGACACCTTTGGATTTGGCAATACGGCTAGGAAACACGGAGCTGATTGAGTTGCTACAGTCTCATTCGGCTCCTACCAATACTCTCCTTGGAGAACATGATGACTAGAAACAAATTGTCACAACAGCGAGGAACGGCAGTTTGCCAAGATAAACCGAAATTGACGTTGCAATAGATTAAGTCATCCGGAAAATCATGAAGTCGGATTTTCGACTATTAGAATTACGTGTCCAGTAACTATCGTGGTATGACCGGCTCGGCGGTAAGATTACAAAAAGAAGAAGAAAAAAAAAGAAAAAACTAGGCTTCTCATCTCGGACATCAATCAATGCGTACACTTCAGCGGCCCGAACCCCTCGGACCACCGCATCGACCCCATGACAACAACCAACAGCGCAAACCCCACCACCACGCTCGACGCGCCGTACACATACGCGTGCCGCCGTCTCAGGGCCGTCAGCTCGGTGACCCACGTCGACACCGTCGTCAGACACCCGCAGAAGCCATCCTCGACGCCCTGCAGCAGCTGGCACCCGAGCACGCCGCCTACCCCCGCGTGCCCCAGGTCCCAGCATATGCCCAGCACCGCGACGCCCGCGATGTTGACCGCAAAGGTGCCGAGGGGGAACGCGGGTGCCCGCGGGTTAAGCCAGCGGCTGACGTAGAACCGGGCGAGGCAGCCCGCGGGCGCGAAGGCGAGGGAGAAGACAGCCTGACCGCGCCAGGCATCGCGCGGAGGCACGACGGCAAGGACGACGGCGCCGATCCAGGTGCCCCAGCCGAGGAAGACGACGCCCCGGTCGAGGATCTTACGACGGGGGGGATACGCTGCGGACGAGCTGTTGGGCTCGAGGGCCGCGGCGAGGTGGCCGCCGACGACCAGGGCCGAGAGACAGAGAGACACGGTGGTGAGGACGACGGCGATGGCGGCCATGAAGGAGTACCCGCCGTTGCGCGGCGCGGCGCCGGCGCTGGGGAGGTCATTGGTCACGGCGAGGAAGACGTCACGGACGAAGGACGAGAAGGAGGTGAAGGAGCCGCAGAAGCCAGTGGCGAGGCCGATGTACAGCGGGATCGTCTTCTTGACCGCAAGGTGCGCCTTCGCGGCGGCGGAGGGGTCGATAAAGACGGCGTCGGGGGCCCACTGGGGCCTGAACAGCAGGTGGTCCTCGGCCAGGAACCCCATGACGAGGCTGCCGCCGACGTTGGCCCACAGGACGCCAAAGGATACGGGCGCGCCGGGGTATGTCGTCAGGGCCTGGAGGCCCAGGCGGGCGAGGGTGCCGAGGACAGCGAAAAAGATGAGGTACGAGACCGTGTACAACTCGATCGCCAGCGTCGAGAGGAGCGACGCACGCCGGGACGGCGCCCCAGCGGTCCCGTCGGGCTTGTCGTGCCGGGGGTCCTGCAGCTCGACGTCGTCCAATGGCCCGCGATCCCGTCCCCCGCCGGTCCGCGTCGTCTCCTCCGGGCTATGCGCTGTGGCAGTCAGGCTGTTGCCGGGGCTGATGCTGTTGCTGTTGCTGATGCTGGACATGTAGATGTGACGGGCGGGGTCAGCGACCGTTCCTTCTACGACGGTCTCTCGGCCCTCGGGTGCGTCGTGCGTGATGGAGCCGGCGTGTTGTGCATCGATGCTCATGTCGCGCGCCTTCAGGGCGGAAGGCATGCCGAATGTGCCCCGGCGCTTGTAGTCGACGACGGGCGGCGCGTCATTGGAGCGGTCGTCATCCTCGCCGGTGTACGCGACGAATTCATGACCGCGAAGGTCGCCGTTATGCATTGCGGTTTCCGTTGTGATGATTTAGCAAGGGCAGTTGGCGCAATATCATGACGACGGTTTTGGTCGAGGGTGGGTTGACGAGGGTCCGTTCGGACCGAGGCGTTTGCACACTTTTTTCCCCCTTCTTCTTAGCCGGACGGTAGTCTTCTTATCAGACTTTCCAACAAATGAACGTGAGACAGTTTTGATGTCTGTTGTTTAGCCTTGGTATGTACCGAAAGCGGGATGTAGATGTGATGAACGTCATTTCCGACCCTGTTGAAAACGGCAACCACGGCTATCTCCGCGTTCCCTCTTGGTCGCATAGCTCCTTCGATTCGCGGTCAAGGCGTCTCCTCTTTTCTTTACCGATAAAAGCGGAGCACACCGAGGTGTGACATTCCACAGTTAGGTACGTACCTCTCCTACCTTACTACATACCTTACCTACCTACAACCTCGGTACGTACTGCTTGTACTTGGGGGTGTATAAACGTAGACATATTATGTTGAGAGGCATGGGCGACGATAATTCAAGAAGAAGACGTTGATAGCATGTCAATTGCCATCTCTCCCTCTTACCCCGTCTTCATCCCGTGCATAACAGCTATCGGCAACAACAAGCCCAAGCTGTGCTGCAGGGCGGCGATCTCCGACGGCTCGCCGCAAGCCGGAGTCTACCTGATCTCCCGCTACCCCTCCAATGCGAGATGAGATGAGATGGCGGGCAAGCGTCCCCGCCTTATCTTATCGTAGCTCCTCCTCCGCACGCACGCTGCCCCACTCCCAGGTACCCATCGTCGCTGGTCAGGAGGACAAGGGGGGACGGGCGGGAAGGACGGACGGACGTACGTGGGCGTTGGACCCTTCCACCTCCAACCTATCCCTCCCCAACCTGTCCTACCCAACCTCTCCAATCTCTCTCTCTCCCTCTCGGGCCGTTTGTGTTTCTTCCTTTAACTGCGGTTTCCTCCCCACCAGTGTTTAATCCGTCCTCAGTTTACAAGTTCCCCATGTTCAATTCGTGATATACTCTTCAGGAATCTTCACAGAACCATGGCTTCCTCAACAACCACCCCGCAGCTTCCTCCCAACGTCCACGTCTCTCAGCACCCGTGCCTCCGCGCGAAGCTCTCTCAGCTGCGGTCCCAGTCCACCCCCGCCAAGTATGTCAAGACTCTGGTGAACGAAATCGCATTGATGGTGGCCTATGAGGCACTTGCCGCTTCGACTAAGGCGACAGACGGTCCCAAGGTGCGAACCAGTGAACCCCCGGGTCCGATCCCATACAAAAAGAGGCAGAGCTCATGATAATTGACTCTGCAAAAAAAACTTAGGACGCTACACCGCTAGGCTTCGAATTCACCTCGACCGAAATCACTCCCGGCAGTCTCTGCCTCGTCCCCATCCTCCGCTCCGGCCTCGGCATGGTAGAAGGTAAGATCGTCCCTCTAACCTTCAGTCCCCCCTCTTCCTACCAGGTCAAGACTAACATACACCAGCCGTCCAAACCATCCTCCCGAACCCCGTCCCCGTCCACCACCTCGGCCTCTACCGCGAACCCTCGACCCTCGAGCCCGTCGAGTACTACAACAACCTCCCCAACCAGCTCGTCGCCGACGGCTCCAACGCCAGCGTCAGCGACCTCGCCATCGTCCTCGACCCCGTCATCGCCACCGGCGGCACCTGCGCCGCCGCCATCCAGACCCTGCGCGAGTGGGGCGTCAAGCGCATCCTCGTCCTCGCCGTCATCGGCGCAGCCGAGGGCGTCCGCCGCGCCGCCGCCGAGTGGGCCGACGCCACCGACATCTGGATCGCCGGCATCGACGCCGAGCTGACCCCGAACGGCATGCTGAAGCCCGGTCTCGGCGACGTCGGCGACCGCCTGTTTCTCACCATCGGCAAATGAGCGGCCCTTTTTCTTTTTTCCCCTTCTTTTTCTCTTCTTGTTTATTTTCCTGTTTTGGGGATACATCCTGGTCACGGAAACTTCAACACTCGGTAGCATTTATAGACGGGTTATAGGTGCCGGAGTTGAATACAGTGACATTTTACCCGGGGTATAAGGCTGATTCCTGTCAAGCCCGTTTTGTTTACTTGTAAAGCGGGAGTCTCTTCTCTTTGTTGTCGCCTCATATGCGACCGTATCTTTCCTCGTCCAGCAACGCCTTCTCGCGCCAGCAGTCCTCGATCCACGCCCCAGTGACGATGTACGGAATCCTCCGCCGATTGCTGACTTGTCGACGAAGGCCCTTGGCGGCTTCCTTGAGCCGGTCGCCCGTTCCTATAAGCACTATATGTGTGGCCGCTTCGTCGTCTGCATCGCCCACCAACCGAGCACCGCCAAACGTTAGATAGTTTCTAAACTTGAGCATCTTGGCTTCGCCCCCTTCGCCCTCGCCGTCGGCGTCACGTAGATACACGATGCACCGGTGGAACAGGAACCCCCTTAGCTGCCCCATGTCATGGCCGCGCTCCAACACCTGGTTCACAAACTGCCCCTTATCAAAGGGTTCTGTGTCTGGCTCTCGCTTGGGCATGCTCTTGAATATCGCCCGGAGCTCGTCCAGGCTGATGTCCCGCGCGTAACTGTCGCCGTACATATCCGTGTTCTGCAAAGCGACCGTCTTGAGCGCCTCCGTTGCGCATAATAGGTGTTGTTCCTCGTACGGTAGCAACATGGACTTATCTGCCTGCTCGAGACAATCCTGTATCCACTTCGGTTTGATGATGTCGACGCCGCCATTCTTCTCCCCTTCTTTGAGCAGGCTTGCGACCTTGACCACCTTTTTGTCGGCCACCAGGACCATGTTGGACCGGGGCACCGCGCGCTGCGAGACCCGTCCCCCGTGCTGCTCGATCAACGTCTCGAGCTGAGCCTTGGTCTTCTTGAAAGGCTTGAGCGACTCCGACAAGACGCAGAACTCGAGACCGTCAAAGAGCTTCGACTTCAGCCCTTCAAACTGCGCCGGCAAGTTCTCCGTCCCGGCGATCGTCACCTCGCGCTTGACGCGCTTCACCGACTTTCGCTTGCGGCTCTCGACGCTCATGGTCTTCTCCTTGGCCTCCTCCTCGACCCGCTTGCGGAGGTCCAGGAACTCCTGCACGCTGAGCCCGTCATCCCATGTCTTGTCTGTCCTCAGGCGGCGGAAACGGGGGAACCGCAGGGTGAAGCCGAGAGAGAACTGGTCCGAGCTGCCGATGCTCGCCGCCTTGGCCTCCACGACAACCGAGTCGCGCGGTCGGATCCAGACATCGGGCCTCTCAAACTGCCGGTCGCCGCCGGCGAGCTCGATGTATTCCACCGGCGGCTTTTTTGGGTCCCACTGCAGCCACTTGCCATCCGTCCGGTGGCGGATCTCGGCGTAATCATTTGCGCAGAAACCACCGCCAACTTTGAAGAAGCTGAAACACTTCTCTGGGTTGGCTCCGGCCTGGATGTGGTTTTCGCTGACCCGGAGGCCGCACAAGAAGCTGGAAAGGGCGCCGCCTCTGCGACCCGAGCCGTAGTAGCCGCCGATAACGACACAATCCAGCGACTCGCCGAACTCGGACATGTACTCGGGTTTCACCTTGAGCCAGTCGTCGTTGCGGCTGTTGAGTCTGTACATGGATCTCGGGTTTTTGAGGACCAGGCCTTCCGATGCCTCGGCGACAACCTTGCGGAGGAGCGGTTCAATGGCGTCCGGCGAGGTGGCGACTTCGTACTCGTGGATCTCCAGCCTCCTGTGTACACCCTTTACTGCTTTGGACAAAGCTAGGCGGCGATCTCGCAGTGTGTACTGGGTCAGCGGCTTGTCATTTAGTAGCAGGATATCAAAGACGCGGTAGAGTGGCCGGGGACCGGAATTGTTGTATGGATTGTTTTGCTCGGCCAGTGTGGCGGTTTTGAGGGTCCCGAAAGGCATGATCTTATCGACTTCTGGATCCCAGGTGATCATCTCTCCGTCCAAGATGAGATTTCGTACCCCAGTCGCGAAAGCGTCTCCCAGGTGGCGGGTCAATGCCCCTTTCTCGTCCCTGAGGCCGTTGCCGTACAGGTATGTATAATCTTTCGCCTTACGGGACCAGAAACAAAAGCGCCACCCGCCCGGAACACTCGAGTCTTGCGTGACGTGCATCTGCATGCGCTCGCCGTCCAATTTCTCTTCAATCCAGAACTCGGGGTCCTCTTCCGTTGGACGGAGGTAGTCAACCATCTTCTGGAAAGAAGAGGGCATCTGGAACTGTGCGAGTTGCGGCTGGAAGCATTCCATGAGACAGACGCCTGTATCCTCCTGCTCTAGACGGACCTGAGGATCGTAGAGTTCCCAGCAGACGCGCCGCAAGCTAGACGAGACGCTGAACAGCGCCTCGCCGTCCGGATGCCAGAGACCGAGAAAGGTTCTTTCGGTCGCGCCGACCTTCATCTGCTTCAGAACGATGCGGATCAGCCACATCAGCTCCTCCGAGTTCATGCGCTCGTAGAAGACTTCAAAGACCTCCAGATTCTCCAGTTCTCCCGTCGAGGCGGCCAGTTTGTCCAGCAATTCGTTGACCTCGGCGATTGTCATGTCACCGACCTCGGTTCGCATTGGTCGCTTGGAGAGGACCTCGAAGCACCGGCCAGCAAAGTCGCCAGCCAAGCGCGACGCAGCAGTGTTGCCGGGTAGCTTCCAGTGGAGTAGGTTGTATCCGTCGTCCGAGTTCTTGTCGATCTTCATGAGCTTGACGAGAAGCTTTCCTATGGCGTTCTCCTTCAGGCCGTAGTTGCCGCGATCTCGGTCTTTGTCGGGCATAATCAGCCGGAAGGCCGGATAAATGTCGTTTCCCACCTCGTTCCGCCATCTGGAGATGAAGCGCTCGATGATGTGTCGGCGTTGCTCCTGTGGCGACAACTTGGTGGAGCCGTGTGGTCCCTTCTTGGCGCGAGGAGGACCACGGCCGACTGGCTGCTTCTTGTTTTCATTGAGCGGGTTGAAGAGACTTTTGAATAGCTCCGAAAAGCGCATTGTCTGCGAATGATTGCGCGGCCGGTTGGGGTACCTGGACAGGTGTAAGCGTCCGTCGCCGGCATAATAGGAAATACGCTCACTTCTCATCCAGTTCCTCTAGCGTCATGCCGCCGGTCGCGTAGTGCTTTTCTTCCTCGTCCAAGGCCATCGCGTCGGGCGATCGATGTCGCCTGCGTTGGCTCATGATGGGCGGTCGAACCTGCAGGTTCTGCTTTATAAGGTGCGATGTGACGAAATTCAAAAAGGAAGTTTATCCAAGATGGCCGTGACTGCAGGAGCGACCGTTGGGGGAGATTTTCCGAGACTGGAAGCGATTTTTGTTGCGTTGGGCGCAACCATGACTTATACCCATTGCGTATGGCTGACCTGAAGCCGTTGGAGTTCAACAGTGGATTCGTTGCCTTGGGGATGCTGCCTGGAGGTAAATGCACCAAAGCGGGCCGGTTGGAGTATTCACACCAGATCGCTAAACAGGGGGTATTAGAGTACGGCTGTATTGCATCATAGGTGATAGCAGCCCCCACATGCATGTAATAACAGCAGAGCAGGTACCATCAACATCAGGCGTTTGCATGCCTCGTCGCTTGGTTGAGGCGTTGCATCGCAAACAATCTGCTGCGTTCTTTTCCAATCTCCATATTCTATATTCATGATTCTCTTCAATAAACTCATATATTGTTTCATACGCTCCTACCAAGACCAGAAGACTTCCGCTCATTAGGACGGGTCTTGACAAAGGAGGTCTCGCTAACTGTTTTCTCTGCGCTTCTGCATAGGCTCAGCGATGGCGTTCCTCTGGGCGTTCCGTCGGCGCCACAGGAAGAAAGGAGCGAAACCGCGAAGAGCGATGCCAGAAATGGAACTGACAGTGACGCCAGCAACCAGGCCGCCAGAGAGGAGGCTGAGGAGTTGCCGCCAAAGTCAGCGGTGGTGTGAGGGAGTCTTGCCGCCAGAGTCAGTGACTTTCTACTCGCTAACAATGAGATTTGAGAAAGGTGATGGGCGAAATTGCTTAACCAAAATCTCACACACAAGAGGAATTCATGAAGCGGCCGCTAGCCCCGATACATAGCTATCGTGTGGTTCAGCTCTACTGTGTTGGGCACCCGACTTGCTCGCTCCCGGTATGACGGCCTTCTCTGGCCATCTCCGCCGCACAGTCATCGGACCACCCGGCCTGGCCCCGCAACACCAGCGCGACGGCAAGCGCCGCTTGAAATCGGTTGACTAACCCCACTTTCTCGGACGGCGCACGCGCTTCCCCAACCATTGCCGGATGTAGGTATGCGTGTGCTGTACGTATCAAATGTCAGCCCCTCTAACCTTATCATCCTCATCATCAACCTTATAACGTCTCCCAACTCATGCCTCAAACTCATCTCTGACCTCATCCTCATTCCCCATACTCCTCATACTGACAGTCAGTCCCCCCCAATACCACCGGCTCAATATTTCCGCTTCAGAAACACTCCCGAAAAGCAACACCGCCCCAAATGGCACACCTGCTGCACACCCTCTCGCACCGCCCCGTCCTTACGACGGTCCTCACGTCCTTGTCTACTACCGTGCTCGTCTGGGCCGTTCGCGACTACCGCGCCTACATCGCCCTCGGCCCCGGCGGCGTGCCCCACAACTTCGCCGGCTGGCTCTTCGTCACCCTCGGCATCCGGCCCTTCGCCCTTTCCAAGTCGTATGCGACCTGGACTGGTGACTACCCTGATGAGGGAGCTCACGACGAGGTCGAGGCGCTGCCGCCGAGGAAGGGCGACAGGGCCGAGCTGGGGGGCGTCGTGCCCCACCGGCAGCTGACCCAGCACGCGCCGGAACGGATGAGAGAGGTCCGTCCCCGTCCCCTTCCTCTCCCCCCTCCCCGGCGACCTCCGTCACCGGAGCCCCCTCCGATGAACTGACATAAAACCCCCGTAGTACATTGAAAACCTCTTCGCCAACGCCGTCGCCCAGAACCCGGCCCTCGTGGAGTCAAAAACCTCCCTTTACGAGCGCAACAACCCTGCCCTCTTCGTGTGCCCCGCGGTCCTCGACTCGCCCACGCCGTCCGTGACGGCGCGGACCTCCCGCGGCGAGATCAGCCACCACCACGGCGATCTTTCCATCCACATGTACCTCTCCCCCGCCGACGCGAAGCGCGCCATCGCCAAGGGCTGGGCCGAGCGCCACCGCCTCGCCCGCCCGCGGGGCACCCTGTTCGCAAACCGCTATCGCGTCGCGGACACGTACCTCATGATCTACGGCCCGCGCGACGACGACGAGATGGACGCGCTCGCCGTCTTCCTCAAAAACGCCATCCGGTTCATGACCGGGAGAGAGGACGTCGAAGGGATCGAGTGGCGTCGTCGCATGGGTGCGTGAAGGCTTTATTCACTTCGGCTTCCCCCGTGAAAATGTACTATTACTTCCCATGTCACTTAGGGATTTGTTCATGTATTTTGTGTTGGAGTGTCCAATTGTAATCTGTTACTATCGTCTCAAGTCAAGACTCTATAGATTGGGTACTCGTCGCCCTCCTCTACGGGCACAATGTTGAAGCTGGCATACGAGTCGATGTTCTCCGGCTCCAGCGCGACGAACGCAAGCGCAGCGTTCTTCTGCTTCGTGCTCACGAGGAAGCTGCCGGCGGGCAGGTTCACCTCCCTGGTAAGCGTCGAGGTCGTGACGTCGGCGCGGACGACGCCCTCGTAGTATCCCGTCTCGAAGACGGCGGATTCGATGCTGTAGGCCTCGACGGTGCCCTTGTACGGCTCGCTAAGCGTATCCACCCCCAGGCCGGAGACTCTCAGACGCTCGACCAGGCCAGCCCAAGCGGCGGGGATAAGGTACGCCGCCGGGCGAGCGCGGGTAATGTTCGCCTTGACGGGCGTCGTGGAGAGGAAGTTTATCGGCACCTGCGTGATGGAGCCGTTGTTGGCGTTGACCATGGTGAAGGTACGCTGGATCATGGTCGAGGAGTCTGTCACGATAATCTCCGAGTCCGAGGACTTGAAGTCGGCAATGGAGGACTCAACAGTGGTGTACACCTTCTCGGCGTTGTCGGCCGCAGTCTGCAGGACACTCGTCACCATCGTCAGGCCGGCGACGGTGCGGCGCTGGAACTCCTGGTCGGCGAGGTAGATGCCGCGCATCTCGATGAGGAAGGTCACGCACTGCGTGAGGCCCATGGCGTTGCGGCCGATCTTGGCATCGAAGCCGGCCTCGGCGAGGGTGGGCTTGAAGGCTGGGTCAGCGCTTGAGGCTCCCGTCACGTAGGGTTCCCAGCGCAAGCCCCGGGACTCCATGGCCGAGCCAATGTTCTTGGCGAAGAGTTCCTCGGATAGCGCGCGGATGTCCGGGTGGATGTTGAGGTTCTTGGCGGCGGAGAAGAGGCCGTCGGCAGCGTGGCGGTAGTTCCCAAAGCGGGTAGGCGCGCTGTACTCGTGCATGTCGACGGCGACGTGGGGGTTGAACTTGCCGAAGAGAGTCTTGATGTCCCGGGTTTGCTTTCGGGCGAGTTTCACGTGGTCGCGGTTCGGGTCGTAGTTGGTGGCCAACGTGCGCTGGAAGTAGAACACGCCGTCGGGGTTGTAGCGCTGCAGAATAACAATGTCGAGCTTCTCAAGGAGGGAGGCAGCCCATGTCTGGTTCGCATCCAGAGCGCCGAGCAGGGCCAGCAGGGACTGGTCGCCAGCGGGCTCGTTGCCATGCACGGCGCCTTGAATCCAGACGCGGACCTTGCCAGTCGAGTTGGAGGCCCTGCGGGACAACTTAGTAGAAGAGAGGAAGAGGTAGGGGAACGGACGACCCTCCTCGGAGGTGAAGTTGGCCTTGTTGTAGGTCATCCACTCGTTCTTGTCGGCCAGGCCCTGAACAAAGGTGTCTGTCTCCCGTTAGTAGTCTATTTATTGCCCGGAGACCGATTGTGCTTACCAAGGAGATCATCGTCCGTCGGGCCCTTGGTGCCATCTGAAAAGCCCTCGGGAATCGTTTCTGGAGTCAAGAACGCGGGTGAAAGCAGCTCGACACCCTCAACATCCTTGAAGTTCGCGGCCACAATCTCGCTATCCTTGCGAACTTCAACGTTGTTGTAACCGTACTTGGCTGCTTGAGCAGACCCCAGGAGGCACAGACCGAGCAGGCCCAGACGAGATGTGGTCACCATGATGCTGGTCGTTGAGAAAGCTTTGAAGACCAGAACAGAGGCTCGGTTGAATCCTAGGACCACCTTCACAAAAAAGATGTTGTAGGCGATTACTTGGACTTTTTATGCCCTTTCCCCGCCGTAGCATCGCAATCTCCGGGGACGATAAAATGGCTCGCCAAGGCATGGCCGGAGGCTCTTCTTGGCACCACCAGAGACTTGGCTGATCTCATTCAGGGCCTAAAAAAATGGCAATTGCTAACAATATCGCACAGGGCAGATCGATAACGAGCGAAAGCAAGGGCTCTTGCATTGGCAATCAAAGGCCCCGTTCCATCCGAGCCGGCGTCACATTGGCAACGAAACTACAAGAGGCAGCTCGGGGTGTCTAATGAGGGGGAAAGCGGGGAGAGGGCCCTGCGGATGCAGATAAGAAACTACGTCGCCAAGACTTCGAGAACCATAACGACATGTTGCAATTGCCGATGGTCGGGACTTGGGCTCCCTGACGGCGCTCGCCAAGGACTGAGCTATATCGATCAACAAAAACGCGCTGTCATTCAACACCAATAGTGTTGGCCGAGGTCCGGAGCGGTATCAATTCGACGTCAATCATGATGGGATTTCCCAAGAGGTGGGGGACGAAATCTGGAGACATAGTCCAATCGCTGTACCTCTTGTGTTCGGCGCAGCTCAGGATTGGGTATTGTGGACGAAAAAAATTGACATGATATGATGCAGTTGAGAGGAAATCAATCAACAGTCTCACAAAGCTGTTTTCCCCCTCGACTCGAAGGGTAGTATCAGTACCAATAGCCCAGCGGCGATGAACAAAGCCCCACTGGTATAGACTGGCGCTGACGTCTTGAGGTTGGCGAACATGGCGACTATAGGCTGTTCAAAGGTTTGTTCAGTGCCCACTCAGCCAGAAACCTGATGATAGTGCCACTTACCGCCATGATGCCGAAGATGCGATTGCTTGTCGCGGTGAGCGCGTTGCCAGTCCCGCGCTGCGGCGTTGGGAACAACTCGGGGGTGAAGCCGTAGAGGACTGCGTACATGACGTTACTGCAAAAGTTGAAGGCACAGTTCCATCCAAGAAGCGCTTTGCTGGTCATCGCTGTCGTCGAACAGTAGAGGAAGACTCCCGTCAGAACGGTGCTGATGGCAAGAGTGCCCTTTCTTCCCAGTGCTGGCAGCTCGACTAGCCAACCTCCGAGTAACGCTCCGGGGACGCCCAGGACAGCGATAATCAGACTGTTGCGATAGGTCACGTAAGTGCTGCCGTCGCCGAGCTCGGCGCCTCGTGTTGCCTGGATGTATGGTATGAACGCGTTATAGAGAGGGTAGCCGAGCCCAATGAGTGCCCAGATAGCCATGATCGTGCCGGTGCTTAAAGCCAGACGGCGCGTAGAGAACAGGATGCGTATGCGATCGAGGTTGACCTTCTCCAGATTCCGCTTAACGGCTGTGGCAACATCGGTCCGCGCAACATAACCCTCAGGCTCGCAGGCCTTGAGATCTTCGAGTGAGAGAGACGTAGTCTTGCCGTTTCGCCTAGCGACTTCGTGGACAATTCGGACGGCCTCTTCGTCACGCCCTTTACCCATAAGGTATTTTGGCGACTCGTAAATGGTGAAGAGCAGGAAACGGACAAGGAACATGAGCAGAGTCAATCCACCGACCGTGATCATGAAATACCGCCATCCCATGTTGTTGGCCTTGGTGCAAGTCGCGCCTTCTTGGCATGTAAGGTTACCAAGTAGAGGCCACGCGATCAGAGTTGCGATGACTTGGGCTATAGCCCAGTCGATGGAGAGAACCGTCAGCAAGTACTGGTGAGTTCCCGGAAGGAATTCAAGGAAGATGGCCGAGTCGACGGGGAGGTTGCCTCCAACACCAAATGACCACAAGGCCGCAAAGACGCCGATTCCAGCAAAATTGGGAGCGCCAGCTGCGACCAATCCCCAGAAGGCGGTCAGGCCCAATGTGAGGTTGAAGGCCCATTTGCGACCGAAGAGGTCGCAGCCGAAGCCCCAGAACATGGCGCCTGCCAAAAGGCCGATGTTTTGTGCGAGTGTGAGAAGAGGAGGTCGGGAAGGGCCGAACTCGTTGGTGATCGGGGTGAAAATCAACGACGTCACGATAGGCCATAGGTTGTCGCTTGCCCAACCGAAACCGACGACGATGAAGAGCTGCCACTGGTACCGCCCCATGCCGATGTCTTGTATCTGGAGCCCAAGGTCAGCAATCAATCATCTGGTATCCATGCCTAGGTCATATTGTGGAAGCTTCGCCTACAGCGCGGTTGAGCACCCGAGCCTTGGCCTCGTAAACGGGATCCAAGGCGCCCTTGGGAATGATGGCTGCATCGTCGATTCCGTGGATGTCGAAACTGCCATCACGCGTCGCGCCCGAAGGCGAGCCACCCTTTCGCGCCGCCTCGAGGTTCTTCGCGGGATCTGGGTCGGTACCCATGTTGGCCAAGTTTCCTCGTTGGTAAACGGAACCCGAATTGCGACACGAAGCCAATCGGCTATCCTAATCGACCTTGTTGTCACTCGGTGATGGTGGAGGGGTCTGATTACCTGTTATCAAGAGTCGAAGCATGGAGCTTAATGGGAGATCAGTGCCATGATATAACACAAGGCTTGCCACACGTCTGCAGATTCGGCAAGTGAAACAAGCGTCCAGGAGCTTCTTGGATGGTTCAGCGTCCTGCGTCGTAACTGGCTTGAATGGTGCAATCCGTCCAGTAAATGAGAACTGCGGCTATGATTGGCCTTGGGTGCCAGACAGCGGCAGATACGCCTGCCGATCTGCACTCTAATGGAAGAAGCATTGCTGATGGGGGAGGGGGAGCCCTAGAGGCCTGTTGTTTGGGGGGGTTCTGCAGGTAACCTAGAAAGGCGTGCTTTGACTCGTCCGATTCGAGGAAGCCTGTAGGCCGTGTTCTTGGGCCAAGATTGAGTAGCATCTCGCCTGCGTCATCAAAATGTTGAAGTGATGTGTTGTGTGTGGTGCGGTTGGGTGTGGTGTTTTATCAAGGAGGGCCATGTATTTGGAGAGATGTTCCCATTGCAGTTCATGTCCACAACGGCCGTCAGTGGGGCCGCGGTCCCTAGAGCCCACTTGAAGCCCGCTAAAACACTCGGGACTATGAACTGGTTCCACCACGCTTGTCGTGTATCGCGCCAGCTGGGAACGCAGCGCACATGGTGCTGCCAGCTGGCCTCCTGCTTCCCCGCGTGCCTTGCTCACAACATCGGACGATGAACCGGCTGGCTGCTTTTGATATTCGCAGCATTCAGCATGCCCCACACAAGTATGCAGACCTCAGCACGGTCGATCACACTGTTTCCTACGATGTCGAACTTGGTGAAGTGTCTCGTGCTGATTGCCTGCCTCGTTCACAATGTCTTGGCCCGCAAAAACCTCATCGTTGACACGGACTTGTTCAGCGACTGTGAGTAAGAGAGCCTCAATATCATGCCCCGTACATATATATCATGACTATATATGAAGTTGAACTATACTGATATTCTGCAGTGATGCCGGTGCGCTCCTTCTTGCGGCAACCTCTCCAGACGTCAACCTCTTAGGAGTAAACATCAACTCGCAGTCCTCCTTTTCGGTGCTGGCCGCCTCTGCCATCCTCAAACACTACGATCATGGCCAGGTGCCCGTCGGTGCTCGTCGCCCATTGAACGATGTACCTTTCTTCGACAACTGGACCAAGCGCCTGGGCGAGTTCGCTAGCAAACTCGCAACTCACTGGCCGAAGAGCATGTCAGACGCCGAGGATGCTTGGGATCCCGTCAAGCTGTACCGCAAGCTGCTTACCGAAGCCGAGGATTCCTCTGTAACTATCGTGTCTATCGGTTTTCTGCATAACCTCTCCGGGCTCCTCAACTCAACCGCCGATTCTTACTCCAACTATACCGGCGCCGAGCTGGTGAAGAGAAAGGTCATAGAGCTCGTCGTCATGGGCGGAGACTATCCAGAAGGCCACGAATTCAACTTCTGGGGCGACAGCCCGTATACCACCGCCCACGTAATCCATAACTGGGAGAGTCCCATCGTTTACGCCGGTTTCAATCTTGGAGCCTCGGTTCTCTCGGGCGGATCACTCATGGCCGACGGGCCCAAGACAGACCCGGTGCGCGCTGCGTATATCTTGTACTCTTACTATCAACCCCGGTGGTCTTTTGATCCAGTTGCGATGCTCTACGCCATCAGTGGCCTCGGCGGCCGCTTTGTGCATGGGAATACCTATGGTTATAACACCGTTATCCTAAACGGAGAGAATGGTTGTCATGGGTGTAACATCTGGGTTGATGACGAGAACGTCACGAACCAGCACTGGCTCGAGGCGAAGGTGAGTCACGACCAGCTCGGCGAGGAGTTGGACATGCTTTATCTGCAGGGCGCAGAATCATCTGGAAGGAGCTCGGATCCGGTGGGAGAGCTTCCCATGTTTGGCGATTGCAAACCCCGAAAGCCTGGTCTCTTTGGAGTTCCGCAGGAGAAATTGGAATTGTGACAAGAGGTTTTGGGGAATCCAAGGGACATGAGACATACCCCGGCATGTAGATACGGGTTGCTAGCGAGCTGGTATCATTCTGCCGCCTTAAACCAGCACAAACACCTCCTCGTGGCTGAACCGCTCTCGAACACTTTCGACCGCCATCTCCGGCATCAGAGGGCCCACAAAGCCATCACCCAATAGGACCCAGCCTTCAGCGACCTGCCTCAGGACGAATGGTACCGACCCCCGTAGAGGATAACGACGACATCTCCCTCTCGCGCACATGCCGGGGCCAGGCCGTAGAACCCCGCCGTCGTCTCAAAGACGCGCCGCTGGTCACAAGACCGCGATGCGGCAACCCGGAACCGGGCGGCGTCGCCGTCGCTAAGCCCTACGTCGAGGGGATCAAACGTTTCCGGCCTTTTACCGGCTTTGTCGAACAGCTGCCGGATGTATGTGAGGAAATCGGCGTAGAACCGCGTCAAGTCTTCGCGCTCGAGGTTGCCCACGAGCTGGTACACGTCTGTGAAACCGGCTGTCAGCGTCAGGCCCATCTCCAAAATGCCGTTGTAAGGGTGGTCCGCGGATGGAGATAGCACATAGCAATTGTTGGAGGATGCGCGGTGCCAGATATCGAGGAAAGGGTGTTTTGCAGCTTCTGAGGCGGAGATATCTTCCTTGAAGTGTTCGATATCGAGCATGTCCGTCACCCATGCAATGCTATCAAACCGGACCCCGGACAGCGCGACCCTGCCGTCTGCAGTGGGCTCAAAATCGGCCAGGCCGGGCAGACCGTGCTTATCCCCGTTTTCCCACGCAGTCACCGAGAAGCCATGGAGTATGCTGCAGATGTCCTCGCTGGCATCCCACCGCGGCACCCAAGAAGGGATCTCGGTGCGCACGTACTCATGCCCATGCTTCGCATAGGACAAGGGCGCCAAAGTCCCGCTGGTATCGACGGAAGCCCTGACCACGTCGACGTACACCTCGGTGACGGTCTTCCTGTAATCTACGCCCGGGAAACACGCGAGCGCGTCGTTGCTGACGAGTCCTAGCAAGCCGTAGACCTTGTCCCGCGGATCCGTGGCCACGAGCTCGCGGAACACGACGAGGACCTCCAAAAGGCTGGATTCGGACATGCTGTACGCGGCGTCCCAGTTCAGCCCCTCCAGCTCGGGCGGCACGTCATAGTCGCTTGCGAGGCTCTGCTCGCTGAGCCAAGCCGCAGTGACGCCTAGCTTGACCCAGTCAAAGGAGTGGGAGCCGACGCAGACCCTGGACGCGCGAGCCAGCACGATCTCCTGCACGCACCACACCCGCGTGAACCACGGCCGGGACAAGACCCATCGGATCGCCGCCCAGCCTTCGGGGTCGGGCCCCGCACGCCCTGCACGCTCCGCGATGGCAGCGATGTCCGGGATCGAAACGGCCGCAAGGCCTTCCAACCTTTCCGTGGCCGGGGTGAAGTGGGCCATGGCCAGCAGCGCGACGCCTCGGGCGCGCGCGTGGTTCTCGCAGGCCTGGTGTATGGATTCCATCAAGGGTATCGCCCACTCGGCCTGCCCCTCGTCGCCGTCGAGGCCCAGCCAGACCAGCACGGTGGCAGCTCGGGAGTAGATCTCCCGCATCAGCTGCACCTGGTCCGCGCGCTCCTCCAAGTCGCCTTGGTTGATACACGAGGCGTCCGTCTAGAGCATTAACTCTTGGTCGGGAAGCCGGAAGTGCCGGAGAGCGTCGAAGAGGTTCTTCGTGACGGACACCTCGTGGCCCGAGACCCGGATCTGTTGCTGCTGGGACGGATCGCCCCATACGTACGAGAGCGCCGCGAACGACGGCAAACTGTCAACATTTGCCTCTCGGAGCCGAACATGGGTGGGACTGTCCCCGAACCCGCCCTGCAGGGCAAGTATCCGTATCCATCGGCTCGGTGGGCGCCTGGCATAGATGGGATGCATCTGGCCCAGCCGAGATCATGCTGCTTGTATTGCTGTGGGAAATGATGAAAGAGCGCGAAGACCCCGCATTGCACACATGTAGATGAAAAGCGGGAAAGAAAGAAAAAATCACTCGGGCAGCCATAAAAGTCGCCGATTAGGTGTTTGAAACCCGCATGATAATACACCAAATGCACTCGACAAAAGCCCCGCTTACAAGTACACCCGCTGCTGCTGTTGCAGACCACCCATGTAGTGATCACCATGAATACGGCTCCGACGAGGCACTTGTCTAACGATCTTGGCCAATCTTCACGGGATCAAAATGTTGGCATGTGTGAACCAGCCAGATGACGAACAATACAAGCAATGTTTCCTCGTTATATCTTTTGGTATTCGTAAAATAGCAGATCGTGTCTTGATCTCGAGAATCCCGAGTCTAAGCCCAGCTGAAGGGGTTTAGAACAGGGGCAGAAAACAGTCAAATAAGAAACAAAAACTTCACTGGCCTATCCCATTCGATCCTGTTCATTCCTTGTTGGTCAGGGGCATCCGCCTTCCGTTCTTTGTCCTCCGAGATACACTACGACAATAACAACAAAACATAGCACAAGACCCCCAGAATCGTTTCGAACCTCAAAACCCCTTCCTAGCGAACACTCCATCCGAGTATGCCCAGAAGCACCGTACTAACCTTGGCCCAGAACCAATTCCCCCAGCTCAACGCTTCCCCGATGGACTCCGCAAAGCAACGCCTCGGCAAGAAAGCCAAGACGATAGTCCTCAAGGCCCTTCCGCGGGAGCACCTCGCTTCCCGCCTGTCCCAGAGCCTCGACGCCGCCCTGGCCTCCCTCAAGGGTACCATCCTGGACCTTCCCGACCGCGTCCCGACGCCGAACCCGCTGCCCCCGGCCGCCACGATCCCCGGCCAGACCCCGCTCTCGACCGAGAGCTACCGGACCTCCCGCGACCGGTACGTCCGCTGGACGCTGGTGCGCAACGGAGAGTACGCGGCCGACTGGGCCGGCGGCTGCGTCCCCGCCGACGCCGACGTCCACCGCATGCTGTCCTGGTACACTACCTATGACGTCTACGAATTCCCTGCCGTCGAGTACGTGTCGCTGATGGGCCGGGGGTGGACGAACTACTTCTTCCTCGTCGAGTTCGTGTTCGTCACCTAGCCCTGCGGCAGGCTGCCGCAAAAGATTGTCCTCGAGTTCAGCCTGCCCGTGTGCCCGCACGAGAAGCTTGAGAGCGAGGTCGCGACAATGGTGTGGGCGGCGGCGGCGGCGGCGGCGACGTCGTTGTCGTCGCCGTCATCGTCTTCACCCCGGCTGGTCCCCAGGGTGGTGTTGTTCGTCTCTTACCCCCGGAACCCACTGGGCCTGGAGTGGATGATGATGGAGCCCGTGTCCGGGTTCCCCTTACAGGAGTACGAGTTCTAGGGGTTCACGGACACGGGGCTGGATGGCTCCGGCTTCCCCCGGAAGACGCCGCCGCAGAGCGACAAAGACCTTTTGAACATTGGCGAGGGCATCCGCGACTTTATGGCCAAGATCAAGACAACTGCCTGATCGGCAGCTTGCGGATCAACTGGAAGCCGAAAAGGTTCTACACCGGCTCCATCGTGTCCCCTCGCTTTTACAGCGCTAGTAAGTTTTGGCGGAAGTCCGTCCACGGACCGTACGCATCGGTACAAATTTACCTTGGAGACTACATCTCCGTCTGGAGGGACGAGTATGTAAACGACGAATACATGCAGAAACGGCTCGCTAGCCTGGACATCGTTGTGGGGAGGATGGCGAAGCGTCTTGCGATGCTGCCCGACGTCAAGTGGCGTTTGCCAACCGACGATGACCGCATGAACGGCTGGCCAGTGACGATATCTCACCCGGACCCGCGACCCGACAACGTCCTTGTTGGCGAGGATGGTAAGTTGGTCGCCATCATGGGTTGGGAGAATGCGACGCTCATGCCGATACCGCTGCGGACTGACCTTGCACCATTGGATCGGTTCTTCCAGCGATTCGGGTGTGAATGTGTCATCGATCCCATGCAAATTGACCTAGGATGCGCGCTGCCACCTAGAGCGAAGCTTCTAGACAGAGTTCTGTCCCGCGCCTGGCCGGGCAGAGAGGCGTCCATCGTTTTGGAGCCGGTAATGGAGAGCACGTCAGGCATATAGACTGCTTTCAAGGCACTGATGGAAGTGTACAAGAGGCTGCCCCTGCGCAGAGAAACGGAACGCGTCTGGCTCGACAAGGCCGTCTTGGCTATGTTGGACCAGTACAGGGAGAATTGCACAAAGTAGATTGTCTGGAATCCCAAAATTCTTCAACTCCAGTTCTGATGGGGTTCCAGTAAACTAAAGATGGCTGCGGCTCAAGAGGAGCTACGCGACTGTACTATTGCAGCAAGGGTAATAAAAGATCTAGACGATCGGGACAGATCCGGGTAACGGCAGCGAGGAGACCTCGCTCCGGGAACGGCCCTCCATCGAGATAGGTAAACAACCCTTGGCAAAAAAGCATTGTGGTGTTCATGAATGGCTAGTCCTTCTCTCCCGTGCCCAAACAAGTTTAATGGGGACAGACACTTGCCAAGAGATGGGATGAGAGGGAGGGAGGATGGGAGGACGGGGCATGCGAGATGCATCAGATGGCATTGTCTGCGCGGGTCAGTTTGCCGGCCTACGTCTGAACCTTGGCATCATGGGAGGCGGGAAAAGCAAACAGAGCTGTCAAGCAAAAGAGGCTGCGGCGTGTCGCAAGGGAGATTGCAGGATCGTTGTAATGAACTGATGGACTGGTGATGCAGTGGCTTGCGGTAACGCGGAGAGAATGAATGGCGTCACAAGCTGGAAGCTGACATTTCCGGAGGGGGGTGGTGCATCGCATTGATGACCGGAGCCTGACGTCATGCATCGCACGTGGGTGGCATATGGGATTAGTGGTGTGTTCCGCTGGCGATCGCAGATCTAGTATACGATGTATGCCAAGCCATGTATAACGAACGACCAGCGCGCAACAAACCGAAGCGAGCATGTGTGTATGTATCGTATGCATCAAAGTGGCGAGTAGTAGGAAGAAGATTCGGGGGGAGGGGGGCGAGCAAATCCCAAATCTAGTGTAGATGAAAAAGGCCTACGGGCAGCAGCCGGCCACATCCAACGAAGCATTTGGGGGGACTCACTGACATGAACAACAACAGCTCAACTGGATGATTACGTGTCAACCGCGTAGCGACAACCACCTTATGACGCATTGGGAGTAATTGACAGCATGAAAGTGACAGAAAGGGAGGTGACGGTTTGTCCCGAGTGGTCTGTACGGCTGTGATGCCGCTGCCAACATGCCAATGATTGCCAATGCAGAATGCGGCAGGCCATGGGGGGTGGGGCCGGCGGCTGGCTTGGATGCGGCGCTTGCTATTAAGTCCTTGCATCAGTTTCTTCCGAATGCCGCGATGACACCCCCACCCTGGACTGGTGGGGAACTAATTGTTCGACGCGATGGCAGACTGGTCCGGTTGATTGAGGGTGAGGGTGTTCAGGGGTATGGTAAGTAAGTGCACTACATCTGCACCTGAGGCTCTCTCGACTAGGATGGGTTGACTCGACCCCGGGACCTCTATCAGCAAGTACAGTCGGATGCAGCTGATTGGAACGACGGTCGATATTGGGACGTTGAGAGGGTGCGGAGGGAATAATTCCCAACCGCCAAGAGACATTTTAGGTCAGTGATATCCCTCTGTCGTACTTTCCCTTCTGTTGTTTTGCCATTTAGAGGGAATTCGCAGCAGGGAGGAAGCGGGAGAAACCCAGAATCGAGGTGGGTCTCTTTCCGCATACCGGTATCCTGGAGGAAGGGACCGGGAAGGGAGGACTGGGCCTCAGTTAGCGCGATACTTGCCGCGTATTTGCCCAGTCGGCGCCAACACTGACATGACGACATGGTAGGAAAACTCCCCGTTGAGGGACGCTACTTGTTCAGACTTGCGATGCATGGTGCCGAAACAATGGGACACCGTCTTTGTAGCTTTGCAGTCGCCGTTGCTTGCCAATTACCTGTCTCGATCCAATGCGCAGACACGCTGTCCGAGACGAGACAAAAATATCAACGGCACCGAGATGGAGATGGACAGGGCGGCCGACGGACATGCGCGCCAACTCTCGCTGCGTCCATTCCGCCACAACCTGGCGCACATCATCGACGTGACCAGATACGTTATTCGTACCATCCAATTGAACAAGGCAGCACGGGCGATTGATAATCGTCCTATCGAGGTAGGCTTTCCAGCCAGGAATCAGTCCGCGGTGGAGATTGAGATGAGTCGGAGAGCTAGCTCCGAAATCTGCCATGTTCATACAATGCCCATCCTCGCCAATGTAATGGCAGCATCCCGTCATCCCAGGAGGCCATCGTGCCTAGGGGGGCAGCATGTTACCCATGCACCGATTGAAGTTTAGCCAACTGGACGAAGCCGTTCGCCGTTGGGAAACCCGACAACTCCTCGTGTAAACCATGCTATCTGATGTGCTATCCGTGGTGCGACTGCACTGTCCGGGAGGCTGGGAAACCATTGTCTGAGAAGCAATCACACGAGCGCATGCCATCAGCCCATACGTGTATTTTCACAACGAGGATCGCCAGCCTTGGTGGTACGATTTGGTAAGAGCAGTCTAGACTCGTGTATTCGGCCCTTGTACCACATATGACACAAGACAACTAGCCAGCCAGCCGTCTGTCTGTCTTCCCGTCCTCAGTGCTGAAAGATGGTCGTTGTGTGCCGCGAGGAAAGGCGCCAGTGCCAAAGCGTCCAAGGTGGAACCGCTAGGGAAGTGGGTGCGAAAGTTTCCAGGCTACCAGCCACTAGGGCGGAAAAGTCAACCTTGACGAGGTGCTAAGAAAATGCCAGTGCACTGCCAGCTGGAACTCTCCGTCTCGCGCCCCCAGTATCCGCCGTCCCCTGCGAATCGAAGCAGAGAGCCAGGGGCTAGGCTGTTGAAGCAAGCGGCCCCGGCTCCTTTCTTCATCAAGGGTTTATGCAAAAGTACCCCGTACCGACCTAGGTAGGTAGGTAGGTAGGTAGATAGGTGAGATGCGTTACGTGTATGTGGAATTTGGAGTGGCTGCCCGTGCCCGTAAGTACAAGGTACGTACGGATAGGTAGATACGATACCTACCAAGTCTAGACCACCCACGCGAGGTAGGTACATACACTCACTGCCTGCCAAACCGGCTAATGACGTAGTGCATCAAGTTCCTGCCCCTTTCCTCAACGTCACCGCACCCGAGTCCCACGGCGACGACCAAGATCAAGGAAAAATAACCACACAAAGAGCAACAGAAGGGAAAGAGGGAGCTACGCGTAGAGGGCCAAGTCCCGGTGCGCCTGCCTGCCTATGCCAATTTGAATTTTCTAATTGTACCGGGTTCTTTCCTGCTGCGAGACGATCGCCTGCCACGCGCGCCTGCCGTTGCTTGCCTCCCTCCCTCCCTCCCTCCCCTCCACTCCCCCTTCTCTCCCTTCCAATCAATCGCTAGGAGCAAATCTCATTCTGACGCAGATGTTATTTTGCCCTCCTTGCGCTTGGGCACACGACAGAAAGAAGGTATAAACACCACCTCGCAGTCGACCGCCCCCCCTCGTTTGGCCTTTCATTTCTGCTTCTTTTCTCCCCTCATCGATACGATACCTTTTCCTGTTTTCCTCTTTCTACAGGAACCTCGTCTTGGCGATTCTCATTATACCCAATTCCTCTGTGATACCCCCACCCAAATACCAACAAGCTTTCCCTTTTTGTCCCTTACAACGAAAACCCCCGTAATTACCTATTATTTCGACCGCCGTTCAACAGAATTCACGAAACAATACAATTGCGATAGCTTCAAACCTCATCATGTCCGCAAAGGTCAACAAGCCGACCGACTTGAAGCAGAAGGAGGCCGATGTAAACCGCAAGCTTCAATTATACGGCATCGTGTCCGCTTTCCAGGCTGGCAAGGTTCCATCGGTAAGTCAATGCAGACATGGCGCCTGCGGCCCACGCGGCCTTCCGTTGGTGTTTAGGTTTCATTCCTGCGCCGCCACCTCCCACACCATCGCATAATAATACTGATGAGTTCCGTGTCGCAGAACGACCAAATCGATGTGGCCCTGAATAGCTTCTTGGCCTCCAAGGCCCTGTCGAACCCTCCCGAGAAGCTTTCCCCCGAGGGTAAAGCGCTCGTCGCCGACGCCCGCGATGTTATCATTCAAGCAAAGAGCCTTCTGTTATCAAAGAACCAGGGTAACCTGCTCCAGGACTTCATCTGGCAAACTGAGCAGTTCGACCCCAAGGCCGTACAAGTCCCCGGCGCCCCCATCAACAAGGAGGTTGCCCAGCAGCATGGTGACAAGGCGCTAGAGGGTCTCCGGACTCTCGGAACTCTCATCATTACCAATGGCCAATTCCGCAAGCTTCGTAAGTCAATTCATTCATTTGATCTTTCCTTCACCTGAACTGACACGAGAACAGTCAAGGATGCTACCGTTCTTCTCCGTGACATGGCGGGCGATGCCGCTACCAGCGCCGCCGAGCGTGTCCGCCCCTCGGGTGATGCTCTTCAAGAGATTGATCGCCCCGCCGAGGACAACACCTGGCATGAAGCACCCGACTTCTCCAAGGAGAACTTCAAGAAGCAGGCTCAGGGTGTCTACAAGGGTTCTCTTGCTGATGATGCTCGGGAAGTTGTCAATGCCGGTACCCAGGCGGCTCACCCCAACGGTGCACAGAGCCCTCAGGATCTGGCCGCGACCGCCGCGCGTGACCAGCAGGAGGGAACTAGCTCCGGTGTGAATGCACAGGGTGGCATTAACGCAGCTCTCAACGTCGTTCAGAAGAAGTACAACGAGAATGTCGATGGTGAGACGAAGGAGCAGGCTCGCCAGCGCAAGGAAGAGTACCGTCGCCGCGCCAAGGAGTACTTTAACAAGAAGATGCCTCAGGAACGCAAAGAGCAGACCATTTGGCGCCTGAAGAAGATGGTGCTCGAGTGTCAGCAGCACCCCGATTATGCGCAGGCCATCGAGACTCTTCTCAACCTCGCCGAGGAGTATGCTGGCCACTCGCGTTCCATCGCTCAGGGTGGAACTGGTACTGTCAAGGATGCCCGCGCCGGTCTCGCGCAGGCTGAGTCCGACCTCAAGACCCTCATCGAGCGTTTTGCCAACGGAACTTCTACTGAGGACCTTTTCGAATCCATTCAACAGATCTACCGTGATGCCGACAACGATCGCGAGCTCAAGGATTGGTTCAAGGCTATGGACCGATACGTCCGGCGCTGCCTTCTCGAGCAGGGATACATCCTGGATGAGGAATCCAACCAGGAGTGGAACAACCTCTACGACCATGGTCGTTACTTGCTCCGCAACAAGTACCGAGCTCACACCGACCGAGTCTTCGATGAGATCAAATTCTTGATCGATCAGTTCGACCAGGATCCCCAGAATAAGCGCTTTGGTCAGGCTGTTCAAAAGTTGTTCACCGACCTCGGCAATGACGAGAACGGCAAGCCTACCTTTAAGCCCCATCTCATTAAGGATCTCTCGGAAGTCATCCTCCCTTCCATCTTTGAGAACGTGGCTTACGTTCCCGTTCCTCGCATCGAGTACTCCGACCCTCAGTTCGATGCTATCATTGAGAACCTTGTCCTTGAGTCGGACAACTTCATGCCAAACGTCCTTGAGGTTAACAGCGAGAACTACTTCCTTTGGGGACGCAAGAACACTTCCAACAAGCACAAGCAGTCTTTCGAAGTCAAGTTTGCTGGAGTGCAGCTTGACCTGCGTGATGTCAGCTACCATGTAAAGCGCAAGCAGGGGTTCCCGTCCATCACCGACACAGGTGTTGCCGACATCCTTTTGGCTGGCGATGGTTTCTCCTTCAAGCTGAAGCTTTCCTCTGCCGACAAGAAGGATAGCCAGAACTTCTTCAAGATCGACAAGGTCGATGTGGACATTAAGCACATGAGCATCAAGCTCAAGCAGTCCAAGCACAAGCTCCTCTTTAGCCTGTTCAAGCCCATCATGCTCAAGGTTCTCCGCCCTGCTCTGCAGAAGGCCGTTGAGAAAGCCATCAAAGACCAGGCCACCCAGCTGGACAGCCTCCTTTTCCAGGTCAAGCAGGAAGCTGACCGCGCCATTGACGAAGCTCGCTCCGATCCCGAGAGAACCCCCAATATCTACAACCGTTACGCCACTGCCGTTCAGAAGCGTGCTCTGCAGACTAAGCAGAAGGCCCAGGAGGTTGCTGCTGACAAGAAGGTTAACTACGCCATTACCAAGGAGGACTCCATCTTCCCCGACATCAACCTTCCCGGTGGCATTAGCACCAAGGCCACCGAGTACAAGGAATTGGCCCGCAAGGGAGAGCGCTGGGAGAGCCCTGTCTTCTCCATTGGCCAGGCCAGCAAGTCGACTGACATCCCGCCCGCGCCTCGTATCGAACGCAAGAAGCATGGTCTGCCCACCCAGCAGGGACAGTATGCTCCTCATGCCAACGGCAACCTGAATGGCAACATCGTCAAGAACTCTGATTTGCTGTACGATGCCAACCCCAACGGTGGTCTTAACGGCACCGTCAACACCCTCTCCAGCCCTGCCCATGTCAGCGGCTACTAGAGTCTCCAGTCCCTTAATTCATTTTCCTTTGTTGCCGAGAAATATTGTAACACGAGTTGACGGCAGACGAAAACACTTATACCCGCGTGGAGAGTTAGGGTCAACGGACAGCTTCCATAGCTTAATGACGCGTCGCGTTGTAATAATTGTTTAGCAGAATTCACTTGGTTTCACCATACATTGGTCTATTCTATGATTGTTCTTCTGCCTGAAATTAATGAAATTGCTGGTCTGAAAAGCCGTGGCCACGTCCGAAAACAAGGAAAAGTGTGTACTTGGCAGTGACTACCTCTTGGATTGCCCATGCAAAGGTACATATACCAACGACTCAGCTTGGTATGGTCCAGGAAGGCAAGAATGATATCCAGCTATCGGTAGCTCTTGATTTACCTCCTTGCCAAGAGCAGCCCCAGGATAGAGTCGTGATGTCATTGGATTGAGATAACTGCATCCTGAGGGTTGTTGTGGCACTTCTATAGGTGATTGTCATAGCCTGCATTCTAAGCTCCGATGACTACCAGACGTAAACTAACTTCCACATCCGAGTTACGAAGTGCAAGAACACAGGTACACGCTTTGATGGAGCAATACACGCACTGACTTAAACTAGTGATTACAGGTTCAGACCAGGGAAGGCACCGAATGAAATGTCTCAAATCTACATGATCAAAGAACGAATCAAGAAGACATTGACAACATATAGATGGTTTTCCAGGCCTGTTTCAGTTCCTGGCCTTGGCCTGGTTCGGGTCCGTCTGCTCGCTCTTCAGCCCCGCCAAACCGCTTTGCCGTTGGGGATCCCGCCCCGTCGTCTCCTCCAGGTGCTGCTCGCTGGACGGCTTAGACCCGTAACCAAGCAATGCCGAGCGGTTGCCTCCGCGGGTAGTGTTTTCAGCCACACCGGCGGCGCGGTCGGGGGCCCCGGTGAGGAAGGCGAAGAAGCCGCCGACCGCCACTGCGACTCCCGCGACGAGAAAGATGGTTGACCTGTGGAGGGGTTGTCGTTAGGGGGCTTTGTCCCGTCACACGAGCGCGACCGGTGTCGGATGAGGAGAAGTTGGAACCTACCTGTCGCTGAGCTGATCAGGTGACGTCGGGGCTTTCTGATCTGATCCGGGCTGTTTGCCGCCGTGCTGTGCCGGCGTAGGCTGGGCGGGTTCCTTCACGGCATAGGTCCGGCGGACGGTGTGTTGCAGGGGGCGGCGGAGTGTCGATGCCCGCAGGGCCGGTTGTAGGTGGAGGACTCTGGTTGATGACATTGTGATTGGATTATTCGAGTGGTTAAGGATGAGGTGGCACGTTTAGATGTGTGAGGTACGATGTTGGAACACTCTACGGGGATCGAGACTTAATGACCTATGCAGTATGAATTTGATCGTGTGACATTCGATTCGCAGCAAAATCCCCTCTGACAATTACTGTAGAGATTCGGTTATATACCTAGACGTATGGAATGATTTGTCAATCTACCGGCCCTGGGCCTGAGGGAAAGAATGTTGCCCGAGCGCCGGGTGATGCGATCGATACTGATGAGGCGCTCAGCTATGACAGAGCGATGATGTAGACGATACACAATTCTGAGCCGATTTATGTGGGGGCCCGTTCATCCTACCACCCGCCTCAGACGATCTGCTTTCAGGCACAGTCTTTGGATTCCGATAAAACAGTGCAGCTTCCGGATAATGTCTTGGTCTAATTGATGATTCATCAGCTCCGGGGTGCGAGCCTCAAGGAATATGAACAAAGACGCCACATTACCTAGGCGCATCTAGGAATCCGGTCACCCCAATCTCACCTAACCCATCATTCCCCATCCCCCTTTTCCTCCTCGTTTTCTAGGGAGGCCGCTAACGATTCCTCAACGCCGTGTGGATGCCTCTATACGTCCAGTTCAGCCTCATCCGGTCCAGCTGCGCCTGCGCCGACATATCGGTGACATGGCGCGAGTTCCGCTGGACCTGCGACGCGCGCGGACGCCGCACCGAGTCCCATGTCCGCAGCGCGCGGCCGACGTTGTCGGTGTCGATTCTCTCATGGAGAAGGAGGCGCAGGCCCTCGGCGTCCTCGATGGCCTGCGTCGCGGCTTGGTCCTGGAAAGGCGTCATCGGATGCGCCGCGTCGCCGACCACGACGGCGCGGCCCCTGGTGTACGTTGGTAGGGGGTCCATATCCTCGACTTTGTAGAGGTGGACGACCTCGACGTGTCTATTTCCCTCTCTCCCACGGTGGGGTTGGTCAGTGGTTTCTGTGTCTTTTTGGAGCACATATGGCGGAGCAAGCGAAACTCACTTCATGATCTCGAGGACCCACGGCGCAAAGTCGAAGAAGTGGTCGAGCATCTCCTCGGAGGTCCCCTCCGCGTTCCAGGACGTCACGCTCTCGCCGGAGAGCATCGAGTCCGGGATCCGCGCGATCACATTGAGGGCGGTGAGGTCCCGGCAGGGGTAGAAGACGATGTTGCGGTTGGTCTTGTCGTCGACCGCCATGATGCTGAAGAAGCCGCCGTTGGCCGGGTCAATCGCGGGCGGGTATCCCTTGAGGATCTCGCGAGCCCTGTCAAGTGGGAACGTGAACCGGTAGAGGGAGACGCCCGTCGAGTGGAAGCGGGGCGGCTCACCCACGATGGCCTGCCGCACGAAGGAGTGAATACCGTCGGCTCCTGCGGGAATCGTCAGGGTTGTCTGCCACTCATTCATTTCTCTCCGTTGGATAACGCGTCCGGGGTGGGGTCATCCTTACCGACAATGACGTCCGCTTCGACCTCACTGCCATCCCGCAGCCACACCGTCCCCATCTCCACGTCCACCTCCTCGACCTCGACCCCGTCTACGACCGTCGCCGGCGGGCCGGAGATGCCCAGCTTCGCCGCGTCCCCCGTCGCGAGCCGTAACAGCTCTTCCCGCAGGTCCGTCCAGTGCATCAGCAGCCACTCGCTCCCGAACGGCTCCGCCGTGCCCGTCGTCTCCCGCAGCAGGTTGCCCTCCTTGTCGTAGGTCCGCGACCCGGCGCAGACGGTGGCCTTGAGGTCGCCCGGGCAGAACTGGAACGCCCTCTTGAGCATCCTGCTGCCGTTGGGCCCGAGGCCGATTCCCGCGCCGCGCTCGGGCGCGGACGACGGCTCGCGCTCGTAAACGGTCACGTCGTGGCGCTGGCGGAGCACTGCGGCGGCAGCGAGGCCTGCAATGCCGCCGCCGACGACGACGACGCGCAGCCTATTGGTGTCGTTGTTGTTCATCTTCTTCCAGTCTTCTGGAGTCCTGAGACTTCGTGGATTCACAGTAGATCGCGATAGTGAGTGCTATTCACAACAATTATCACTCCTCCCGGAGACAAAATTGGGGGAGGGACATAATGGTCCTGCTTTATGCCCAACCGTGTGTCACCGCATAGTTCAAGGCCTCGTCCCTGAGACATCAAACGAAATTCTATTCGTAGTTGTGATGGATGCTGGTCTGATGCCCGAAACTCTCGAGGTTGAACGGACGTTGAGAAGTCAAAACCCAAAACCCCGGCCTCCAGTCAGGAACTCAAAGTTACGCGGTATGAGCTAAGCAATCCTTGTATCTTATAAATGGTCAATAAGTTGATCTGGGAATCGTGTTCCGGGATATTCCCAGCCCAATTTATCAAATGTGACTGGTATCGGCCGTGTCCGAGCCCTGGCCGACGGTTGAGATCGCTCCTATCACCGCAGCCTTTCAGAGTCGGCCGTCCGGTATTAGAGTTGAGGCGTTAGCCAAAGATAGATTGGTTTACCCGCTCCCATCTTAGAGCCTTTTGTCTTATCTCTGGGGGCGCAAGAGACGTACGTACACGTCTAATCAACCTTTCCTATCTTCTTTCCAGGACTGGAAGCTCGCGGAAGAGAACGCGCGGCTAGATCACCGCGGTCCATTCAGACAACGTGCCCGACGCCAAAGTTCGGTGCCTACATAGGGCACCCTTTCACGATAAGCTTGCCGCATCTAGAAGGAGATAAGGCATTGGCGACAGGACGAGCGAATGATATGAGAACAGGTGACTGTCATGGCTCGGTCTTTGTTGGAGGCCGAAAGGCGTCGCTTACTAGTCAGACTCGCTCTCAGGCGGCTGACGCAGCAATATGCATCGAAGCTTGGTAATCCTCCGTAGACGTCACGACCCATGCCGTAAGCGTGCGTGAGTGCTTCACCAGCGCTCACCTGCGAGGGCTTTTCGCTCGCGTCTCATCGGAAATCGGCTCTCAATCTCCGCGACGGGATGGACAATTCACTTGACTATTTGACTCGCGACACTATTCTTCGTTGAAGCAGTTCTGGACATTCATTCACACTCAATTCGTTCAGATTCAACAACGATTACTCCTCTCAACCACTGTTCACACTTCATCCAACTTATCATCCAACTATGTCACGAGCTATATTAGTCTGCGGCTCGACTGGGAAGCAAGGCGGTGCTGTCATCAACCGCCTTGTTGAACAAAATGCCGACCTGGAAATCCTCGCCGTCACACGGAATGCGAGCTCCGCATCTGCACAGCGGCTTTTGAAAAAGTCTCCCAAGATCCGACTAGTCCAGGGCGAACTATCCGACCCAGCGGCACTCTTCAAAACCGCCAAGGAAGTGGCAAGTTCGCCCATCTGGGGCGTCTTCAGCCTCCAGGTTTGTCTCCAACTTTGTCTGGCATCATGGATAGTATAGCTGAAACTCGAGACAGGTTGTCGGACAGAGCGGAGGGAGCGAGGCGGACATCGGCAAGGCTCTCGTCGATGCATCGCTCAAGGCCGGCGTCAAGTTCTTCGTCTACACGTCCGTCGACAGACACGGCGCGGACGACCCGACCAACGTTCCGCATTTCATCCACAAGCACAACATCGAGCAGCACCTCTTCGCCAAAGCCAAAGGCACCGACATGGACTGGACCGTCCTCAGGCCGGTCGCTTTCATGGAGGACCTCACGGACGACTTCATGGGCCGAGTCTTCGTGACGTCCTGGAGGATGGCCATCAAAGAGAAGCCGCTGCAGTTGATCGCGGTCAGAGACATTGGCCACGTCGGCGCCGAGGCCTTCCTTCACCCGGACAAGTACAAGGGCCGCGGTATCTCACTGGCCGGCGACGAGTTAACGATCGATCAGTTCGCCGAGGTGTTCAAGAAGACGACCGGTAGGGAGCTGCCCGGGACATACAGAGTCTTCTGCTGGCTTATCATGGCGATGGTGAAGGACTTTGGATGGATGTTCAAGTGGTTCTACGACGTCGGGTACGGCGTCGACATCCAAGAGCTGAGGAAGGAGTACCCAGAGTTGAAGGACTTTGAAACCTGGTTGAAGACAGAGAGCGACTTTTCAAGATGATAATGTAGACGAAGAATTGCATCAAGAGAGCTTAATAATTAATACAAGAACGGCATAGGTTGGAAATGGATAGCAAAGACAACGTCTCATCTCATCTGGACTTTGGTGCTTGAGACTGAGAAAGATTCATACATTAATACTATTTCCTACAGTTACTGCTCCTAGCAGCGAGGAGGTCAGGCATCGACGACGTCTCGTAAAGAAGCCGGTTGGGTCATCCAATTGCGAGTTTTGTTAAGATTTTACGGTAGAGAATTACTCTACAACAACAGTAAGTTTGAACAGGATTTCTGTCGTGGTTGTGGTGAGGCTCGACATATGACTGAAGGAGCTTGAGTCTTGCATCGTGGTGACATTTGGTAAGTCTATTCTGTAATAAAAAAAAGTCGAATCACGGATGAAACTGGTCGGAATTGATGTAAGCCCACGGAGGTCGTTGTAATGGGCGACGATGGTTATGAGGGACTCGAGGAGGAAGTTGGCGTGCCCAAGGACTTGAAGTTATCCTGCTACATAGAAAGTGTGGGGCTCTAAGTAGGCTTTGAAGATAACCGACGAAGTCCTTGTCGTAGTTGTCACGCCACCCAAAGGTGTCCCAAAGGTAATTACACTAGTCACAATAGTTAGTCACGCTAGTCATACTAGACACGCTATAAACACTAGTTGCACTAGACATACTGATTACACGATTGGCATGGGCCGGTGTGTCGGCTGAAGCAATATCAGTTAATGAGAATTCTACCGACGGGGGTAAAGATGTAATCGAAGGCGAAGAGGAATCTGTGGTGAGTTGCGGGGCGATTGTCGGGTTAGTAACTGAAGAAGTTGAATATGTTGAGGTCACAATATGCGTCCAAGTCGACCGGAGTGAGTAATCAATCACCTTTGAGGCACCGATGCAGGGCTATCCAGAATTGGTCGTGATCTAAAGCTGACGAAGAGTAACGCAGTCGTCCTAGGCATAACCAGAACCTCGCATTGTTAATTAGGCAAAAGAATAAGGGTCATCGATTCTGTTACTGCGTTTTTATCCAGAAACCTTCCACTATGGTGTTGAGTATCGGGCATTGTTACCTATATTGCTTTTTTCCGACTGCGTCAAGAGTACTAGTGAGACCTTGGGAGGAATTACATTGGATACGTATTCTAGTCAATGACTAAATAATACTGACACGTGGGGCGTCTGTGGCTACCTCTGCATCCAATGAGTCAAAAAAGCTTGATTATTTGTTATATGTCTCGGGCGAATCGGCACTGAGCAATCGAGCCACCACTGTCGGTGGGTATGTTTTTGCCTTATGTTTTGACCACGTTCATATTAGGCTACGTGTGATACGGGAGAAGGGGATGTCTAAAAGGAAATGTTGCTACTGGCAAGAGACCTGCTGAGCTCCATGATATCGGCGGGATCGTACATCACGACGGCCGTAGCTTGTCATAAGTCAGTAGAACGAGAAGCTCACTTCTGTTAGGTTTTAAATCTCGGTCCGTCCTTGAATCACTCAAAGATAAAAGTGATGCTAGTATAAGATAAAAATCAACAGAATGGTTAGAAGTTTATTTTTGGCCAGACCAAAATGATTGGCGACAGTCCCAAATATATACATATAATTGTACCACGTCTACGCCAAAAATAGTTACTTAAACCCGAATTGGCTGCATAGCTGAACGGAAAATAGACCTGAATTCGGTCTGATACAGTAATACCTCAATGCCTCTCAAATATCCGTCAGGACAACGAAAAAGCCAAGAGGGCAGCCCTTGATGCCCTGCTCGAAGACGAAAGTGGTGTCAGGGGAGCAGAGGCTGCCCGACACGGTCACGCTGCCGGGAGCGTCGGCCGGGATGCCACATGGGGCGCTGTTAATGATCTGAAGAGCAATCAAGTCAGCCATCTGAGGCAGAGGACCTCGCGTACGCAAGGAAAACTCACGTAGCTGTGACCGGGGGTCATGACGGGAGGCGGGTTCGGGGGGTTCGGGCCGGGAGCGGGCTGGTTGTTGTAGGTCGTCTGGCCGGCGACGGCACCGGCGCCGATGGCGTAGCCGGTGAATTTGAAGGTGCCCTTGCCCTTGAATTGGAACTTGCCGCGAGCGGCCTCCTCGGAGGGGAAGTCGAAGACGAGGTTGCAGACCTTGCCCTGGGTCGCGGCGACGGGCAGGTCGAGGTTGAAGACGGTGCAGACGTCGTTGGGCGTCACCTTGGCCGATTTGGTCGCCGGGAAGGCAAAGTTGGGCTTGCTCTTGGCAATAGGCACCAGAAGGCTGGTGGACACGTAGGAACTGCCGAGGCTGCCGTCAGGCTGGGCGGAGTTGGTCGGGCAATCGCACTTGCTGGGAGCGGCAGCGGCAGAGATGGCAAAGGCGAGGGCGCCGGCAACGGTAGAGGCCTTCATATTGAAGGAATGTTTTGGAGGATTACGGACGAGGTAGAAGAGTATGAGCAAGGTCCGGGATTGCCTGGGTAGGTTCAAGTGATGAGAGATGCTACACAAAGGGTGATGGTTGATTCCAGACTCGAGAGGAAGTGAGGCATCGTCTTATATAGAGCTTTCCTTACCACAAGGCCAATCAAGGTATGGCTCTAGCCTATTGGTTTGGTTCAGCCTCAGAAAGGGGTTGAACGATTATCGGGTCTAGCCTCAGCTTGGGAAACACTTCAGCACAAAGAGTCGGGATGGCGCTAGCTGCCGGGCTGCCGGACTAGCTCGTTCTGGAGAAACGGATCAGCGAAACAAATAGGACATGTCATGCCAGTCTCGCAAGTGCCTTTGGCTCCGGACAGGGTCTCCCACATGGCCCCGCTGCCTGATTTGCCTTTATGAGTGGCGTTTGTAGGATCTTCCAGGAAATTCAGCTTGACGCCCGAGCGCCGGACACCAGCACGACTGGGCTCTAGCCGGGAGGAGTATTCTATCCAGCATTGCCGCGCTAGGAAACACCATCCTTGGAGGTGAAAAAAAATGTTTATTTAGGCGCCTACCATGGGCACGCACGGCAGGCATGATCACCACTGCGGTCGCATCCGAAGGGGACAAAGCCGGGGCCGGAAGCCTCAAAGTCCGAAATGTGGGGCGACGCCACGGGGGAAACATGCAGCACACGAAGAGTCAATGGCGCACTCTTCTAGGCCGGCTCAATTACCGTCGTCTTACGAGTCTCATTCGAGGCTGCATTAGGGCCTTTAGTAACCTGCCGGCGCGAGCATCGTATGCAAGGAGACCTTGATTCTCACGTCAGCTAACCAGCCCAGCCCGGATGGCAGAGTGACGGTACGCGCTGTTGTTGTAATAAGAGCCGCCTAACTAGTTCTTACTCCTTACCAAGGGATTCGGTGAGTAGAATGTTGGCCGTTGCTGCCGGAGTACGTCGACTACGACAGGGAAAGAAGGGTTGCTTTTCTTTTCAATAATGCGTCTACTTGTTTCAATGTGATACGCCCTCGACGTACCACGCAGGGGCTCAAGGAAAAACAAGCTTTTGAATTAGTTTAGTCCACAAAGATAACTACCCTGCGGCTTCCTACTACCAAGACAGTACGTGCATCGGCCATGAAGGCAATTAGCTAGATGGTCCCACGTCTACTTGCGGCGAGAACCTGGAGATTCTTAACTCATGCATGCTGACGTTAGAAAGGAATGGCCGTGGCGTCTCTTGTGCTGCGCAGCAAACAGGCTTGCAGGTAAACCTCAACTTTCGGTTGCTGCTGTCATCAGCCGCCCGCTTTCCAAACACGGTCTCATCTGTTACGTTGGCGCCATGCGTGGCTGGAGCAATCGGCATGCCTTTCCTGGTTGCTTCTAGGTCTAAAAGTAATATGCATACATCCCTTCGACATGGCAAATAAGTAGCCAAAACAAGACACGAGTACCTCTCGTATCATTTCTATTATCGTAAGGGTATCATACTGCTACCATAGACGTACAGGCTGGCTAGATGTGGCTATTAATATAAGCTCACGGAAGGCAGACCATGGCTCGTGGCAAGCTAGCCGTAGGGTTAAAAGGTTAGCCGTAGGAAACGACAATCTACTAATTTCCCCACTTGAATGACATTCTTGAAAGAGACATCTGAAGCATAAACATACAATCCTATGTATGATAGTTTATGACTAGATGGCACCTTGATCTAATCAAATGTTGCTAGCAAGCGTCTGAGCCTATGGTCAACACTCAAACGGCACTTCAACAGTGTGTTAAAGTGGCCACTCAAACATAGACCTAGAATATTTTGCAGGATTAGGTAGTTGATTACTAGGCCGTACCTTAATCTTGTCAATCGTTACCGGTAAGCGTCTGAGCTTTTGGTCAAAACCCAACGGCGAATGCTGTTGACACGCCAAGACAGATCTAGACAGGAGTATTGACGCTATGGTGACTTTGAAAGACTAGGTGACGTGCTTTGGACATGATGAGAGCATGCAACGTGTTTTTTTCTTGTTTCTAGTCGATCAATAAGCTATGCAGGACACTGCAGGCCACCCCACAAGTATGGGGTGGTGTTACGTGCCAGTCACAGATACGAAGGTTACACCACGTGAGCTAACCAGCCAAGGAGTTCTTACTACACTAACCCGCAATCTGAGAGAACATAGCGTAACGCTAAGTGAGATCCTCTTGATCTAAGGTATTGGGCTCGGGCTTATGGCATGGCCCGTAGCCGTCCGCATGAGCTTGAAAACCGGCATTCATTTCCAACGCCGCATCGTGGGTTTTATGGCTGGCTGGAAAGAACGCAAATGCAAAAATAGATGTTGACCGGTCAGCTTAGGTCACCCGGTCACTTCTTCGATAGGCGCATGCAGACATCATGCTACGATAAGTCCATTTGACTCTTACTACAACCGCAGCGCCAAAAGACCGAATCGAATGCAGCATCCTTGCCTGTGCAACAAACAACGCGGACAGAGGCGCCGACTTTATTGTGAGAGAAAGGAAGCCTGCAAACGGTCGTGACTGAGGCTCGCAAGGGACTGGGCCGAATCAGGAACTTACGCTAGACATAGCTGCTTACGCTAATGCTCAGCTACGACGCCGGTAAGCACATCCACGCCACGATTTCCTGACCAACAGCATGACAACTCATAAGTAAATAAAGGTTATCGTGCGAGAAGCAGCTTTCCGGAATATTGATCGGAACCCCAACTTGCCCTCACATATTGACGTGTAAAGCTTAGTCATCTTCTCCAAATGAAGTAGCTCACCCGCGCCACGAGGGGGGGAGGAGGCTTGAGAGCGTGTCAACCCCGCGCGAGCCAGCAGCTGCCCAGACGTACCTCCTCACTTACATCATACTTTCCATGACCGTTTCAAGCTTAACCTCTGTTCATCCTGTGTCCGTGATAAGCCATGTGTGGTAGGCCTGGCTGCCACTCGTGGGCACCCATGATGGCTATCCAGCCCAGCAGCCCTTTTTCCTCTTCATCATCATCGTTATCAGCAGAAGCAGCTTCACCTAGGTTACGGCAATGGACGAACTGTTACCTCCATACCATGCCCGAATCCCGACCCGGCGACGCCATGGAGGCGGTCCTCGCCATCCCGGAGCTCCTGGAGGCTATACTGGTCCAGGTCGACATGAGGACCCTGCTGGTTTCGGTGAGTCGCGTGAGCCGTACCTGGAAAGCCTTCGTGGACGGATCTCCAGCCCTCCAACAAGCTCTCTTCTTTAAGCCGGTGTCCGATGTTTCCAGGGGAACCATCCACGGACTCGAGGGGATCCCCTTCCCGAGAGTTCCGAGTGAACACAGGCTTCCGTCACATAGCGATGCTCGCCTCATCAACCCTCTCCTCGCGGAGAAATTTGACAAGTGCTTCTTCGACTTCGGGCCCACCTACTCGTTCCACCGTCGTGCAAACTCGTTTTACGAGCTTCCGTGGTCAACACGCCCGGAACCGGTCCAGACGGTTCGAGAGCACTGGGGAGGTTGGACTCAAGTCAGGCCAGACGAGCTCGACGAAGAGTCGGCACGGGCCCTGGCGGAGTCCCGACGACGGTTCACCCGCCGCGGCGCGAGCTGGCGGCGGATGCTCGTCTCCCAGCCTCCGCCCCCGTCCCTGGGATATATGCGATTCGACATCCGCAGCATAGCGGCAAGCGACCAAGTCGTCTCCAGCTCATGGATCCGCTCCGGCGGCGAGACCGCACTCGCGGGGCTCCGGATGGGAGAGCTCTACGACGTTGTCCAGCACGGGTCCGGACACCACGGGCGGCAGTCGCTCTGGTTCAGGGTTCTCTGGGGCCGGCCGACCAGCGGGTTCGCGCTCCCTCACGCCAAGGGGGTGTTTGAGAAGCTGACGTCGCAGACGGGCGTCGTGGTGGAGTTCATGCACGCCGACGACTGGACCCTGCCGAACCACCCGCGGGACCCGGCGGACATCGGGGTGTTTGACGCTGCTTTCCGGTGCGAGGAGTACCGCGGGGTGGGGTTCGAGACGGAGGAGACCGGGGCCGAGGAGGACTGCTTTCCCGATTTCTATCCTGGAAACATGATTTGGCATTGGGCATTGACTGACAAGGAGAGGGCGTCGTGAATTCGGCCTCGGAGACATGGGCGTATGGAGGGGTAGGGTTGCCAAGAACTTGATTTGACGACGATTCTGTAGCTCATGCGTTGTGATTGCTGTTTCTATAGCTGTTTGGGATAATTGGTTCCATCCGTCCGCTTCAATGTTTCGCGGTGCGCGTAGTAACAAGAGTCTTGGAGACACCTTCATGCTTCGATATTGTGATATAATTCTGACAGCGATGGATGCAGGGACGTATCATCAAATGAGCTGGGATTGCGTGTGCGGTAGGTAGCAAGTGCTAGGAGAAAACCATACATGTTGGTAGGTAAAGTTGAGCTTGAGCATTAGCATTTTGGGGTAATCTTTGAATCCACCGAGTCGCTTGTCGAACGGGAAGCCCGAGTTTTTAAGACATTGACGTCGGATCACCGGGATTGTGGGCTCAGTAAGGGTCTTCGGTCTTCGCCTGAGACAAATCGATCGGCCTGGTATCCCGCATGCTGTTTCGGTGATCTTGCAAGTGGTTGAAGAAGGCAGAAGGAGGGTTTGCTCCCTTTGCGTCGGATAGGTATCGGTAGGTTGCCCTGAGACAAGCTTAAATTGAGACTTTGACGATGCGCCCAACGGTTTCCCTTGCCGCACTGGCCAAGACGACAGTTGTCAGTGGGAAAGGGAAGACTGGATGACAGCCAACGCCCAACGCTAAGCCCAAAGCTTGGAATGCTGAGCTTGAAATGGAGTTGTTTGCCAGTTGGGCAAGCCAATCATATCCGGCAGCTCATGCGGGTCCAGGTCATCTGACGTGGCATCCGCAGTTGGGGGGGGGGGGCGAGAAGGAAGGCCCTGAAAGTGGGGTATGTCAACCCCGTGCGTCGGCACCGAGGAACAGAAGCAGAACGCTGGGCTCTCCTCCCCTTACCCTCGCCTCCCCTCCCTCCCCCGATGCGAGGCTTCGAGGCTGCATCGAGGCGGGTTGGATGCGCCGTGCCTGTTTCTGCAAATGTAGTGTAAGGATGGGAAACAGGGAACGACGGGGGATGACGGGGATGGGTGGGAACACAGGTTGGGACGACTGCGCAATTCCCCGGGCATGGATGGATGGATGGATGGATGGGTAATCTGGGTATCCGTATTTCCGGCGCGTTTCCCTCCCAGTCTCCACGTACCCCAAAGTACCCTTGCATCCACAGTGGGTATCGTCACTCTGCCTGCACAAATATCTATACTGACTGTACTACGTACATGTACGAATACTTACTATGTATCCGTAGATAGGTACTGTATCTATACCCGTCCCTGTCTTACATAATAATATAATCTTCCCATCTTTCGGGGTCCTGGGTCGTTGTCACCCCACTTTTCCCACTCGTCTCTCGGCCCCATTTCCACGTCCCGAAAAATCGCCTCGTGTCTACCGTCTCGTCTCACTCCCCTCCCAACCCTCCAATTCTCCCTCCGTTCCGATCCTCCTCCACCCCGATCAAACATCACACAACCGTCGTGCACCGACACCCATGCCACGAAGCCGCAGGTCCTGCTGACGACTCGCTCATCTTGCGCCCTCGCCTTTTCGAGGCATTCCTGCCGATATCCATCATTCATTCATTCATTTTCCAACACACCCCGCCCGACCCGCGGCAGCTCAAATCAGGCTACCCGACCAACTAACTAACCTTCCGCCACTGCCTCGCGGGCTCACGCGCGCAACGCCCGCCTTCTCCCCTCTCGCTCCGTGACACAGTTCGATCGACCCGTCCAGCGGTCGCTCCTCCGCCGCCATGCCAATCCTCGGCGGGAAGAACAAGTTCAACTCCAAGCCCGCCGCCATCCGCGTCGAGAAGGTCCAGGTCGCCGCCCCGAAGCCGCGCCCCAAGCTCGCCCACGCCACCTCGTCCACCTCTTCCGCCAAGCCCTCCCCTCGCCCCTCCCCCAAGCCCAACGGCAAGTCGCTCCTGTCCCGCAAGCAGAGCGCCTCGCCCTACCCCTCATCCTCGGACGAGAAGCGCAGCGAGCGGAAGCGCAAGGTCGGCAGCGCCGGCCCCTCCCAGCCCAAGTTCGACAACGACTCGGACGACGACGACAACTACGACGCTTTCATCAACCTCGAGCCCCGCAAGCGCCAGCGCACCAAGGATGGCCAGTTCGTCGACACCCAACGCGTGCTGACCCGCTCGAGCGCCTTCAAGGACAACGCGCGGCCCCTCAGCCGGCTGATCCACGCCGTCCACATCAGCAACCTCAAAAAGTGCCCCAAGGCCAAGCGCTTGCTCGGCGCGACCGTGGATGACGACGTGAGGGTCAGGCTGCAGTACCCGAGCAATTACGGCGCCGAAGAGTAGGCTACCGCCTCCCCTGTGCCATTATCACGCTGCGGCATTGCTAACGACATGTTCTTACCCCCCCCAGATACGAGCTCATATCCGAAAAGGGCATCATCAACGCGGTGGAGGACATCAAGACGGTGGTCAGATTCGTCGCCGACGTCTACCTCACAGAAGAACAAGCCACGGACTTCACGGAGCCGAACAACGGGCTGATAAGGCGGCTCGAGAGGGCATCGAACATCAACGACTTTCACGGCTTCGTCTCGGCCTTGGGGGATGCCAACAAGAGGATCCGGGACCTTGCCGCCGACGGCACGATACGCAAGAACCTCGACAACCTCCACGGCATCCCGCGCGACCTGGTCGAGTTTATCCTCACCCAGGTCTACGACCGCACAGTGTCACCGGAAGTGGAGAAGCTCAAGCAGTACAAGAACGGCACCGACAACGTCTATGGCGAGCTAACCTACAAGTTCATCTCCGAAATCCTCCAAGAGAGGACGCGCATGACGTCGGACCAGGTCTTTGTCGACCTCGGCTCGGGCGTGGGCAACGTCGTCTTCCAAGCCGCGCTGGAGATCGGCTGCGAGAGCTGGGGCTGCGAGATGATGGAGAACCCCTGCGACTTTGCCGAGGCGCAGGAGAAGGAGTTTGGCGCCCGCTGCAAGATGTGGGGCCTCCTGCCCGGCCGGGTCAACCTCGAGCGAGGCGACTTCACCAAGAGCACCCGCATCCACGAGGCCATGAAGCGCGCCGACGTCATCCTCGTCAACAACCAGGCCTTCACCCCCCAGCTCAACGCCGAGCTCGTCAACATGTTCCTCGACCTGAAGCAGGGCTGCAAGATCGTCTCGCTCAAGTCCTTCGTCAACGACCAGGGCACACGAAACGCCAACGATATCGCGAGCAACATCCTCGAGGTCGAACACCTGACGTACCCGGAGGGCGGCTACGTCAGCTGGACGAACGCCGGCGGCAACTACTGCCTCTCGACCAAGAAGTAAGAAAACACTGGGACACCTCGTCAGCATCTTGTCATTGCGCCGTATGATGTCCTACGGGGCTTGAGTGGAAGGTTGTGCGGCATAAGGACGCTAAGCGAAAGGCTCGGGACTGCATCATACATTGTATACCATTGTGCAGGGAAAGGAAACCCTGAAAGGAACGAAAAAGGAAAAAAGAAAAAAAGGGTTGAGAGGAACATTTGGCATAGGCGAGGGAATAGCGTCGTGGATTTCATTACCTGTAGAATTCGATACTCCCCATAGAGGCGTGCCCCGGCCGGACAGGCGGCAAGAAAGCATCGTGAAGCGTGGGAGGGTGGGGGGCATACACGGAATCTAGACCGGCATCATCAACGCTCGTTCGCGAGGTTCATGGCCTCAGCCTCCTGGGCCATCCTCTTCATCCAGCGGTCGACGAGCTCCTTGTTCTCCTTCTTGACCCTATCCCGCTCCTGCTCGGCCATGGTCATTTGGAGGTTCATCGTAATCATCTCGTCCTGTACGTTCTGCGGCGGCGGCATATCAGGATCTTTTTTTCCTTTTTCTCGTAATCCGAAAAGGGAGGGGGGGGGGCATGGTCGCCCTCCCCCGCCATCGGGGTTCTTGGCATAAATGTGTATGTGGGGTGGGTGTGCATACCTCTACCAGCTTGCGCTTCTCGCGCAGCTCGTGTTCGCGGTCCCGCAGCTTGGTCGTCAGCGCCGCGTTCTCGGCCGTCAGACCCCTGAGCTTCCGGGCGTCCTCCTTGCCCTTGGCGCGCAGCGCCTGTACCTCGTCCTCGGCCGCCTTCGCGCGGTCCCTGAGGGTGCCGTTGGACCGCAGGGCCTCGGCGAGCTGGAGCTGAAGCTGAGCGACGGCCGCGTCGGTACTGGGGTCCGCCGGGGCCGCGTCGCGAACGCTCTGTTTCTCGGAGGTGGCGGTGGTGGGTTTATCGGGGCGCGCGGCGGCAGTCTTGGATCGGAGGATTTCCTTTTCGGCCTCGAGGGAGGCGACGCGGTCGGAGAGGTGGGAGCCTATGTGTGCGCGTGTGACGAGTTAGGAAGCGTGTTGAGAGACTTGGGTATGTGGCAGCGTCGCTCGGAGGAGGTCAAGGTGGCCGAGGGGGAGCTTCGGCTTACAGAGTTGGACGATCTCGAGGTTAACGGGGTTGTTCTTCTCCTGCTCCCTGATGGAGGCCAGGTATTCGGAGCGCCAGTCGGGCACGGGCATGATGGGCGACGAAGGGCGACAGATGAGGGTGTCTGGAGGTCGCGGTATCGGGTCACATTTGTCGACAAGCGAGAGACAGAGAGAGATAGAGAGCCCTTGCGTTCTGGGGGTTTAATCTTCGTTTGTATATACCGGCATCTGGCAAAAATGAAGTACAACAAAAGTCTCGTCAAGCGAATCCGTGAGAATGAAATCAGAAGCTGAATCAGTGACGGGGCCGATGGCGCATGCGCTTTACGTTACAGGAAACGAGAAACACAACGCCCGACTCGTCCAGGTGGTTTGGTCGCATCACCTGGTTAGGTATGGTTGTCCCAAGAAGGGTTCGGTGGGTGGGCGTTGCTCTTGTCTTATCTGGGTTTGGTTGCGGTACCGGTAGTACCTAGTGGGGGGGCTGTGGTGCAATGACGCAGGTTCATCTGGGCCGGGGATTAGCCGCGCCCCAGGTCTCTTGAGGCTGGCGCATTTTGATTCGTGGCGCAAGCTCCTACCCACCTCTGGTTACCGTTTAGCTCCAAGGTAACGACAGCTTGGGGGTGAGTGGAGGAGAGAGAGAGCTCATGCCCTCAACCTCATCGTCTCTCATCTTACAACTCGGCCTCAAAGTGCGTAGGTACGTCAATCAACCCCACACATCGACGACTGCTCCCAAGATTCTCAAATTTTCCGACAAGGTCAAAAGTACGAGAAGCAAAACAAACAAGCACACGAGCGCGCGCACATAGAAGAAACAAACGTCCTCCGGCAATGAGAAGATGACATGATGGAAGCGTCTCATCCCTCGGCAGGATGGGAGAGCGTCGGCGACAAGTGGTACCGCAAGGTCCAGCTCTACACCGAGGTCTTTGACCAGGACCTCGACCTTGACAACCACATCGTCGCCGGCGCCCCCTACGGCGGGGCCCTCGCCCTCTTGCGAGACGACACAAAGATCCAGGCGTACCGCGTCAACCCAGGAAGCGGCGGCGCCTCGTCTTCTAAGCCCGGCATCGACATCTACTCATACGCCGGCAAGCTCCTTCGCCGCATCCCCTGGGACCAGGGCTCCGGCTCCATCAAGGGCCTCGGCTGGGCCAACGTCGCCGGTGGCGAGGAGAGGCTGCTCGTCGTCACGACGGACGGCACCGTGCGTGCCTACGACCTGCAGGGCGACTTCACCCAGTTCTCCCTGGGCAACGGCGCCGACGAGTCGGGCGTCGTCAGCTGCCGCTTCTACGAGACCGGCATGGTCGCCCTCCTGGGCAACGACACCTTCGTCTCGGTCACGTCGTACGCGGAACCGAGGCCGCGCCTGCTCGCGACCCCGCCCACCGACCAGGGCGAGATCCACGCCTGGGCTGTAGTCGCGCCCGATCACACCCTCTCGCGCTCCGTCGAGGTGCTGCTGAGCATCGGGGAGACGGTATACGTCGTCGACGCGGCCGAGTGCGAGGATCGCTTTCTGGACCTCGGGCCCTTTAGCCACATCAGCGTGTCCCCCGACGGGAGGCTGATTGTACTGTACACCAAGACGGGCAAGGCCCATGTGATTTCTAGCGACTTTTCAGAGCGGCTGGTCGAGCACGACTCGCAGTCCAAGATCCCGCCAAAGTACGTTGAGTGGTGCGGATCCGACGCCCTCATTGCGTGGGAGGACGAGGTGCACATCATCGGCCCGGACGCCGCCACGGCCGAGTTCTTTTACGACGGACGCGTGCACGTTGTATCGGGTAGGTCTACTGGCGTCGCATCTAAAAGAAATACGGAGAAGCTGACCATGTGCAGAGCACGACGGCGCGAGACTCATCACAAACGATGCCTGTGACTTTCTGGAGCGCGTCCCGCACGCCACGGAGGAGGTCTTCGGCACCCGCGCCGAGTCCTCAGCGGCATCGATCCTCCTCGACGCCGTCGGCCAGCTGGAGCTCCAGTCGCCCAAGGCCGACGACTACATCCAGCTGATCCGGGGCAACCTCACCGAGGCCGTCGACACGTGCGTCACGGCCGCCGGCCGCGAGTTCAGCGTCCACTGGCAGAAGCAGCTCCTCAAAGCCGCGTCATTTGGCAAGTCGGTGCTCGACATCTACAACAGCGACGAATTCGTCGATATGTGCGAGACCCTCCGCGTGCTCAACGCCGTGCGCTTCTTTGAGGTCGGCCTACCGCTCTCCTTCGAGCAGTACCAGCGCCTCACCCCCGAAGGGCTCATCAAGAGGCTCATCAACCGCCACGAGTACCTCCTCGCCCTCAAAATTGCCGGGTACCTGCGCCTCCCGACCGACCGCATCTATGTCCACTGGGCCTGCGCCAAGGTCCGCTCCGGAGCCGAAGACGACGACACCATTTGCAGGCTGGTCGTCGAGCGCCTCTCCGGAAAGCCTGGCATCTCCTTTGAGGAAATCGCCCGCGCGGCCTACGACGAGGGTCGTGGCCGCCTCGCGACCGAGCTGCTCAACCATGAGCCCCGCGGCGGGCGCCAGGTGCCGTTGCTCCTCAGCATGGAGGAGGACGAGCTCGCCCTCGACAAAGCCATCGAGAGCGGCGACACGGACCTCATGTACACCGTGCTCCTCCAGCTCAAGAAGAAGCTGCCGCTCGCCGCCTTCTTCCGGACCATCAACGCCCGGCCCACGGCGACGGCGCTCGTCGAGGCCTCGGCCGCGCGTGAGGGCGAGAACGCCCTCCTCAAGGACCTCTACTACCAGGATGACCGCCGCGTCGACGGCGCCAGCGTCTTCATCCGCGAGTCGCTCGGTCAGCCCGACGCTCGCACGGCGTCGGACAAGCTCGCCCTCGCCGCGAAGCTGCTCTCCGACTCGCGGGAGGCCGCGTTCGAGGTGCACGCCCTCAAAGAGGCGCAGACGCTCCTCAAGATGCAGGAGGCCTTCGACCGCGACCTCACCGACACCTTCACCGGGCTCAGCGTCAACGAGACCATGTTCAAGCTCATCCGGCTCGGGTACCACAAACGCGCCAACAAGATCCAGAGCGAGTTCAAGGTGCCGGACAAGGTTGCTTGGTGGATCAGGTCAGAAATCCTCCCACCCCCCTTCCATTTTGTTCAACCCGTGAATCGGTTTCTTATTCACTAGCGAACCGGCCCCCCGTGCCCGTTCGAGTACATGCATTAGCTAACCATGTTGTACATTATCTAGACTCCGCGCGCTTGTTGCGAAGCGTGACTGGAACGAGATTGAGGAGCTCGCAAAGACAAGGAAAAGTCCAATCGGGTGGGAGGTAAGAAGATTCCATCACACACACACACACACGTACACACATCAGACCATGGACTGGGTGGTGATAGCGTCACTATTCCAGGCGGGCCTCCGCGCCGATCTGGACGATGTAGAAGTAACAAGGCTAACTCCCAAGCGCCGCAGCCGTTCTTCAACCTCACGCTGCAGGCCGGCAACCCGCGGCTGGCGGCAATCTTTGTGCCCAAGTGCACGGGTCTGGAGCCGGGGACGACCATCACAATGTACGAGAAGTGCGGGATGCGGGTCAAGGCGGCGGAGGAGGCGGCGAGGCTCAAGGACGCCGAGGCGTGGGGCAGACTGCTCGAAGCGGCCGGGCGGAGCACGCAGGAGGGGCGGGATATCGAAAGGCTCGGAGCCGCTGTCTTCAAGAAGTGAGGCTGCGACGCGCGGGACGTAGAGAAAAATCCTCGTTCTACTCGGAACGCGACGAAGACATCGGACGAAAGATGGATCTGACGGGTTGAAAGGGGGTGTGTGTGGAGTGAGTCTCATCATACACTAGTAATATGGCAGAATGAAGATGATGGTTTACTGAGCACAGGTATATGCGGCGCCCCGGTGAAAGCAACACAGTGAAAGATGGACTGAACATTTACTGTGTAGGGAGAGGCGATGTACGACGGCGTAGGTATATCGGGGGTTGAGCTTGTTCGCCGCGCAGCGACCGACCGGGGTCACCCGGCGCTCTCTGTGCATGGAACTTGGGGATTCTGAGCTAGCTTCCTCAATTGCCGACCGATTATGCCAGAAGCAACTCGGACCTTGCCAAGTGCAGCCGGTGATATGCCACCTCAGTCGGTTGGGGTGTCTACTTGGTTGTGTGTGTGTGTGTGTGTGTGTGTGTGTGTGTGTGTGTGTGGGTGGATGGATTCTTGGAGGATACCCTCCGGATGCGGCTCAATCTGGTCAATGTTCGTGCACGGGTTGGGCTCTTCAAATGAGACAGTTTTCCCGTGAAGCCTGTAAGGTCTCGCGTGAGAGATGCGACACGCGGGCGAGCCACGAGAGAAGGTAGTAAAAGGCGCGCCGCCGCGCCGCCAACGGGCTAGGGTCAAGCTCATGGTGTTAGCAAGCACGGCAACTTCCCGCGAGGATCATCCGGTGGATTCTCGCTGTATAAAGAATGATCATTCGATCAACCAACCCCCCACCCCCTTTGGTTTTTGTTCTTCGCGCACTCAGCAGGATAGATGAGCGACGAACGAGCGGCAAAGTGTTGCGGTCTCAGACTTAGTTCATGCAGAGGCGTATACTGGGTTAAACCTGGGGCGTATTTGGCCGCATCTCGTCTCTATGAATCAGGTAGGTTCTGCGCTGGGGGATAGCCCCCCCTCCCCGACTAACGCATGAAGATGGCCTGCACTACTACGTACTTGGATATGCGCGGTAGCTCCCCGAACGTTTTTTTCTACGAGAAAGGAAATGTGGAGTCGAATCGACTGGAGTGGGTTCGTCTTTTCGCAGATATATTTCATGTGGAGGCTTGCAGATGACTGAAAGTTGAGTTTGGCTGTGTGACGCCTCTGGTAGAAGGAATGGAGGACATGCAAGACGGGTCAACCCTTGCTGCAGTCACAGTGTTTATGAATTCAGTCCGCTCTACTGGCGGTTCCGGGTGCATTGGATGTTCTGGAAGTAAGGAATCTTCTCCCGCCGGCGTCTTGTTGGCAACACGGGCGCCGTAAACCTCAATCGAGGCTTTGGTCCCGGTATCTGGATCCCCAGTTCCGGGCACACAGAAATATGCATTGCCTAAGGCGATATGAAAACAATGGGGAAAAAAATAAGGTAGTGTACAAGCAAGAACGGTGGCTTTGATAGCGGCCCGTAACAGCGTAGAACTGAACGTGGGTACCGACACCAGAGAGACGGACGTAAAAAGGTCCATCACGGCCTCGGCCCCGGAGAAGTATCGGGGGGGAGGGGGCATGAAGGAAATGGGACGCCATTTAATGGGTCTTGGCAAATATCAATTAGTGGCGATGAAAGCCAAAGACTCGAGATGGCGAGGCAAGCCGAGGCCGGTGGGGGCAAAGATTCCCCGTCGGTGTACGATGTACGTTGGCAGGAAGAGCCGCGTCGGGAGCCGCGTGGCACATGCGTCCTAGATCTTGTCTCCTTTCCTTTATTGCGGTTCATTGTCTTGGGCGATGTAGTATACAAGCCAGGCGACAGATGGGACGGAACGGGCATATTCCAGTGTTTGGTGTTGTTTGCGTGTCAGTCGCCGGATGAGGCTCGGAAAAGCGGAGGACGGGCCTGGCGAGTCATTGGCGGGAGCGATAGAGGAGCCGTGATTCCTGGGGAGGGCGGGACTGAGACTAGGTTCGGCGTACTGGCAGCAATTCTACTTTGTACTCGGGCTCTATTCCTCGAAAGGGGTTAGGCCTAACAAGGGGACGGCGGCCTTTGGGGGTTGAGCGGGAAGCTTTGAGGACAGCGTGATGCTGTCTGAAGTATGATGCATCGACGCATTGTCAATGTGGGCCGAGGTGGTTTAGGTTGGATTCCCAGCCTTCTGCAAGATTTGCGGTGGGGGAGGAGGCTTTGCAGACCAATGGCGATAGTCGTCCGATGGAGAAGAGAAAGGGAGGTGGTGCCATGGTCGAGGGCTTTGGGTTTTGTTTTCGATTTTTTCTTTCTTTTTCGTCCAGGGAGCTAGGGAGGTCAAGGAGCGCTAATCTGGTAACTGCATTAGCGCAAAATCCCCCCGGAAGTCTAGGTAGTTTGCGGCTTGTCTTTTGAGTCTCGCGTGAGCGCCTGAGTGCGCGAGTGCTTAATGCTGGGTGGGGCAGAGTCCCCAGTTTCCCTCACATGATGTATTCTTTCCCACTGCGCAGGGCCCTTTCGGGAAGGGGAGGTCATTCTAGTGCAGCAACATGTGGCTGCTGCATATCGATTCAGTCCTGTCCGTGATAGCGAGCGAGGGGTGAGAGTGGGTAGTGGTGTGGACACGGATGCGGCAACTTCCCTGAACATGGAGAGCGGGACGAGGAGTGTTGTTCGACGAGTGATCACACGGTGGGTGAGTGGGTGGGCGAAGTTATCCAGTTCTTCGGGATGGGAGGTTGGTGTTGGTGTGAGCGTTCGGTGGACAAGAAACGTTGCAGTGGTGACGAGCGATGGACGACGATGGAGAGAAGCTGGAAATAACGGCCGGATTCGTTTTCTGTTCGTCACTTCTCCCTTTCGTAGTTGCATTAACCAATACCTGCATGTGGATTCAAAGAGGAAGGAACATGCCCGGGTCGTGCCTGCCTCGGACGCGATTACACATTGCGATGTATTTGAGGAAAGTGCCTTACTAACTCCAAACACGGTGAGGCTATACTAAGTAAGGTACCTGATATGAATAGACATGTAGGTACCTACTCTGCTAAATACGGATAGTTAGCTGTATGCAAATAGATAATTGTGTATTGCGGGTGTGCGGACTCGACTCCCCCACCCGTATCCGTGCCGGATCTTAGTAACGGCATTATTATTTCTGTTTCTATGCATCCCGCTCCATCCATCAGGACCGACGCATATCGAATGGACGATGCAATTTTGCAGATTGTGTTAGCTTAGCAACTCGTGCATTCAGTTCCGCTTCCAATGCTTTGCTCGGTCCCTTCCCTCTTCCCACCATATCCATCGAATCGTGCCTTGCCCAGATGCGGCTTTGGAGAGATGGCGATGCATTGGCCACCTCGCATATGGCAGATAGATGTTGTATGTACTACTAGATGCTTCTCTCGAGTGCTTCGGACGAAGAGCGTGCCCCGTCGCTGCTGCTGCTGCTGTTGTTGTTGTTACATCGCTGGCTACGGCGATGATACCTACAATTACGCCCTGCGCACCGTCCTCCGCCGTATCGGATCTGACCGCCGTCGTCGCCTTCTTCACCGATGACCCAATGCGCTTTGTGTCTTCGGTGGGGGAGATGCATTCATTGCCTTCTCATGCCACCCTTCCCTTCCTCAGGTACCCGAACCGACCAACTCACCTCACCCACCTAGGCTTTGGATCAGAAAAGCTCCCGTGGACGCATCCGGTGCACCTTTTCTGCCAGCTTGTTTCGTTCCTCTCCGACCGACGAACTGAAACCCGTGACACATATGATCTGACGGTATGCCGTATGTACTGCGCTCGCTCTGCCGCTCTCGCTGCTTCTTTCAAATGTTTGTCTGCACATGAGCGCCGCGAACACCTCTACCCCGTCCGTCATTGTCCAGGGCGCATGCATAACAATCATCTCGAACACCACCCCCACTACCCACAATGACCCAATTCCCTGATGACAGGCTGGGAATGGGTGGGAGATGTTCGTCAGCGATCGCCGCCGGCGCATGAGCCACAGAGTCACTTGGGGACTATCGACCCGTCGCGTTGTGCACATTACGTTACAGATCGTGGCCGCCATCAGCCACGCAAAAGATGCCCATTGCCACGGGGTTGCAACACAGCCAGAATGCATCACCCGCCGCCACCGCCCAATCCACCGAGTATCCTACTCGAGGTAGTCCGCAGTCCGCGTCTGTCACTCCATCTCTGCGCTCACACGCAGACAATCCATGACCCAGGCGCATCCTCTCCCACCCCTGGTCCTGGTCCTGGCCCTGATCCTGGTCCAGCCAGTCCCAGCGACCGGGCCTAAACCTAAGACGGCCTAACCTCGTCGTCCTTCCTTGCCGTACTCGGCGCAAGACTCGATCCCTACACAAGGCAACAACGGCACTGGGGTCACCAATACGGGGCCCTTTCCTTTGTTATTGCGTGCCTGTCTGTCTCTTTCCTGCTTTGCTTCTAAGACGTCGTCACTATGCCCATACATGGTGTCTTGAGTATCCGTACAGATGCGCAGTTCCAATCAACCAGCCTCCCTCCTCCCGCCACCGGGACAGAGTAGCAACACAATCATGGCTCACGCCCCAGAGAGAACGTGACCGACTCGGCTGGCCCAACCCCCGACTTTGATGCTCCCACTCTACTTCAGAGTTACCTATGCCTCATGTAGTTATCCACGAATGTTTGTGCCTTGGGGAAAATACCTGCTTGGGTGTACAGATACACCAGATACATGGCACCGTCCTCGGTGCAGCTGTCCTCTGCCCCCCCCCCTCCCCAGCTCTGCTGCTCTGCTGCCCTATCCCTGGGCCCTTGCTTCATCGACAGCAACAAGTCTGTCTCCCCTCTGCCTTGCCCTGTCGAAGTACACTAGGTACATAGTACATGCACCCGGGGCACCCCAGAGTACCTACCTACCTTTGCCATTGCTGAGGTTTCCTTGCGGGTGCTTTCGTACACTACACCACATCACACCTCCGTACCGGCACACTACGAGCGCGCAGTGCACTACAACATCGTCCGACCTAGGTAGGTAACCTCGCCGTCCACGGCCGTGGTGCATCTTTGCATGCCCAGTGCGCCTGGCTTCACTGTCCGGGCTCTTCCCTACGCACTTGGCCCAACCGGGACTGATACACTGAGGACTGCTGGAAGAATACACGAACTGTACGTACAAAATAACCACCATTAATGTCCAACACAACACACACTTGCGACTCTCTTCCCAGGTTCAACTTTGTAGCTTATGGACTGCGTGTGGCGGTCGGTCCCTTCAGACCAAACTAACAAAGCCGTCCTTTCCCACTACCGGTACCACCACACACGCACACACACACACACACACCCCCTCCCGGGACTAGGACCTTTTCCCAGACGCAGTCTGCTCTTTTCTTGGTCCATATTATCGTCCACCCATCCCGCTGTCTCTCTCTCGGACCTCCCTCCATCCCTCCTCTCATCTTTGACGATTCCTCCTTCATCCATCCGTCCAACCTCGCCTCGCCTCGCCTCACCCCGCCCGGTTGCCGCCGCCTCCGAACTACGATTACCTTACTCCGTAGTGACAGTGTGTGCTTGCTATACACTGCTCCTCCTCGACCAACCTTGGCTACATTCCAAGAAGCTTCCGCCTCTGTTCATTCTCCCACTCCCCCCTTCTCGCGCGCACACTCCTCTCCCTCCCCTTTTGTCGCATTCTTGTCCTTGCTTTTCTGATACCCTGTACCCTCACCCGAATACCAAGGGGGATGAGCAAGAAGAAAAGGGACCCTTAAATCAGTCCACAATTTGATCTCCAAGCAAGGAAGGTGGACCACGAGAGGAAAAAAAAAAAAAAAAGAGATCACACACTCTAGCCTGGTCTGCCTGCCTAGTGATTCAGCCCAGACAGTCAGTCACCCAGCAAGCCAGCCGAACCCTACGAACCGAAAGTTGGCACCATTAGTTACAACACTACCGGGCCTGTTTTGTTTTGCTTTGCTTTGCCCGGTACGGCCACTCTCCTACGCCGTCCCGTCACTGTTCATTGCACCCACACGACCACCACGGCCACCATCAGCAGCGATAGGCCAAGACATCTAAGCCAACCAAGCTGACTCTTCTGTTCCCCCCTCTCGAAGTGCAAATGTTTACACAACCAGTCTCATCACCACCCACCGTGGGCCCCGTGCCGACGTCTGTCACCAATCCCGCATCGCCTTCACCCCGATCCAGCCGTTTGCGAGGCCTCAGTTATCTTCGCAGCTACACCCAAAATCACATTTTGTCCCGCGAACATAGCAGCAGCCAGGGCTCCAGCTCACCGACCTCCAACTCGCACTCCCACTCCCAATTTCATCATAACACCGCCGCCAACCCTCACCCGTACTCTCAGACCCCAACTCAAACTCAAAGCCAAAACCAGGCCAGCCGCTCCATCGCTGCCTCTGCTCGTCCGACACATAGCCTGCAGCGCTCCCTCAGTTACACGCCTACTTCTTCTACTCTCCGTCGCTCCGATACCGACCCTAGTCTGAACCCTTTATCCCTTGTTGCATCTTTGCAGGAGCCCCATTCGTCATCCTCGTCGGCGAACAAGGCTTCCACCACGCCCTCCTCACCCGCTGTCGAGCGTGCTCCCGTGGATGCGCTCCCTTCGATCCTAGACGACGCTATCGCGAGCAGCAGCAGTCAAGCATCGCAGCAGCAGCAGCAGCAGCAGCAGCAGCAGCAGCATCAGACGCTGACGCCCGATACCGAAGCCGCAGCAGCAACCATGACGAGAGCCCGCTCCTCCACGACGGGCGATGCCCAGGCCGCCGCCGCCGCCGCCCCCCCTGCACCCGCCGAAAATATGCCCTCGATTCGCTTCTCGGCCTACTATGACCCTCGCGCGACGCGTCCCAGCCTGACCTTCCCCCCTGTGTCGCGAACACTACCTTCGGGCGGCGAGGTCATCAGGGTCGGCCGTTACTCGGAACGGGATAACCAGCCCAACGTACCGAATAATACCCCATCAGCTGCTCCTGTGGGGTTCAAGAGCAAGGTGGTTAGTCGCCGCCATTGTGAGTTCTGGTACGATGACGGCAAGTGGTATATCAAGGACGTTAAGAGTTCTTCTGGCACGTTCCTCAATCATATTCGCCTGAGCCCGCCCGGCACCGAGTCGAAACCGTTTCCCGTCAACGATGGCGACATTGTCCAGCTAGGAATCGACTTCAAGGGGGGCGAGGAAATGATCTTCCGCTGCGTCAAGATGCGGCTGGAGCTCAACCGAGGCTGGCAGAACAAGCTCAACACGTTCAAGTGAGTATTACAGTTCTTTTGCGTGATGCGCGATTTCTCACAATATGCAGCATGGCGACGCACAAGCGGCTGCGCAACATGACGGCTGCGAACTCGGCAAATTCTTCGACGCAGGACTGCTCCATCTGTCTCAATTCTATCGCTGTATGTAGCCAGCATGCACCCGCCCACTTACACCGCGTGCCGACAGGGAAAACTAACAGCCTCGTAGCCGTGCCAGTGTTTGTTCGTTGCGCCATGCTCGCACACTTGGCATTTCAAGTGTATTCGCTCGCTGCTCAACTCCCCACAGTACCCAATCTTCGTCTGCCCAAACTGCCGCATGGCTGCTGACCTCGAGGCTGACATTGAGGACCCCGAAGAGGACTGGGAGGGAATGGACGAGGACGAGGACGAAGGGCCGGAACAGAAGCAGCAGAAGCAGGAGGTCAAGGACATGCCAGCAGTTGTGCCTGAACCTATCCCAGCTCCTGTAGCTCTCGGAAGCTCAGGTTCTCAACTCCCGGAAATCGACCATGACGGAGACGTCATCGACTTTACGGCTGCTCTCCAGCGGTCCCGTACCATGGCAGAGGCGCCCGAGACAGCGCCGCAGACTGTTGCTCCCAACACGTCGATGCCGCCTGTCGCGATCCCGGCTGTTGCGGCTGCTCAAGCTGCAGCATCGCGCAACGGTCGGGACACTCGCACCCCCTCACCTATCGCAAACCACCTGCTGGTTACCCACGAAGGCCCAATCACTCCGCGCAACGATGCCGGACCGTGGGTGTTTGACGGAAGCGCTGGCCGCCGTGCTGCGGAGGCATCCACCGGCATGAGGAGTCTCGACGCAGCTACTGAAATGGAAGTTGATCGGTAGAGCCGGTTGAGCCGGTCGAGCCAAATGAAGCATCATCGGAAGCATCGAGAAAAGCCCACGGGTCTCAGGCGGAGGCCGGGGTCACATCACTGGGATAGAGCGACAGGGACTAGTGGGTCACAGGAACGACTCGCACAGCACTACGGCCTTGCTCGGTCTTAGACTGAGTTGATTTGTTGTTTTGCGTGTGTCAACCATCCTTGTCTCTTCTTCGCCTTGCCGGGAATGGCTCGAGACGGGAAAGGAAATGAAAACGAAGACTGCAGAGACTTATGCGGCTACCTAGCTTCGTCTGTTTGCCGCGGCTCGATGCGTCTTATTAGTATTTCTTGAGGGAGTATGGGGAGATAGGGGAAGAGTTGTTGGGCTGCATGAGCGATGCGTGGGATGGTGTCAGGCGTTTGAATGCATTGTAGAGCGCTCTATGTTTATGACGGAACAGAGCTCATGCTGGTACTGGAATGACTGGTTTAACGGAAGCGGACTTGATGGGGAGGTTCGGCATTGTCGAGTTCTGCCACGACGGCAACCTAGAGAGGGAGGAATGGACTTTTTTGCATTCAAAGGAGTCGGAACCATAGCATAAATTAATACATACATACGCACTGGGAGAAACGCATGGTCTTGATTAATTGTTGAAACGCATCGGACTCAATCGTCTTGTGACATGGCCAAGTTGCGGGAGAATGTTTTAGGACGCGTCGTGACCACCGGTAGCCTTTTTCCGACACAGCGGTGCTTTGCTGCGCTCGAGGATGACGTTTCTGTCTCGTGGATGTACCGCCCGTCGTCTGATTGGATGACGACGCAGCGGGTCCGCTCTGCGCCGATTCCAAGGCGATAAGGCGATAAGACGGCCAAAAATTGGGGGATGGTGGTGTGCTGGGTGCGTCTAACATCCGAGAACAGCGAACTTTTTCCAGAGCCTCGCCATCACGAACCAAATTCGATCATCAACCAACCCACCCACCACCACCACCAGGACCACAGGTACGATCCCCAGGCAACCTGGTCGGTGATTCTTCCCCCCCGAAAAAGAGAAGAAAACACACAGACGAACACAACACACAACCGACGATGCTTCGATCATTAGCGACGCGGCTCCCGCGGCGCGCAGCCGCCGCCGCCGCCGCCGCCGCAGGCACACCGTCCCGCCTCGCAACAACCACGACGCTCCGAGCCCCCCCGTCCCGCCGCACGCTCGCGACAACCATCGAAGCCATCCCCAAGGAGCCGACGGAGCTCGACGCCATCACGACCCTCCCCAACGGCCTGCGCGTCGCCTCCGAGGCACTACCGGGCTCCTTCTCCGGCGTCGGCGTCTACGTCGACGCCGGCTCCCGGTACGAGGACGCGGGCCTGCGGGGCGTCAGCCACATCATGGACCGGCTGGCCTTCAAGTCGACGGGCAGCCGCAGCGCCGACGCCATGATCGAGCAGGTCGAGGCGCTCGGCGGCAACATCCAGTGCGCCAGCTCGCGCGAGAGCATGATGTACCAGGCGGCGACCTTCAACGGCGCCGTGCCCACCACCGTCGGCCTCCTGGCCGAGACGATCCGCGACCCGCGGCTCACCGAGGACGAGGTCCTCGAGCAGCTCGGCACGGCCGAGTACGAGATCAAGGAGATCTGGAGCAAGCCCGAGCTCATCCTGCCCGAGCTCGTCCACACCGCCGCCTTCAAGGACAACACCCTCGGCAACCCCCTGCTGTGCCCGGAGGAGCGCCTCGGCAGCATCTCGCGGGAGACGATCCAGCGGTACCGCGACCTGTTCTACCGCCCGGAGCGCATCGTTGTCGCCTTTGCCGGCGTCGACCACGGCCAGGCCGTCAAGCTGGCGGAGCAGTACTTTGGCGACATGAAGGGCTCCTACCAGGAGCCGACTCTCTCGAGGACGGGGTCGGAATCGTCCCTCGACGGCTCATCCTCACAGGCTTCGTCGGCGTCCAGTGATTCATCCGCCGCATCCGCCGCCGCCGCCTCCCCCGTCCAGCAACCCTCCAAGCTCCTGTCCAAGGTGCCCTTCTTCAAGAACCTCTCCACCTCGGCGCCCAACGGCGCCTCCGTCCTCTCCGGGCTCCCGCCGCACGACATCCACGCCCCGGCCCGCTACACCGGCGGCTTCCTCTCCCTCCCGCCGCAGCCCCCGTCGCTGAACCCCAACATGCCGACCTTCACGCACATCCACCTCGCCTTCGAGGGCCTCCCCATCTCCTCGGACGACATCTACGCCCTCGCGACGCTGCAGACCCTCCTCGGCGGCGGCGGCTCCTTCTCGGCCGGCGGGCCCGGCAAGGGCATGTACTCGCGCCTGTACACCAACGTGCTCAACCAGCACGGCTGGGTCGAGTCGTGCGTCGCCTTCAACCACTCGTACACGGACTCGGGCCTGTTCGGCATCTCGGCGAGCTGCATCCCCGGCCGGACGGCGAGCATGCTCGACGTCATGTGCCGCGAGCTGCGCGCCCTCACCCTCGACACGGGCTTCTCGGCCCTCAAGCCGGGCGAGGTCGACCGCGCCAAGAACCAGCTGCGGTCGTCGCTGCTCATGAACCTCGAGAGCCGCATGGTCGAGCTCGAGGACCTCGGCCGCCAGGTCCAGGTCCACGGCCGCAAGATCCCCGTCACCGACATGTGCCGCCGCATCCAGGACCTCACCGTCGACGACCTGCGCCGCGTCGCCCGCCTCGTCGTCGGCGGCATGGTGGAGAACCCGGGCCGCGGAAGCGGCGCGCCGACCGTCGTGCTGCAGGAGGCGCAGGCCCACGGCGTCAGCACCCACACGCTCGAGTGGGAGGGGATCCAGAACACCATTTACGACTGGCAGCTGGGCCGGAGATGAAAAGAGGGAACGCGCAGGCCCGGGGGGGGGGGTTCTCCCCCCCTTTGCCGTTGTAAATGTGTTTTTGTTTTCATGTTTTGATAAATGAGAGGTTAGCATGTCGAGGCGGGACGAGCGGGAAGTCTAGATAGAGTTATGGCAAGAGACAGCAGGCCATGTTTTGTACCATAGAAACCAAAGGAAGAGAAAGGGGAGGTGATATGCGCGTATGTGTGCGCGTGTAAAAGTAAACGGCCGGCAACGTCGAAAGAAAAAAAAAAAGGTTTTCGTCGTGTAGGCGGGGCGTACCAGGCCACGCTCTGCATCAGATGTATAGGTAGAAAACTTGCATCTCGGGTAATACAAAGAATTATATCCATTCTCACACCATCATCTTGCATTTCGCGTCCGTCTGGGATATAGATGCTTCCGAGATAACCAACTCTTACTGGTCTGCGCTAACTATAACTAGATTTGTGCAGGTAGCGTCTTAAGATGTATTACAATTCATGATGGTATTGCTCGCTAAAAATAACAGGTCCCATTGATTAGGTGTACATAACATAGAAAAAGATCACCACTTCAATGGGTGAGGTGTACGTCGTTTATCAGACGATCAGACGCAGGCTTGCTTGTCGTGTCAAAGACCAGCCCGGCCGTCATTGGCCATGATTCCTGTCTTCCGAGGCAGTTCTTACCCCGGCGTCTATGTTTGGTCTACAATTCTCATCTAAAGCTTGGATCGAATAGCCTCTAATCGGTACTTGACGTCCTTGAGCGCCTTCGTGACCGGTTTCCAGTCGTCAAACTGCCGCAGTAGCTCTTCTGTCTCGGAGGAAAGTTCCGTGCGAACAAAGTCTTCCTCAAGCAGGCCGCGCATAATCCATGGCAGATGGTACGGGTTTGGATTCGCGAGGGAGGAGCTGGCGTCCCGGCGGTGGGTGACGGTGGCGGGCGGGTTGGGGCGCACGTCCGAGGTCTCCAGGGCATGTGCGAGGGCGAGGTCGTAGACTTGGTCGTCGTAGTAGAGGCGTGAGTGGCCCTCGCCCGAGTAAAGGCTGCCCGCGAGCGGCGTTGAGAGTTCCCTCAGGAGCCCATGGTCAGAGACGCCCAGGTTGCGGAGTTTCAAAGCGAAGCCAACGAGGTGAGCGATACTAGTGCTGTGTTAGACCAAACCACAAGATAAAAAGATGTGCAGATGGATGTGGGGGCTTACAAGTCTGGTGCGTGGATGCGGCCGTCGATGAAAACGGCGCGGTAGATGTAAGGGTGGGATGCGGGTGAGTAGACGGCTGACTCCATCGGCACAAGCTGGTCGTCAATGCTGCCGATATAAGTGATCCTGGCGCCGTACTGAAGCACTTCTTTCAGGGAGTGCTCATATCTCTTCGAGATATCGCTATCCGGGTTCGAGAATTCCCACAGCTCGTTGGCGGCTCCCATGAGAATGCCCATGCTCGACTTGTAGTCAGGAAACGGCCCCAACGAGACACCGGCTATGTACGAATCAGCTTTGACTTTTGAGTTCGGTCAACAGCGAAGAACAACTTACCCATGGCGCAAACACCGAGCTTGGCATTAGTTATGATGCCGAGGTCTATCAGCTTGGCCAACAACATGACTCCCACTGGAACACCCTGCGAATGGGATGCAACCAGTATTAGATCCGCGTTACGAATCTGCTCAATCCAATTCAAAAGCAGCTTCCACAGATTGTCTACCCTGTCGGCAATCTTTCCGTCGCCCTCTAGTGCCACCTTTTCTATCTCACAATCAGGGCATCCGTGAGCATCAGTCCACCTCCTGATGGCTTCGGCGCCCAAGTTTGCAAATCGCAACGAAGTCCCAGTGGGTTGCCCAACCATGGGTCGTAAATACGTAGCGGGGAACAAACCGTGGACACCGATGGCAATGGCCTTCTTGATCTTGGGTGTCTCTTTTGCTTTATACACGTGATTCGCGGGTGGCTGTCGAGTTCTAAGCAGTAAAGATGTGATTTGTTTGACAATGGATGGGTTCTCTTTCATCCGATATGTGCTCCCAAATGATGGCAACACCAAATTCGCTGGCGTTGACTTGCTGGGGGCTTCTTGACTACTACTGGTCTTTGGCGTCCCTGGTTTGAGGGGTGGCTCTTTCGGCGTTGCCTCCATGATGGAGGCCTTAGATGAGGCTACTGAGTCTGGTCGATTGGGAGTCCCCGGCCTTGAAGGTGCGTCTAGGTCCACCGACTGAGGCCGGGTTCTCTTACTCTTTCTCCCGAGTGTCGAGGGCGCAGATACAATGCCCGACTTGATGGTTTTCGACGACTTTGCGTCCTTTGATGCTTTGGCAGCTTTCCTATCTTTTACACTGCCGTCGGACTGGTTCTGGTCAACTTTCAGGCCAGTGTGCTCAGGGTGAGCCTCCGACCCCTGTCCAATCACTGCCAACTCCCCGGATTCAGGCTGTGCCGATGCAGTCTTCGTTCCCTCGGTCTTGGGGCGAGTTTCCCTCGACCAAAAGGCCCAAGTCGATCCGGCTGTCGGTTGTTTGGCAGGTTCTGGCTTTGAAGGCGGAGGTGCGTCGTCCATGACTACGTCCTCGGGTTCCTTCGCAGGTGGCTTTGTAGCACCGGGGCCGTCGATGGTGCTCGCCGCCTTCACTGTGGCGTCTTTTGGAGGGGCTTCTGTTTCAGGAGGGTTCGAGTACCAGAAACCGAACCACGAATTCGTTGATGCCTGCGGGTTTGGGCAGGGTTGCTCTTCGTGTGTTTCCGGTGCCGGTGGTTCATCAACTGATACAGCCTGGACCTCGGCTTGGACTTCTGGTTCTTTCGGAGGCTCCGCCTCTTTCGGTAGCTCTTCGGTCGGTGTGAATGTCTGCGTCTCAGTCACTGGTGCCCGTGCCAGCCAGCCAAACCAGCTTGCCGTCGCGACAGGTTGCTGGGCGGGCTGATGCTCTTCGTTAGGTTTTGCGGTGTCGTCGGTACTTGGAGGTGTTCCTTTCGTTATCTGTGATGGATTCGAGTCCGTGCCCTCCACTGCTAGGGTATCGCTGTCCGTCTTTATGTTTGTTGTGCTATCTCTTGTCATCACAGCGCCGTTTTCGGGTATTTGCGGCAAGGACGTTGAGGAGTCGGCCGGGCCGTCGAAACTCGTCGAGTCTATACTCTTCTTCGTATCAAATCGCCGAAAATCGGGTGTACTCGAGGGCTTGAGTGTGCCTCCGAATATCGTTTCTCGTGCTAGCTGGGTAGACGCGGACGACTTTGGGACGCGTGGCCAGGAGCCGTACCAACTTCGTGCCTTACGGACCTGCATGTGTGGATTAGCAGCCTGCGCATGGGAAAATCAACCAACCCCATAGAAGACGCAGTACCTGTTTCTGTGCATTTGGAGGAGTGTTCTTGGTTTCACTGCCGCTTCTATCCCTGACCAGAGGCATCGGTCGCGTTGGGCGGTTGGTGGGTTCAGAAACGGCAACGGCGGTGACCTGTGACGTAGCCGATGTGGCTATCGCAGGGGCAATTGCCGCGGGTGGATTGGATGAACTCGGGTTTGCTGGAGCGGTGCGCTGGCGCTTTCGAGGGGACATGGTGGAGATAGAGAGAGGGAGAGAATCCTCAGTGCTGGACGAAAGTCGGGCCAGCGTGTGGGAAGTCAATTTGCCGCATGTTCGTTTTAAGAAACCAACATTTGGAGGCTGACGAGAAGCAATAACACAGGTGTTGTTGAAACGGGGGAGACTGGAAGGTTTGCCTGGATGGTGGCGCCCACACCATTAAGACCTGGGATAGGCGTGCAAGCGCAACCTGGTATTAGCGGCGGGGAGTGTCGTGTAGGTACTTGTACGATGTACGGATACACTCGCGACCAACCCCTCTCAAGGAAAGTGCCGCGCACATGCATACACCATTTGACTTGACTTGCCTCTCCCTACTGATTAGATAAGGCGTTGTGGGTGGACCGTCGAACACACGGACCATGCTCTTGGAACACTGGCTGCCTACCTACGCTGTAATTAATTACTGCGTAAGCTGATGCTGGAGGGGGTGGGATTGCATGTGCATGTCGAGTCTCCGTAGTCTCCCCACCTTCAGTTGGCGATAGTGTAGATAAGCGAGTCTACAGACAAGCTGATATTGTCCCCCCCCTCTCAACCCGAGAGTACCGTGCACGATAACACATATCCTAAAGGCTGCAGGTTCAAATCCAGTTCTCTTAGATTTTTTTAATTCCAAAGCGGCTCCGCCAGGGAGGGTTGGAATGGTACTAACCCACCCTGCTTCCTACGCTGCGCTCTGGGTCGGGATGGGCCAAGACCATCCCTTTTGCCTCTAAGATAGTTGTGTTATCACCTGAATCCACTGTCTGCTGAGCTTTATTGCTGTTATTGTGCACGGTACCCTCGGGTTGACAGGGGGGGGACAATATCAGCTTGTCTGATCACTCTATCGATAAGCCATGTCTTATCGATACCACTTATCTTATCGCTCTACATCCCGCCCGACGCTTGAAAAAAAATGTTTCGGTGGAGCAGGCGCAAAAAGGTCCCTGGGTCTTTTTTCTTGAACCTGCTCCTCCATAACATCGAGTCCGGAACTGTTGCAAGCAATTGCGACCTCGTTTTTGGGCGCAACAACAAATATGAGTTCACTTAAGCGAAAGGATGCCCCCGGGGGTACTCCTCCATCCAAAGCAGCAAAGGCCTCCAAGGTGTCCCGGCCATCGAAGCGCGATACTCCCACAAAGGAAAAGAAGACGGCGACCGCGGATGCTCCTGCGCCGAGGGCTCCCGCCGTCTCGGCCTTGCTCAAGGATGAAGAGCCTCTGTTCCCCCGTGGCGGCGGAAGCGTCCTTACACCTCTCGAACAGAAGAAGATCACCATTGAGGCCAAGGCCGATGCAGCCAAGGAGGAGGCTGAGATGTTCGACACCAACATCAAGGGCAAGGCAAAGAAGGAGAAGAGACGGAAGGCAAAGGAAACCAAGGACTTGAAGCCCGCAAGAGACGAGGACGCCGTCAAGATTGAGAGTCTTAACTTCAAGGTCAGTCGAAATCTCGCCCACTTTCTTGGAGAACTACCGCTGACAGAATAAAAAGCGACTGGTAAAGGGCTCTCTGGTCCTCGGCCAAATCACCCACATCGACCCTGTCCAGCTTACGGTTGCCCTGCCCAACAACCTCACAGGGCACGTGTCAATCGCCTCGATCTCGGACACAATCAATTCGAAACTCGAGAAGGATCTGGATGCCGCCGACGAGGAGAGCGACGACGATGAGGGGGACGAGGATGATGAGGAAATCGACTTGAAGACCATGTTCAAAGTCGGCCAGTATGTCCGCGCACACGTATTGTCGACTGCAGAAGAATCGGGCTCCGGCAAGGCGAAACGCAGGATCGAACTTTCGCTCCGACCTGCCGACGCCAACAGTGGAATCACCGGCGATGATGTCGTTGCATACACTACGCTCATGGCCTCCATCGCCAGTGTGCAGGACCACGGTTACGAGATGAATCTGGGCATTGAAGGAGATCTAAAGGGCTTCCTTGCCAAGAAGGAAGTCGGTCCGGACATGGACGAGGCCAGCCTGCGGCCGGGTGCCGTCTGCCTCTGTGTGGTGAAGAGCGTGACTGGCATTGTCGTCCAGTTGTCGACTGATCCCCTCAAGCTGGGCAACACATCGCTTGTGGCTTCGACCGCCCCCACGATCAACTCTTTCTTGCCTGGATCTCTGGCCGATGTTCTGCTTACCGAAGTCACCTCAAGAGGTCTGCAGGGCAAGCTCCTTGGTCATCTGCCTGTCACCGCCGACCTGATCCACTCCGGCGTCGGTCCTGACGGGGTTGACCTCGAGGCCAAGTACACCGTGGGCAGCAGAGTCAAGGCGAGAATCATCTGCAACTTTCCGGCCGCGAGAGAGCCCAAGCTGGGCATCTCTCTGCTGCCCCATATCGTCAGCCTGCAGCCAAAGTCATCGGGCAAGGGCAGCAGAGCCAAGTCCCCTCTTGACCTGCTCCCTATTGCCTCCTTTGTCGAGAAGTGCACGGTCCGTAAAGTTGAGCCCGAGATTGGTCTCTACGTCGACGCTGGCGTTCCCGGTATCTCTGGTTTCGTGCACATTTCTCGTGTCAAGGATGGCAAGGTTGATGCGCTCTACGAAACCAGCGGTCCCTACAAGGTCGGCTCTGAGCATCGCGGCAGGGTTGTTGGCTATAGCTCGCTGGATGGCATGTTCCTGCTCTCCTTCCAGCAGCAGGTGCTTGACCAGCCCTTCATCCGCCTCGAGGACGTCCCCGTTGGAGAAGTTGTTTCGGGCAAGGTCGAGAAGGTTATTGTCGGCGAGAACGGCGTTAGCGGACTCATTGTCAAGCTGGCCGAGGGCATCAGTGGCTACGTCCACGATTCCCATCTTGCCGACGTGAAGCTTCAGCACCCAGAAAAGAAGTTCAGAGAGGGAATCACCGTCAAGGCGAGAGTCCTCTCAGTACGCCCTCGTAAGCGCCAGCTCCGCCTGACGCTAAAGAAGACCCTCGTCAACTCCGATGCTCCAATCGTCAAGAACTACGACGAGGTCGAGGTTGACATGCAAACGCCTGGAACCATCACGAGTTTGACTGCGGCTGGTGCCCAGCTCGAATTCTTCGGAGGAGTACGAGGCTTCCTCCCCGTGTCTCAGATGAGTGAGGCCTACATCAAGGATCCCAGAGAGCACTTCCGCATTGGCCAGGTAGTCAGTGTCCACGTGCTTGATGTGAATCCCGAGGAGCACAAGATGGTCGTTTCTTGCAAGGACCCTTCGGCCTTTGGTTTGGATAAGCAGGCTGCGCTCAAGGCGCTGAAGGTCGGCGATATTGTCTCTGCCAAAGTCAGCCAGAAGACGGAAGATGAAGTCTTCGTTGACCTCGAGGAGAGCGGCCTCAAGGCCATCATCCGCACAGGCCATCTGTCAGACAAGTCTGCCAGCAAGACTCTGGCCGCCTGGAAGCGCATCAACGTTGGAAACACTCTGTCCGAGCTCGTGGTACTTGACAAGAACGAACGCCGTCGTGCCGTCATTCTCTCTCAGAAGCCTAGCTTCGTCGAGGCCGGCAAGAACGGTAAGCTTCTCTCCAATGCCGAGGATGCTACCGTCGGCACTGTTGCCCCGGCTTACGTCCGTGAGATCGGTCCTTACGCCGTCTACGTCCAGTTCGGTGGCAACCTCACTGCTATTTTGCCCAAGACCAAGTTGCCCAAGGATGCGCAGGAGAAGGAGGCGTTCGGCATGCGCAAGCACCAGAGCATCGAAGTCAAGATCGTGTCTTCTAACCCGGAGCAAAACCGCATCATCGTTACCCCTGCGTCTGCCGATGAGCCCGAGCCAGTTGTGGCCGAGTCCGCGGTGAACTCGGTGGACGATAGCATCAAAACCATCAACGATGTTGCTCTTGGCACGATACTAAACGCCAAGGTCACCTCCGTTAAGAACACACAGCTGAATGTCAAGGTTGCCGACAACATCCAGGGCCGTATCGACGTTTCGCAGTTCTATGACAAGTGGGACGACATCACGAACCGCAAGAACCCTCTGCAGAAGGTGAAGGCAAACGAGATCATCCGCGTCCGCGCCATCGGCATTCACGATTCCAAAAACTACCGCTTCCTGCCATTCACTCATCGCTCCTCCCACTCTCTGATTGAGTTCACCGCCAAGAAGAGCGACCTCGAGGCCAAGGAAGTCGAGTTGCTTTCGTATGACAAGATTGAGGTTGGCTCATCCCACATCGCATTCGTCAACAACCACGGCAAGAACTGCTTGTGGGTCAACCTGTCCCCTTCTGTCCGTGGCAGAATCAGCGTCATGGACGTTTCGGACGACTTGTCCCTCGCTGGAAACCTCGAGAAGCACTTCCCCGTTGGATATGCTCTCAAGGTCCGCGTCTTGTCTGTTGATGCCGAAAAGGGACACCTGGACCTCTCTTCTCGTTCTTCTACAGGCTCCACCGAGGTTACCTGGGATTCGCTGAAGAAGAACGTAGCCCTTCCCGGCAGGGTCACCAAGGTGACTGATCGTTCAGTCATGATCAAACTCAGCGACTCTGTCTCAGGTCCTGTGCACCTGGTCGATCTCAGCGACAATTACGATGAAGCAAACACTCTCAAGTACAACAAGGGCGAGATTGTCCGAGTCTCGGTGGTCGAGGTGGACAAGAGCAATAAGAGGCTCAGACTCTCTACCCGCCCGTCTCGGATTCTCAGCTCCACCTCGCCTGTTGTCGACCGCGAGATCACCAAGCTCTCTCAGGTCTCTTCTGGTGACATTATCAGGGGCTTCGTCAAGAACGTCACCGACAAGGGCGTCTTCGTGCAGCTCGGAGGTACCGTCTCCGCTCTGGTAAAGATCGGCAACCTCTCGGACCGCTACATCAAGGATTGGAAGGGCAACTTCCAGGTCGATCAACTGGTCAAGGGCCGTGTCATCAACGTCGACGCCGCGATCAGCCAGGTCGAGCTTAGCCTCAAGGCTTCCGTTGTCGAAAAGGATTATACGCCCCCCGTGACTTATAAGGATATGAAGGAGGGTCAGATCGTCACCGGCAAGGTCCGCAAGGTTGAGGAGTTTGGCGCCTTCATTGTCGTCGATAACTCACATAACGTTAGTGGTCTGTGCCATCGCAGTGAGATGGCCGAGAAGCCTGTGGAGGACGCTCGCAGGCTTTACAGTGAGGGCGACGTGGTGAAGGCCAAGGTCCTTTCTGTGGACGACGAGAAGAGACGTATCACATTCAGCCTCAGGCCTAGCCACTTCGACGAGGACAGCGATATGGAGGACGTCGATGGAGGTGCTGAAATCGACAGCGACGAAGACTCTGATGTTGAGATGGGAGACGGCGGCGTCCAGCTCACGATCAGCGGAACAGACAACCTTGACGACTCGGACGAGGAAGACGACGAGGAAGACGACGAGGAAGACGCCGAGGAAGAGGAGGACGAAGACGACAGCGACGCTGAGATGGACGATGCCGACACAGCTGCTGGCAAAGGTCTGAGTGGCGGCAAGTACGACTGGACAGGCGACGCATTCGATGAATCAGACAATGAGTCAACAGGCAAGTCAAAGACGTCGAGGGCGACCGAGAAGAAGGAAAAGAAGAAGAGCGGAATCCAGGTCGATCGCACCGCCGACCTCGACGCTCACGGGCCCCAGACGGCTACCGACTACGAGCGTCTCCTGTTGGGAGAGCCCGACTCGTCTCAACTATGGATTGAGTACATGGCCCTGCAGATGAAGGTCAGCGAGCTGGCCAAGGCACGTGAAGTCGCGGAGCGCGCCATCAAGACCATCAACATCCGCGAGCAGACCGAGAAGCTCAACGTCTGGATTGCATACCTCAACTTGGAGGTCGCTTACGGCACCAAGGCGTCGACTGAGGAGGTTTTCAAGCGTGCTTGCCAGTACAACGACGAACAAGAAGTTCACGAGCGCCTGGCTAGCATCTACATCCAGTGCGGAAAGCTCAAGGTAAGCAGTCCCATGACCATTTGCCGACCAGAATGCCGACTGACACTCTCAACAGCAAGCGGATGATGTCTTCCAGTCACTGGTGGCCAAGTTCAAGTCAAAGTCAGCCAAGGTGTGGGAGAACTACGCCCACTTCTTGCACGTGACGATGAACGAGCCGGACCGGGCGCGGGCTCTTCTGCCTCGCGCAACTCAGGCGTTGGAGGAGCGCCACACGGCACAGCTGATGGCCAGCTTCGGCGCCCTCGAGTTCAAGTCGCCCAACGGCGACGCCGAGCGTGGCCGCACGACGTTCGAGACGATCCTTGCCACGTGGCCGAAGCGATTCGACCTGTGGAACCAGCTTGCTGACCTCGAGATCTCGGCGGCCGAGCCGGACACCACGGCAATTAGGGATGTCTTTGAGAGAGGCACCAAGGCCAAGGGCCTCAAACCCCAGAAGGCGATGAAGTGGTTCAAGCGGTGGGCCGAGTGGGAGCAGAAGCTGAGCCCGAAGGGCCGGGACAAGGTGATGGCCAAGGCTCAAGAGTGGGTTGCAGCGGCCAAGGCCAAGAAGGGCGCAGCCGCCGAGGCGGATGACGACGAGGAGTAAGATTTCCGGGGATGTTGACAGCAAAACAAAAAACAAAACAAAGCAAAGGAAAAGTTATGGGAGGTTAATGGAAATTTTGCATGGGGGAGCAGACAAAAAAGCTCATCATTCCATCTGTCGTCCCCCCTTGTCCTCGGGCTAGGCCGAGCGAAGCCCATATTTTATTATGTGTCAATAACAAAGTCTGAACTTGATAATACGAGGAATCCTCTATCCGCAAGAAGCCAAGAGTTGACTTTCGCTTGTCCTTGAAGGATAATTCCCACGGGTTGAGTGACGAGGACTGCCCATGCCGACAACCTTGTCTATAGTCGGTCAGTCTGCGCCAACAGCTGCAGTGGCCAATGCAAACCTTTGACAACATAATAAGCAAGTCTGACATGCGTGCCTCCCCCCTCACTATTGCAAGAATCACGAACTATGCGAGCAAAAAGAAACGGCGAGCGTGATGACCTGAAGGACGACAGATTGATACAAGTAAGCGACACCACGGCTGGCTGGCTGGCTGACCTGCGCCACGGCTGAATTTTGATTTTTTTTTAATGCTTCCTCTTCTCTTTGGTTTATTTTTAGCATTTAGATTTATCCTTGTGTCTATGGACGACTTTGCGCACAGTTGTTCTATCCAAACAAATCAGCCCTGCGATCGACACGAATTATCCGGGGGGCTTTTCTTCTTCATTTCTTCCCCCCCCCCTCTGGGCTGCGGCTGGAAGACCTGCCCGTCCATCTTCATGCCAAGAAGTCCTCACAGACGAACAAAGCTCGGGCGATCGAAATCGTTACGAAAAAAGAAAGAAAAAAAAGAAACTCGAGATCGGGTCGGCAGAGGGACCAGCACTCGGTTCATACAGACAGACCAATGGATTCGTCGGTGCGCATAGTGGCTCGCCCGCAGTGGCGCCTTGCGTCCGTCCTAAGAATCCCAGGAGTGTCCTTCGTCTGATACCAGCGCAAGACGACATCCGCACAGAAATTGAGAAGCACAGAAGCTTGGCTGCATGGCTGCGGTCCCTCGTGGCAGCACGGGGCAGAGACACAGACTCTCGCGGCGGCTGCCCTTCTTCCTGCTCTGTGCTCCTCCACGAGGCCATCGACGGATCCGATAAAGGGGGGAAATAGAGATGTCCAACGCGGGACATATGCGCGCGCTCGTATATGTGCCTGACTGACATTTTCATCCGAGCACCGGCCGGCATACTGCGGAAGTGAAGCGCGCCGGTCCCTTGAGCAGCAATATCGGATGCCAATCCCACCCCTTCGACTGACTTCCCTCATTTCCCAGTCGGCGGGGGCAGGGGAACGACAAAGGAAACGAAACCACCTGTCACCGCATGACGGCGTTCAATAGCGTCAGGCGAAAGAGAAACTTCGCAGAGGGAAAAGTCGAGGGGAACCCCGGGCCATCGTGGCCAACGGGACGCCAACCAACCACGCACGCACCGCGATCCGTCCAAGTGGGCTGGCTGGCTGGCTGGCTGGCTGGCTGACTGGCTGACTGACTTACCGGTGATACTCGGAGGCTTTGCCAGCTTGATCCCTTCCTTAGCCTTAGCCCTAGCCCACGTTGACCTACCTGCATCGTCCCACCATAGCTCGCCACCAGGTCGACGGCGGCGTAGTGCCCCCTTTTTTTTTAAAGCTGGACGCTGGCGGCGGGCGCCGGACACGATTGCAACAAGCTTAAAACGCTTAAACGCTCGCCGCCCATCAATCCCGGCCGGGAACCTGGGCGTGGCGCCTGCTAATGTGCCTAGCGGTGCGCGATACGAGAGGTCGCCAACCCTTGTCGAAAGCGAATATGCTCACCGTGACACGGCCGAGCGCGCGGGAGCGGGGGCTTGGCATTCCCAGGTCGGGGCGCCTTACATTCCGCACAACACTCCCGACGCATGACTGACTGCCCTATGCATATGAAGGCCCATCGATAGCCCCGACTTGGCCTGCATTGTTAGCTCCGGCCGCATGGATGGCTGTTTCTGTCCAGACTCCCGGGCTCTCTGTTGTGCTTTCTTATCAGACCAAACTGGCTTCGGCGAATGGCATTCGAAGAAGGTGATCCTCCTCGGTCTAAGCCGACGGTGAGGTGCCTCCCGAGGGGTCCACGGGCTGGGGGCTGACATGATGCTAGTCTGGTTCCATTCTTCTTGTTCCTTTCTGGGGCGTCCCGGGAGTCCGGGGTGGCATGTCTTGCCCTTCTCACCGTCGCCCTCCTTTTGGGCCTCCCACAAGGGCTGGGTGCGCAGTTTAGGAGCCAAATTTTACGAGGCGCGCGCGTGCCAAGATCTCTGCGAATCCAACGGCTGCGCTTCTCGGTTCTGTAAGATCTTGATTGGGGCCTGTTGATGCCCGGGATCAGGCCGAGGCAGGAGAAGCCCGTTCCGAAGGCACCATGCACGCTACGATGATGAGCCCTTTTGCGCGTGTTAGCCGTCCGAGAGTCTCTGGGGAACCCGAGCAGGCCTCTCTACTCCTGAAGATCAAGTCGTGGTAGACAGCGACCAGGCTGCCAAGATGCTCCAAGACGTGATATAAGGCGCCGTTTCCTGTCTCCTTGTTCCGGTCTTGGTCTCTTCTCCCACCAGGCCGCCCTTCTCGCTTTCCCTTCTCCCACACGACCATCTCTGCGTCACATACACTCGCTTCTCTGGGTTCTTCCTCTTACTTGACTTCCCTCAGCTCTGTTTCCACTTGTAATCCAACCCGCCTCGGCAAGATGCATATCACATCCCTCCTCACCGCCTCCCTGGCCGTGGCCTCCGTCCCGGGCGTCATGGGCTACCCCGGCATGGGCGAGCAGATGGCCGAAATCAAGGCGCGCACGAGCAACTCGGGCGAGTCCAACGAGCTCCTCGGCGACCTCGTCACGCTCAAGGACCGCGACCTCAGCAACGTCGGCAAGGACGTCAAGAAGCTACTCCAGGGCAAGGGCAGCGCGCAGTCGGACGAGCGGTACATCAGCGTGCCGGACCTGACGTCGGACAAGTGCAAGAAGGACACGTGCTGCGTCTGGCGGTACGTCGCCGACGACATGTACAAGTTCATGGCCGGGTCGTCGGGCCGCTGCACGAGCCTGGCGCGCGGCGCCGTCCGTCTCGGCTTCCACGACGCCGGGACCTGGTCCAAGGCCACGGCCAGCCAGGGCGGCGGCGCCGACGGCAGCATCCTGCTGGCCCCCGGCGAGATCGACCGCTTCGAGAACCGCGGCCTCCAGGAGGTCGCCGCCAAGTTCAACGAGCTGTACGGCAAGTACAAGGGCTTGGGCTGGAACATTGGCATGGGCGACTTCATCCAGGTACGTTACGGGGACGACGACGACGACGACGACGACGACAACAACAACAACAACATGACAGAGAAACCCGAAGGCGTCCGGCATGCTGACAAGATTAGATGGGCGCCAACGTCGCCGCCGTGGTCTGCCCCCTCGGCCCGCGCATCAAGACCTACGTCGGCCGCAAGGACAGCTCGGCGCCGGCCCCGACCGGCCTCCTCCCCAGCCCCTTCCAGCCGGCCGACCAGCTGATCCAGCTCTTCCGCGACAAGACCATCGCCCCCCACGGCCTCGTCGCCCTGCTCGGCGCGCACACCACCAGCCAGCAGCAGTTCGTCAACACGACCCGCGCCGGCGACCCCCAGGACAGCACCCCGGGCGTGTGGGACGTCCTGTACTACAAGGAGACGCTCAGCCCCAACTCCCCTCCCCGCGTGTTCAAGTTCCCCAGCGACGTCTCCATCTCGCAGCACCCCGAGACCTCCAAGGAGTTCAAGGAGTTTGCCGGAATCGGCGGCCAGCAGCACTGGAACGAGGTAAGCTCCCTCCCTCCCCGGATGTCCCAACCGGCGACGACGCTCAGCGAGTACTAAAACGTGGAAACCCTGCAGGACTACGCACGCGAATACATCCGCCTCTCGCTCCTGGGCGTCAACAACATCAACCAGCTGGTCGAGTGCACCAAGGTGCTGCCACCCGCCGTCAAGGGCTTCCGCGCCGTCGACCAGTACAAGCTCGACAAGTGGCTCAACAGCGTCGGCAACAAGGGCGCCGCCAAGAAGGTCGCCGAGGACATCGCCAAGGGCGACCCGGTCTCCGTCGAGGTGCCCCCCGTCAACACGAACTAGGAGATTTCGTAAACGGACGGGTTACGTTGGGCGATGGTGGTCTGCGAGACCGGGGATATAATGGCTGTAGTTTTTTCGGGGGCGTTTTTTTTTTTTTTTTTTGGTTCTTTTTTTTTCCAAGGTCTATTTTTTTTTTAAAGAAAAATAAAGAAAAAAACGGGGGGTTGAGCTTGGTCGCTTGACCTGGTTGTACATGTATACGTCGTCGCGTTTAGAAGACGGGTTCAAGACCACCACATAATTCAATACCCACAGTATTTACACTCCAAACAGGCGGGCTGGAATGCAATCAACGCGATACCCGAATCCCAGAGCTGGTTGTCCGCGGGCCGGGCTGCCTTGTCGGCGCATTGCGAGCTGCACGGAGCCCATCTCATCGAACAAGTGAGTGAGAAGTGAGCCCGGCTAAGAGAAACAAACCCCCACGGCCGGTGGATCCAAGAACACCGCATCCGGTCGTCCCGGACCACTCTCCCCCGGCCTCCGCGGGATAGCGGACCGCGGGCTCTCCCCACCCCCCCCCCCCCCCTGCCTGTTTACGTTATCCATCTCCCCTTTCCCACTGAATGCCGAGGGGCGCCCCACTCTTTTCCTTCCCTTTTTCTCGCTTCGCGGACCGAACGTTGCTGTCATCTCTTGAAAGGGAAGAACTCAGACAGACATCAGACGAACAACGAAACCACAACAAACTCAATGCAGATAGCAGTCGTTCCCGAGATATCAAGCTTCGCAACACGACTATCGAGGGCCTTTGCAAAACAAAACCCGATCCCCACCCCTCCGGATTGGTCACCTCAAACCTTGCTTGCGACGATTGACCTCAGTCGCGTCTAGATCACGCAACACGTTCATCAGGTCCCCCCCGCTTGTCGCCCGCAGTCAACGTCATCAGAAAGGAAAAGATAGCCCTCACTCGCCCAAGAACGCCAAGAGCCGAAGAAAAGGCCACTCACTGCCCCGGCGTCACCATGAGCCACAAGCACCAGACCCTCCGTTTCCCGAACGACCCGACTGCCGGCGATGGCATCTGGGGCTACCCGACCAGCAAGGCCAAGTGAGCGGCTACTCCCAACCCGCTCGCCATGTGAGCAGGAACATTGCTGACGTGGATGTTCTCTCTCTTTCTCTCTGGTTTTAGTTTCTGCGAAGAAGACTATCTCTTCACGCGATACATCGCCGAGTTCGTCAACTGTCTCTCCAATGCCACCTACAGTAAGTGTCATCATCCGACCCCGCCCCCTCGTCAGTAACCTCCCCACCCCTTGTTCATCCACGTCCTCTAGTCTACCTCGCGCTCAAGTACCCCCGCGCCAGGCCGCAGGCCGCGGTGCCGTGGTACAAGACGCTCGACATCCAGTCCGTCGGCCTCCTCCTGGTCGGCGTCTTCTCCGCCGTCTTCCACGGCACCATGCACCAGGAGACGCAGCTCCTCGACGACCTCTCCATGCTCGTGCTCGCCGGCTCGCTCGTGCAGCCGCTCTACGTCTTCCGCCAGTCGCGCCCCGTCGCCGCCGCCGCCGCCGCCGCCCTGTGGCTCGGCATCGCCGCCATGGCCGCCGTCTACGTCCGCTCCGGCGACATCTTCATCCACGTCGCCACCTTCACCGCGCTGCTGACCCTCGTCTGGCCCCGGACCCTCTTCCTCGTCTACGGCGCCGGCAGCCGCTGGTCCGCCGCCGAGCGCCGCGCCCTGATGCGCCGCTTCGCCGAGGCCTGCGCCGTCCTCATCCTCGGCTTCACCCTGTGGCACATCGACCTCGAGTACTGCGCCGAGCTGCGCGCCGCGCGGAGGGAGCTGGGCCTGCCGCTCGCGTGGCTGCTGGAGCTGCACGGCTGGTGGCACATCTTCACGGCCTACGGCGCGAGCTGGTACATGAGGCTGATCAGGGACCTGACGTCTGACGACGGAACCGGTGCTGCGAAGAAGGCTCAGTGAGCATGGGAGAGGAGCGGGAGAGAGAGAGCCCGGGGTCATCCAGGTTGAGGGGGGGGGGTTCGTTTAGACAATAGGACTTGCGGGAGACATGGCGCCTGGGTAAAGACAATGCTAGCATATTACAATACTTGCGTTGGAAATTAGAGGCCCGAAAAAAGAAAAAGGAAGAAAGAAAGAAAGAAAAAGGAATACAGGGAAGAAAACCACAAGCTCTTCATTTCGATAGCACACAATACCCCCCTTTCGAAACCAGACCGCTATCGAGGCGGCGCTCTTGGAGATAGATAGATGCCTGTTGCCTCAACTGCGGCATCGGTCGTCGAAGACGCGCTGCATCGGAATATTGTACAAGTGAGCTACGTCAGACACTGCTCCCGTTTACGTTTTACAAATCAGTCTTATCTGTGCAAGTCAATCGTAAAGGTCATGGAGGTCTGTCTGTTTCTCGAGCAACCGCCAGAACGTAGAGAAGAGTTGCTCTTTTCAAAGAACTCGTTGATTAGTCGGCTGCTCTATTACCATCTAAAGCGCAGAACTCGTTCCTTTCCCCTCGAGAACCCATCTCTCCCCAAACGCCCTGCTGCAAATGGGAAAGCCCACACGATTCAGCCAAAGCGTCGTGTTCCGCCAAGCAAAGTAGGCGCTCCGGCTTCCGTTCAAGCATCCTCGTTTCGGGTGCCCCAAGCCTCGGTGGACAGGGTGACCCAAGCGTAGAGATCGAGGACGGGGTGGGCGTTGTCAAGCAGAAAGCAAGCCCAGATGTGACGCGCCGCAAAGGGGAAGCGGCGAATGAAGCCGCCATAGGCGCTGACCCAGCCCCAGACGTACCAGAAGAAGGCGAAGTACCTGCAGAGATGAATTCAGCACAACGATGGTCAATCATTCCAAAAACAGAGCTGGGGAAATACTGACGCTATGAAAGAATTGTTGCGGAAGCCCTCGACGAGGGCGACGATGTGGATCCAGGCCAAAAGAGGGCGAAGGAGGCGCTCAACGAGCTTGCGAGCCATGTAGGGATGCTTTCTATCAAAGAGTCAGCCGTCTATATCAGCTTTTTAACAACCAGAGCCAGGAGAAACCTACTTGGCAATCTTTCCCAGACCAGGCTGGTAGAAGACGGTCGTGAGGAACGACTGGATAGCGCTGCGCTGCCAGCGGACCAGCTGGCGCAGGAAGTTGGCGTCGTCGAAGACAACGGTGGTGATCTCGGCCTCGGGCGCGTTCTGGACTGCGATGTCCCAGCCCTCGGTCTGGAGCCAGCGGGTGATGAAGGAATCGTCGCCGGTGTTCATGATCTTGCCGCGCCAGGTGTCGGTGGTGATGGCGTGAAGAAAGCGGGGATCCGCGGCGACCTCGGCGCGGAAGACCATGGTGCGGCCGACCATGCAGAAGCAGCCGCCGTCGGCGGTCCATCGGATGGCCTGAATGCTGTTCTGGTTGTCCAAAGAGCGGAGAGACGCGACCTCCCAAGGAGTGATGACGGCCGGGTTGCGGCGCTTGACAGGGATGTGGGCGCTGCAAAAAGTCAGTCAAAGCATTCATCAAGGGTAACTTGGAGGGGGGTAGGGGGTTCATCTTTCACTCACCTCTGCTTTCCAAAGCTGCCGCCAACCTTGGGGTCCTCGAAAGGCGCAAGGAGGTGGGGGAGCACCTGCAAAGTGTTCCAGAAGGCGTCATCGTCGACGAGAGCAAGGATCTTGCCCTTGGCCTGCTTGATTCCGACGACCATCTGGTGGCGCTTGCTGGCGTAGTCGGCAGTCATGATGCTGATGCGGTCGTCGCCATCAGTGATGACGGGCTTGACAAGATCGTAGACGCGCTGGAGATCGCGATCGATGGTGACGATGATGATCTCCTTTGGGCGGTTGGCGAGCCACAGACGGAGGCAGTCGGTGAAGGAATCAGGGGTGTCAATGGTCGCGACGACAATGCTGACGTCAGTGCTCTGATAAGAAGGATTCTCGGGGAGAGGGATAGGCTTTGTCTTCTTCGCGAAGTACTTGGTGAGAGCCTCATCGTAGGTGTACCAGACCCTGAGTGTGTCGGCGTACGTTAGTCTTGGCCTAGTTTTTCACAAGGACAGGTATTGGAGTGACTTACCAGAAGGCCCCAATAACAATGTCAGCCATCGTGAGTGGTTTAGTTGCTTGATCCTGTGCTCTTGCGTGCGGGCCTTTTGTTCAGAGAACCAGGTTGTGATGCGTGTGGGAGAAGAAGTGTTTTTTTTTTCTAGTGGGCAAAAGAAGACAACTTTGTTGATAGGGAAGCGGATGATGAGAGAAGGCGCAAGTGAGTGAATGCAGATTGGGAAGGTACGACTAAATATCCACTGGCTGGGTGTCGAGGTAAAGGTGAATGCTCTTGTTTAGCCCGGCTGAAAGAGTGAAGAGGCTGGAAAACCAAGGCTGAGATGTGAATGGAAGAATAGAGATTTCTCACAATCACTGGGGGGGGGCAAAGCCTACAATTCACTGAAAGAAAAACAAATTCACATGAAGAGTTCTCTTGACAGGTAACTTAGAACAAGTTCAAAGTCAGAGAGGCTGATTCTGTATGATCAAAGGGATCATTTCTTCGGGCTACACGAAGTATTTTGAGACAATATAGAGTGCCTATCACAGCCCCTAAACGTATTTTTAAGGACCCTTTGAAATGTTTTCTGAAGAGAAGACATAAATAGTATAAGCTTTGATGCTGCCCTATACACAAAGCGTCCACTGATTATCCCAAGCTTTTCGGGAACCCTAAATGTCTGTCCGTCGTCTTGATATGCTCCAAACCAAAGCCACCGCGCTCTAGTCTGACCGTGGCAACTGTATCCTCGGGTCGAGGGAACTCAAAAGAGAATCAGCTCTAGAGCCCCGGTTCATCGAGTCTCCCAACAACGTCCCAAATCCGAAAAGCACGCAAAAGTAGCGCCGCTTGCTCTTCCATCCTGATCTCCCTCTGACGACGCCGAAGTCTTCGCCATTTCCACGCGACAGTAGCGCCAGCCGGTAAGAGAAAGACGCCAAAGGCACGCAGATCGTCCGCGTTGTGATTCCGCCGGTTGCCGCGAAATTCTGCTTCCTGCAGCCCAAAAATGCTCGCGGCCCACTTGCACGCGGTCTGGTCGGTCATGTTCTGGGGGACGGCGAACATCGCAAACTCCTCCGCAGGGTACACGGGAAGCAGTATCTGCAGGAGCTGGAGAAGGACGATCAGCTCCGTGAAGGAAACGAGAGCAACCTCGGTTGAGATGGGAAGGACGGTGTCGGGGATCTTAGCGCCGATGCCGTAGAGGGTGATGACGAGATCCATGGCCAGTAACCCAATGGCCAGGCATTCCCAAAGCTTGAGCGTCGCGTTCATCGATCGTGTAAGCTCCAAAGTTGCGTCTTGATGGCACCATGAGTCGCTCATGCCTTCCCAAGCTTTTCGAATCGCGAGATGGGAATCGGAGGCCCTTGCGCTTGAGGGCATCTTGTGCAGGTGAAGTAGGTTGAGAGCTGGGAGGAAAGAGAAACGTGACGAAAATTGTTTGTTGCGGTCGAATCGTCAAACGTTTGCTGCGTAGGGCCCGGTTCGGCTGGAGAAGAGAACTTTCTCAATGAAAACAAGGGCTTTGTGAGAAGAAGAAAAATGACAAAAGCAAAGGACGACACAAAGCAGTTTTCGAAAAACGCGTTGCCGCCATTTGTTTATCCAGCCACGCAAAAGCACGACGCCAAAAATAAACATTCACCAGGCGCAGACTTCATCTTATGTTCACCTGAGTGTTTGCTAATTAATCAAGTCCAGCCGTACAAAGAGGTCCTATGTCGGTCAGGTGACCTAGTGATAGAAATTAACCTCTTTCGGGTAATGTTAGGCCTTGACCAGATAAAGAAAAGATTGCTGCAGGGGCCAATAAGATATAAGTAAAGGTATACCCTCCAATCAGATCCTTAGGCTTGAAACTCGTCAGAGGTATTTATGTTGCAATTCAATCTTTTGTGAGATGCTGGCGAACCGTGGTATGAGACGGGTTGTAAAGCATAGTCATCTCGTGAACGTCTGGGGGAGGTAAAGTCATAAAACTATGCAACAAATCCCTCTTCATGTCCTCATTGCTGTTCAACTAGGGATTACCCTCATCCCCGCCTTTCTTACTAACGACCACTGCATTATGTGCGCTCAAGTCTACCTATGGTCAACCTACCTACACAGTCGATCAATCTTTATGCGATTGGCGTACAATGTCAGCTCCATTACTACGGATGCTTGCATCTAACTCGCTCGCTACGAACCAAAAAGGGGGGTTCTACTATTGGCCCGAATCGTGTGTTGTCTGGGCCGAGTTCAGGGTATAAGTAAGCCACAACGTTGTTGTCGGAGCAGGACTTCCGAATTGCTTGCATGAGTCGAGAATCATTCTCGCCCCAGAACTTGGTCGACCTGCGAATTTTGCTTTGAGGCACGCTATACGAATAGGGTCGTAGCATGGCCATTGCCAATATCTTCCTATATTGCGACCCTGCACTATTAACAATGGACAGTATTAGGCAATGCCAACGGACCTGGCCAGACATTGATTCGCGTAGCAAATAGGTACATGAAGTTCACCGCAAACAGATGGTCGCACCAGCTGATAAGCTATGAGTGGCATTGCATCCAAGCATTTACTGTATATTTTCAGCGTGAGATCATTGAAGTGGCCTTCAGAGCCAGAAGTAGTAATGTGGCATCTGGCAGCAGCTTAGCTATGTAATCGAATGCTAGTCATCGAGTGTCTCAACTATTTGCTGGGTAAGTGGCAGTACGGTCCATTGTGCAAACCTCACACCGTCCCATGGCCAGTCAGGATTGGTGACTAAAAGAGGAGGTTCGGTCTGTTACCATTGGATACCAGAAAAGGGTTTGCCATGGTGTTCAGGGAGGACAGGCAGAATGTGTCGACGACCTGATGTCCATTTTGAGTGTTGCCTTATACCCCGTAGCGTTTTGACTCGGCCCCGTTTTCACCGACGTGCCGAATCATTATGGTCCGCTGGCTCTTCCAAGAATAATCAATCTGGGGTTCGGCATTATGACTAATTAAACCTCAAGTACAAGTCTGTCGCCTGCCCTAAGCCCATTTACTACTTTTAATCTCCTGTATTATGTGTGGCCAAGACATTAATATGTGAAAGCTACTCACTTGAAAGCGTCCACGGCAAAGGCAGACCGGACTTGAATTTCCCGGTTGAGGGGCTGTCTATAGTGTGCCAAGGCGGAGTAATTCAAACCGTCTTCTCGTGACCTCGTCAGGGCCGGCAGTAAGCCAGCTCCCTCCCCAATTTGTACCGCCAATGAGCATAGAAATAGTCACGCAAACGTTGGAGCTATCACAAGTCACCTCACAGAAGGACGGTGAAGGTTGAACTCGGCATGCTTTCAAAGCAAGCTGGATATCGGGAAGCTTACAGTTGCAAGAGGAGACGCAGCAAAACAAACTTCAAAAGGCGGGGATAGGGTCGTGCAGGTGCCCACTAAATAAAGTCCACCGGCCCCCCAACAGCCGCCCCCCGCGACTGGTCGAGTTTAATTGCGCCCACCGGGGGCATCTGGACGCCGGCCGAACAGTCCGACCAAGATACCAGACGCATAAACGAATAGGCCATGGCTGCTATGGCCTGGGCAAGCCTGGAAAACAAATCCAGGCGACACTCACCCCCACATGGAGCACAGCTTGCGGGTCCTGGAGTTCGTAGGATGATGCATCCTTAAACTCCCACCGGTAAGTGGTCGAGTCTTGGAGCGGAACGTGTTATATATATGAGACGCAGCCCCTGGAACTGGCATGCCCGCTGTATTGCCAAGGCCCGACGTCTCGTGGGATATAGTGCTGCGCGTCTAGACTTGGGGTTGATTATTGTTTACCGGGCAACAGCAAATAATCGAAGATATACGAGCCGAAGCAGTCGTAGTCAATGTTGAAAATAGCATGATCTTATTGGCCGTCTTTGCGCAATAACGGCCAGGGTTCTCTTTATTTTGCCGTGATTCTTGGAATGTTTCCCTTGGAATGTTTGTATCGCCTCCCCCGCAGCACTGCCAAGCCGAGCCAGCGAAGTGCCGAGACCCAACATGTGAGCTACGAGCCAAAGTACGGGGGTTTCAAGGATATGGATGGGGAAGGTCGACGTTCCGGAGTACTATTTGCTTCTTCTTGCCAAGGTTCCATTCGTACAACATTCGACCGACCTGGCACCCGCTTGGCCGTTCTCTTCCCAGCATGTCATGATGCCACCTGGCCCGCCCGGGGCTATCCTGTGGCCTTGTCGAGCTGCATCTAGTCGGTAATGGAAACGGAAGTGACATGCCCGGCCAGTGACGCATCTAGGAAACGGCCCAATGCCGTCCTCCAACGAACGTGTCTGTGCAAGGGGAACATCTACCGGAATGGTGCGCATCTGGCGCACCACCGTCTCTTCACCTCAAAGCGAAACATATCAGTCTTTTGGATATAAAGTAGCCTGGAGAGTCAGTTGTCAAGGAGTTACTGGACTCATAAATTTGCTTGCCAACGCTAGTATCCGTCCAGATAGTACGTAGTCATGGCCAAGTTCTCCCTTCTCACGGCGGTGTTGGCGCTCGCCTCCTCTGTCGCAGCCCAGTGCGGTGCCGGCACGCCCGACGCCAGAGTCACCGGCTCCGGAAGCTCCTTTGTGGCTACCAGGGGCTCAAGCCAGGTCTACGCCGGCTCCGACTACCGCGCCGCCATCCAAGCCGCGGTTGACTCCATCAGCAGCGGCCAGCGCGTCTCCGTCATCGCCTCCGGCTCCATCGGCGCCAGCACCATCAGCATCGGAAGTGGAAAGACCTTTGAAGGCTGCGGGACTATCAATGCCGTTGTCCGCAACGGCCGCGGCGCCATCGAGGTCCTCAACGCCTCGGGCGTCAGGATCCCCTACCTCACCATGACCGGCAACCCGTACTTCGGCCTGCGCTTCTACGGCACCAGGGACCTCACGCTCGGCGCCATCAACATGAACCTCAGCGGCGGCCTCGGCATCCGCTTCGACCGCGACCAGGCCGCCAACTCCAACGTCAAGATGGGCACCATCACCGTCAACGGCGCCGGCAGCCACGCCGTCGAGACCTGGAACATCGACGGCCTCGCCATCGACCAGGTCATCGCCAGGAACTGCGGCGAGTCCGGCCTGCTGCTGCAAAAGACCACCAACGCCCGCGTCGGCCTCGTCGACGGCAACAACGTCGGCGCCGGCACGGGCTACGCGACCCTCCGCTTCGCCAACAACAACGGCCAGCTCGCCAACGGCGCCTACACCACCAACGTCTTCGTCACCAGGGTCGTCTCCCGCGGCGGCGGCCGCGGCATCTTCTGCGTCTCCCAGTCCGGCGGCGCCGAGATCGGCACCATCGACCTCGCCAGCAACGGCAACAACGCCATCCTGATCGAGAACTGCTACGGCGTCACCATCAAGGGCGGCACCGTCAACGGCGGCGGCGAGGTCCGCATCTCTGCCCGCAGCGAGTTCCCCAACACCCGCGACATCTCCATCACTGCCAGAGTCGACGGCACCAGTGTCCGCGAGTCCCCTTGCGGTAGCAACATCAGGTGGAACCTCTCCGGCAACGGAGCTCGTAACATCTGCTAAGCGTCGAGCTCAAACTCGTGCGGTGGTTGATATCGACGTGAATGCAGCGTATCTTTGTTTTCATCAGTACAATATTCTCATTTCCCATCGGCTCCAGCAAGTCAATGTTCATATTCCGCCCCCGACCACGCTCGGTGTTGCTCGGCTTTATCGAGGGTCGCCAAAAGTCTGCTCAGCGCTTTCTGTTGAAGTGCGAGAAAGTGACTCTCCATGTGAAGGGCAAAGTAGGGAATCACGTAGCCCAATATAGTTCTCGCAGCATCGACGGCACTACCTCTAAACCGACGCGACAGCGCTTGAGATAGTCGCAAAGGAGACTTGTTTCTACTGCCCCTCATTTCAACTGCACAACCCGTGACTGAACCTTCCTTGGTCTACACGAAGAACATACGGGAGACTCCAGGGCAGCTCACCACTAGGTTGATTGTGTTGTGGTAGTGTTTGTATTGTGTAAGCATTTTTCCTTTGGAACGCTGAAAAGGGCCGAGACATTGAGAAAAATGGCCTGCTTACTAGTAGCCTTGATAAGACATTGCATCTGCATCAAGCCTTTTATGGTTGGATTCTGAGATTCTCCCTTTCGTTATTCGATCTCTCAATGCCATCTCTTGGCTCATTCTCTGAGGCATAGCTAGCACCCGCCTTCCAAACAGAGTCGCTAAACAAGCACTCTGATTAGAAATGTGTCCCATCACAAAACGGGATAGCGTATCAATCAGCATCACACATAGTAGGCTAGCCTAGGGGGGGCTGAAAAAGATGTTATTCCAGTCCTGGAAAAAGTTCGCTAGGCTGCTCCATGAACATGAGGGCAACACGATAAACAGCCAGCTGCATCTCAGCTGCGCCACTGCGACAACTGTCTCTCACGACTCCCGAAGTTATCAGTCACTCAGCTAAGCCTCTCGACTCTATATGTAGAGATGGCTTTCGAGATGACTTGCAACAAGAATCTACAATTTCGACAGTAAAGCACGCACGCATTCTGTTAAAGGAGCTCAAGGCGAGGCTCGTGGGTGCGGGCTGCACATCTTATGTAGTCCACTCTTCGTATAAATCTGCCGTAGCATCTGCTCCACGAAGACCAAGAAAGACACGCCCATCGCCCAAGACCACATACTGTCATATTGCTCTTTTATCTGAAGATGAAGTTAGGAACCGCTGCACTCCTTTTCTCAGCGGCCGTTGTCGGTCCAACGGTCGCTATTGTAGTCACGGCTGGCCGACCTCCCGGATCAACCCTAGAAGCTACGGGGTTCTCGGATACCCGCTTCACCTACTCCCCGCATGGGGGCCCTTTTCCAAGCGTCAATTCCTACGGAACGTTCACGGGCGGGCCTCCAGGCCTCACATCCGGGATAATTCTAAGTACCGGGTCTGTAAAAGACGCAGACCCGGGGTCGGGTCGCTCCCCAAACACGAATTTTGGGGCCACATACATTCCCTCTGGCGTCCCAAACAACCCCGCAGGTTGTCTTGACTACGTCGACTACAGAGTTGGACTCTCAATTCCTCAAGGCGTTTCAACGATCAGAATGAGGTACTTGTTCGCCACTCAAGAGCCGTAAGTTGCCACTCAAGTCGCATTTCCCCGCACAAAGGATCTCAGTCTAACAATAAGACCCCGACAGCGTTGGAGGCAGCCAGGACCAGCTGTTTATTGAAAACTATTCCATCAGGACGACACTGGTTTCACTTGATGCCCAGAGCCGGCTGTTCAACACCGGCGCGTCGTTGGGACTGTCCTACGCGCGTGCTGGAGAAATCTCTACCTATGATTACAATGTTCGGCCAGGTTCCTATGTGGACATTCATGTCAACATATGTGATAAAACCAATGGCGATGTGGACTCGGCCGTACTCTTCACTATTGGCGACGCCGCCGTCTTGACTTCGCCCTCGAGCACCAGCACCACATCAAGCTTGTCCCGAAGCACCAGCACTACACTGAGCTCGAGCTCGAGCATCAGCACCACATCGAGCTTGACGTTGGAGTCCACAACAGCCTCGGCCTCAAGCTCGATGTTGGAGTCCACAGCAGCTTCGGCCTCAAGCTCGATCCTGGGTTCCACTGAAAGCTTAACCTCATCCAGACTGACTCTAATCTCTACTACTACAGTCTCGCCTCCGTCGGATGCCACGTCGGCAACCCCCATATCTCTTCTTACCCCTTCTACAAGTCCCGCAACATCACAGTCAATTTCAGACAGCCTCCGACAGACATCCTCGTCATCTTCAAAAGCATCAACGAACACACCTTCTCCTAACATTGCAGCAGCTAGTCTCTTGCCAAGCAGCATCACGCCCCCTTCCGCCACATCAACAACTGCAACAACAACCAGACAACCAGGCCCTTCAAACTTGCCTACGATCAGCAGCTACACCTTTGCCGGTTGTTCGGGCTCCACATCTGGCTATCCCAGCTTTACCGAGGTCGGCAGAGACGCCGAAATGACTCCGCAGAAGTGCATTGCCATGGTTCAAGGGCAAAGATACGCGGGCGTCATCTTCGAGTAAGTCGACGCCGTGGAAGCGCTGAGCATCATTTTCGTTCCATGCTGACCATCACCCAGCACTTGCTATGGGTCCCAGTCTCTTAATGCCACAAGTTTTGTACCAGGAGACAGCTGCAGTATACCTTGTCCCGGTGACGCTCGCCAGATATGTGGTGGCAATGCGGCGGCCTTTAAACCCAAAAGGCTCCGTATGCGACATCACTCTCGAGCTCTCATCCTCCAGCGCGATGCTCCTGCAAACATTCTACTCACAATATTCCAACTCGTCGTCTTGCCAGCGACGACTGTCGTCGAATCTGGCACGACCATTGTGGTACCACCCACCACCATGGCCGGTCCAGCCGTCATAATACCCGTTCCCGGTGTGACGGCAGTCGCGCCGCCGGCCGATAGAATCACCCGGGATGCCTCTACCGCAGTCGTCAGTCCTGGCAGGACTGTCACAATACCCATTTCCGGTGTGACGGCAGTTGCGCCGCCGGCCAACAGAATCATCCAGGATGCCTCTACTGTAGTCGTTGGTCCTGGCGGGACCATTACTATACCTATTTCTAGTGTGACAGCAGTCGCTCCGCCGGCCGATAGAATCATCCAGGATGCCTCTACCGCAGTCGTCGGCCCCGGCGGGACCGTCACTACAACCAACGGGCAGCCACCCAGCGCTCCAGGCGCGGTATCAATACCGAACCCTGTGAGCCCGAACAGTGCCATCACTTCCGTAGTGACCACCGTAATCTACATGATCGTCGACCCTACGAGACCTACCGCCCTGGTGCCAGTAGAGCTCTGCACCACGCTATACTTCGAAGATTGCCGGTGCCCAACCCAAGTAATCCCTACGCTCCCCATGGCAACATATGTGGCAGACTGCAACAAGTGTGGTGTCAAAGGCCAAAGCAAAGTCACAATCACCGCCCCAAGTGACCTCGGACCCTACCATTCGCCATCCGGTAACAGACTAGTGGCGGTCGCCGAGCCATCGAATGCACCTGTGCCCCATGATTCGCAGAATCCACCCGCAATTCCTCTTTCTGCTGCGCAGAATCCCCAAGTCACTTGGCCAGCAGGTGCGCTCTCGCAGATCCCGCAAGCAACAGGTGTACTTACGCAGGCTGCCCCGCCTGGCTCAGGTCGTCCGGATGTTAACCCCCCGGGGGCGAACCAGGTCTCGGGTTCACCTTCAGGACCTTCACGTTTGAGCCCGAGCACCGTTGTTATAGCCGGTGCGGATGGGTTGCGGAACGCCGTCGGGGCAATATATGGAGCGGCTATCATTATCTTCTCAGTCGGACTTATGTTTGTCTAGATTTCCAGGTTGATTCTTTCCTATGTTCTCTTCGTCTGTAAACATATTTCTACTTTATTCTTTGTCGCGCAAAAATGACGCCATCAGTTGCAGCAGCACAACTAACGCCTTATATCACATCGTGACACACCTCCCCCAGATCACAGGTAGCCCCACTTATATGGATCTACTCTAGGAAGGAAGCCTCTACAGCCCCCTAAAGGTACGCATTCCCCTAGGGCAGATACTGCCACAACTCTTGTCAACCTTCTAATTAGGTACATCTTGCTAAAGTCTAGGTAGTTGCCGTTTATCCAGGGTAGAGTATTTACAACCTATCCCTAGCCTTAACAGGATTTAAACCTGTAAGGTCTATAAAGCTTAGTCGCTAGCTTAAGGGCTATACTGTTAAGGCATATAGTGCAAACTAGGCTTACAACTATTATATAAAAACAATACTGTTAGTTGTAGTAGTACAACCAACGCCTTATATTACATTATGGTATTCTTCTAATTTTAATATTAGTAATAACCCTATTTTTACACCGCCATTCAGTTCCCGTGGCTCAAGCAACCCCTACCTATTAAATCGATAATTAGTAACGTGCTGCATTGGCCCGATTGGACGTTTCACGCCCAGCACATTGAGTTGATTGGGGAGCCCTATATCTCAGCTCTGGATCATGTTCCTGACTCAAAAGAAGAACCCCCCCTCCCCCCCTTGTCGTTTAAAGCTATCGGCAGAAAAAAAAGAGTCAATGTGACCTGACTTGGCTTACTTCACAATATATGCAATCTCGAAACATTTCATTTTTCCAGAGACCCGTTGACGAAGGGGGTTGGTCAACATGCGAACCAGGGTCCTGACGAATTGTCGATCCTAACTAAGGGTTAACGACTGGAATTTTGAATGCGGTTTTACAAGGGTTGGTGGGCTAATCTTTCCCATTTCACCTGTGGAGCGGCAAGACGTGCCGAGATTGGGTGCAATATCGGCGCTGACTTGGACGTCGAGCGCTCGAGCTTCTCCGTGGCATGTAACAACGTGGTCCCAATTAAAAACACACCGCAACTTACTCTCAAAACACGCCGGATGAAGAGCCGCCTCGCCGTCTCACTCAGCCTCCATGCACGCTCGATAACGCCGACCAGCCGCCCAGCAAGCCTCGACGACGCCATAATGCCCTCCATCCTCGCCACGGCGGTCCAGTCATCACTACTCAAGGGCACCGCAAACCTCACGGCGCAGATCGTCAACCAGCACAGACAGGCTGCCGGCGGCGGCCCCCCGCTCGACGTGCGCCGCGTGCTCGAGTTCGCCACCTTCGGCTTCATCCAGGGCCACATCAACTACTGGTGGCAGCACTTCCTCGAGGACAGGTTCCCCAACGCCGCCAGGGGCCGCGGCAGGAAGGCCTCCATCGTCGAGCCCAAGGTCGAGAAGCCCGACAAGCCGCCGTCCAAGAGCTACGTCAACGTCGCCCGCAAGATCCTGGTCGACCAGACCATTGGCCTTTTCATGATGAACTCGGCTTTTCTCGTCATCACGTCCGCCCTGCGTCTCGGCTTGTCGCCCTTGGTCTACCAGATCTGGAGGGAAAGGATCTTCGATCTGGTCAAGGCCGCCTGGAAGTTCTGGCCGCTGGTGGCCCTGTTCAACTTTGCGCTGGTGCCTGTAGGGTATAGGGCCCTGGTTGGTATGTGTGTTGGATTCCTATGGAACATGTTCCTCACCTTTTTTCTTTTGTAAGGTTGCAAGCTGGCGGGCTCCTATTTGTATCCATGGTTGCATCACAGCACGGCGTTGTTGGCTGGATTTCTGGAATGGTTGGTCGGCCCATGTATTCTAGCCTGGTGGGCCTTGTAAAGTGGAAGGGGGCTGTATACGGAGCAATGTTCGCCAAAACCCGATGCGACTCTCCATAGCTGGTCTTGAACGGGTTTTTTTTTTTCTCTCTCTCTCCCTGACTCGCCGAGTTCACGTCTTCTGACCATTTCGTCGCTTGACCTTCCCGTAAGTTGATGATGTCGTGCACCTGGTCAGGGTACAGAGCAATGTTCATACAGACAGTTTCCGTAGTTACTAGGTTTTTGACGAGGAGTTTATTGACGTAGGCATGGAACCTTAAAAGGCATCGCGTGTCCTTCCACCTTTTCGTAATTGCGCCTAGGAAAAAATGACACGGGACACCAGGGAGTTGAAAGCTTCCACCATGGTCCGGGGGAGGAGAGGTTTCGAGAGAGTACTCCGTAACATAACCGACTATCCCCTTTGAATAGCACGCCAGTGCTTGACACTAGTCAAGTTTGTCACCGCAATCTTCAACATTGAGTCAGTTGATGCGGGGGACGTATCACAAGAAACTCCACTGTTCTGTGGATATTCAAGTGATAACGAACGGTCTATTACACGGCTGAGCCATGTTAAGATGGCTTCTCGAATAAAATTAAACAAAATAAAAGAATGTTCCGCTGTACGCCACAGTAAGGAAGCCATGCATTGACGCAGACACGACCTGTACGACCCCGCCCAGAGCCGCTGCCACTTGACGGACATGGCGAAGACGGCCGGCTGCCCGGGAGATTTGATCGGCTGCTGCCGGACCGTGATCGGCTTCCCCTGTCGTACAGGGTCCTGCGGGGCAACCTCGCGCGGTAATACTCGTTGAATGTACGGAGTATGCCCCCGCCATATCCAAAAATAAATGTCTTGCGCAGAAGCATTCCGTTTCCGGGCACGGGTAGAATACCGGTGCGATTTGGTCGGCGGCCGGTGAGTTAAGCCTATTTCAGAATACATTATGTTAGCGCCAGCAAAAACAATATTCCAACCTAACTGACTAATGAGAAGGCTAGGATTTAGAAAGTTACGTAAAGTTAAACTCTTCAGATTTAAGCGATTTAAAGTTAAGGCAAAATAGAGGTAACAACAGTAGCACTAACGGCCTTAGTGGCACTAATTGCTAGCCAAGTTGCTGTTGCTGCTTAGTCTTGAGCCGCTATTGCTCTTTGAAGGTTAGATATGAGGGCTTAATCGTATGCATTGTAGGCGTCTGTTGGCGATGGTGGACTTATGGCAAAAAGGGCGTTTTTTGCATGGGTTATGGACGTGGGCGGTGGTGGCAGTGGCAGTGGTAGCAGTGCCTTCTAAAATAGGCTTAACTCACTGGCCGCCGACCAAATTGCACCGGTATTCTACCCGTGCCCCTGTTTCCTTGAGAATTCTTGCGCTGCCATTAAACCCCTCATAGATTGTGTCTTCACTGTCGTGTAAAGAGTCTAAAAGCCCCCACGTCGGTCTCTGGTGCGCCGCACCGTCCATATCGGACTCATAATTGAAGTAATTATACATGTGGTTTTGCGTGTAGCCATCGGTACACCACATGACTTATGTAAGTAACATCAAACAGAGCCAACCTATGAGGTATAACACAGCTAGTATTTCATCAAGATTTGTATTGTATTACTATTAGGAAATTAGGAAATTAGGAAATGATATCACTTCTAGTCGTGTTCTACTGTGACGGTCTTCGTTTGTAATATCCATGTCGCGTTTTCGCCCAGATTTTCCGAGCTCTCTCCGCCAGTCGCGACAACGACAGATGTAAATCTGCCATCTTCCCCCCGCTTGGTAACCATCTTGAACGAAGGCATCTCACTATCATCGGTGAACTGCTCATATTCCTTCTTCTGACGAGTCTTCATGGTGCTTGCGCGCTGGTTTGTTGTGCATGCCGAGACATTGTACTTGTTGAGGGCATAGGACGAAGGACTCGATAGGGTACCCACGACCTTGGGCGCAAAGTGTTGGAAGAATTTTCGCAGGGTCGGCATCGAGCCGCAAATGACAAACAGGTTGGCCTCGATAAACCTGTGGGAATAAGGCATCAGATTGACTGTTGAGCATCCCCAGTCCATGGCGGGTAACTTACGTCCAAATATTCGCAGGAGCAGCATCCCACGACGGGTCCGTACTCTTTAATAGAGGGGGGAGATAGTATAAACGAACGACGGATGTGGCGACGGTCCTGCACCCGATGTCAGAATCGCGATAGCTGCTTGGGACGATGCAATTTGCCAACTTACATTGAGCCGATGGCGAAAATGATGGCAGCGCCAATCTTCAGCCCCATCTTCAACCGCAGGCTAAAGAGTGTGGGCATAGGCAAGATAAACAGCGCGAGGTCGGTGATGATGTTTGATACTGCTGTCGCTATGTAGAGAACCCCGCTATCTAGGCAGGTCCCTCCGGTGATTTTCAAGTCGAAGGCTTTCCTGATGGGGCTGCAATGGAATAACATCAGGGTGGTGATGCATCCCGTATAAAGGCATACGACCACGATGCCTATCCACACCGAAATTCGAAACCACCGTTGCGGCGATAGACGAAGGTAAAACGTCAACAGAGACAACTTTGTAAATCCGTTACACAGCATGAAGACCGGGGCCGTTATGTAGGTGGTCTTGCTCACGTCAGCGTCACGCACGATGGTCGCAAGACGGGAGGAGAAACTTACAAGAGCATAGCGCTCGAATCTGGACAGAGGCATCTCCCAAGCATGAGCACACATACCACCATCGATGATGGACGCTGTGGAAGTCACGTCAGCTTCAGCAACCAACAATACGCATTCTGACGAGTACTCACCGACCAGCATTCCTTGTGTCACCATAGAAGCAGCCTGAGCGACTCCAAGTCAGCCACAACCTAGATACCAAGATACTGGATTGAAACAAATATCAATGCGAGTCTTACCCATCCGAGTGTCATGAAGACTACAGAGTTTGGTCAGCCAACTTCTAAAACACATATCGGCTCAGTGGTAGCTCAACAGCACACATACCATCGTCGACTTGCAAGCCTTTCGACAGAACGATCTTGGTATAAAACCTCTGGCACATCGCAACAAAGGCGAGGGTTCCGCCTATGCCGAAGATAAGGTAGTGCTCCAACACCTTTTGCTGCCGAGGGTGATCAAAGTTCACCTCAACGCCCGGTGGCGCGGGAATCACGGATACCTCAGACATGGTGATAAAAGTTGGACTCTCTGATTGAGGGGCTCGGTGACTGAGGAAAGCAAGGGTATCGATGAAAGATGAGAGGGAAGACTTGGCCGTATATACGTCGATCTCATACCCTGAAGCTTCTCGTTGACCGTCTCGGTGTCTGCGTTCGTCGTCTCCTGAGAATTGGCCCGGTGAACGATGCATAAAATCCGCCCTGATTGCGTTCTTCGAAAATAAACAACGTCCGACAAGAAGGGGTCTTCGTGGACACGTTAGCAGGCGCGGGTTAATACACAATAGCATCGGACGCCCCGAAACCGAGTTCCGCAATGCTCTGCGTGTTCCCCGCACCAATTGCGACTCACGCGTGGGCGCCGTTCTTCCGTTCGGAGTCGGGTGTGTCTCCAGGGCTTGCACCGCGTTCAAAACCTCTGGTCCGAGCCCTTGACAGTGCCTCGCTGCCATAGGTCGTGTGTTCGGACTGGGATGGCTGGTCTACGGTGCTGGCAGGCTCTGCCCAGCAAAAGATGAAGCGGCCGCCATTAGGGGTCATCGTGCTCGAAAGAATCAGCGAGCCGGCATGTGGAGAGCCCAGTAGAGCGGAGGAAGAAAGCTATGTGTCCAGTTGCAGAAACCAATCGAGGACCCTGAAAACTCTGCCAAGACGTGAGCGAGTCAAGGACGCCACGGCTTTGCGCTAGGCTGCGATTCAGATTTCGAGCCGCAGCTGTGTTGTTTAACATTTGATCGGTCCCGCAAGCAAGGTGTGCTGAGTAGTATGAGTGTGCATTCTCTCGCAGGTAGTATCATAGCCATTTGATGGCACCCCATTGTGTAGAGACGCTCAACAGGAATATCTCATCAACATGTGGTTTTTTTTTTTTTTTTTTTTTGCAATTGTCCGAGTCAGCGGGAGCTATCAAGTACAGTTGTAGTCTAAGAATGCTTGGGTCATTCCTCGGACTTTTCCATGACCATGACTCGTTCCCATGGGCCTGGTCAAATCAGATGCCTCCGCGGCATACCAGTCCAAAGTAATGGGAGATGAGCTCTTCGGAATTGGCGATCGCGGACAAGTAGGGAAGCCTAATACGTGGCCCACTTATAAGCGCGGTAGACAAGAATCACGGCACATCCATTGATTGGGATTGTTGGCCTTGACGATATTTACCATCTACAACTACAGATCTGCTAGCCAGGGGCACACCTGACCTATCAGAACCTCCAGTTTACGCCCTCGTTGCGGAGCGAATCGAGAAGACAGCCCCTCTCCGGCTACCCAGTATAGATGTGAGGTTGCAAGGTGCTTAGCCTCGGTCAGAGGGGTTTTGTGTGGGAAGTCTTTTGCGGTGTGCGCAGTATCATCCAAGCCACCGAGCTAGATACGCCAGCCACGAAGATGATTCGTTATTGTCAAGGAATGAAACATGGTCACCGAATTTGCAAGTGTTTCAACATTCGATATATTCCCGAAAGGAAGTAAACGTACAAGACTTTTGGATAAAGTCTCTCGGCGTGGGAGCCGGTTCCCCGAGGGATGACCGACAAGGAGACCCAGGGTCTCGGGAGCGGCGAGAGCCGGGACTCCCTTGCTTCGATAATGCAAGTAAATTTTGCCGGTTGAGAGAGACATACACGCCCGATCCGCAGATCCATCACGGATTGTTATCTCTGGGGGCCGCACACAATGATACTCTGAAGCTGAAAGTTGCATTGAGCTAATTACACTAGTCCATGCTGATCCTCCAAATATTCCGACTGGATAGGAGACTCACGTTGTTTAAGCAGCTGCGGAGGCGGAGTAGCCTGAGTGTGAAGTGATAGGCGACATAATTAAGTCATAGCAGGAGGAATTTAGCCACGTGAATTTGATGAGCTGAAAAGTATGTAGCCAGGACGTTCCCTCCGCCAAGCCGTCCAATTCCATGATTAGCATCACGTAGGTTTTCGCTCTATCCCTCTTGGTCTATATTCCAGTCTCGCGCGTGGGAGGTCCTACACACAGACCGGAAAGTTGGAAACCCTTTGTAGCCATGATGCTCTTTTCAAGTGTGTCGATCTTGGCCTTGGCCCTTTCAAGCATACCGACAGTTGCAGCAAGAACACGGGATCCTCGTTATGTCTGCGTTCGTCAATGCCGCTCCCCTCACTGGTAACGATAGCTGCTAATGTCCAACACAGTGCTCAGCCTTGGCGAAAGAAAAAGAGCTCGAGGGCAAAGTGTTTTCACACCAAGACCCTTTCTACGACAGACGGCTCGGGACCTACTACTCTGCCAACGCTGCTCAGGCGCCCTGGTGTATGGTGCTTCCGAAAGCCACTTCGGATGTGTCGAGAATTGCACAAGTTCTCGAAAGAAACAACTGCCCCTTCGGCATGCGCAGCGGTGCTCACTCGGCCTTCAGCGGCTCCAACGGCGTCAAGGATGGCGTCACCGTTGACTTTGGTACGGACCACTTACAGTCCACTATCCAACAGTACATAGAAGACAGCTGCTGACTACTCACTTGTTAGGCCACATGAACAGTACTACATACAACAAAAAGACAAAGATAGCATCAATAGGGCCTGGCGCAGACTGGGGCAGTGTTTACACCGCCCTCGAACCTTATGGCGTCTCTGCCGTAGGCGGCAGAGCGTCTGTCGTCGGCGTTGCAGGCTTCACCACTGGTGGTGGCGTGAGTTTTGAACCCCATTCCTTCCATTCCGTTTTCCTCCCTCTACATCATGTCAACAGAACAGTCGATATAACAGTCTATGTGACATGACTGCTTCAGGCTCTCCGTTAAGGGTTAAGTTTCATTCACTGACGATATATACTTTACAGTACTCATTTCACACCAACTCCGCGGGTTGGGCCTGTGACAATGTCGCCAACTTCGAGGTTGTTCTCTACAACGGCCACGTCGTAAATGCGAATTCGAAGGATAATGCGAACCTCTGGAAGGCGCTAAAGGGAGGCTCCGGGAACTTTGGCTTCGTCACCAGGATCGATCAGCGTGAGTCCCACCAATCAATCTCAATGCCTTTCCATAGGTTGCAAGTTTGATGTTCTAACATTCAGAGATGCAGACACTGTCAAGGGGAACCAAATGTGGGGGGGGTTCGTCGGCTACGACCAGAGCAAAAGAGACGCTGTCTTCAAGGCCTACCTCAACTTCGCCCACAACATGGACAAGGATCCCTACAGCCAAAATATCGTGGCATTGACATACGATAAGACTGGATTCAACTTGAGGTCCATCCTGTCCAACGTCCAAGCCAAGACAGATGCTCCCGCCTTCAGCGAGTACTTCTCCATTGCCAACACCTCCAGCACCCTCAAGGTCGGATCAATCGCCGACCTTGTTCCGCAGTTCACTGGCCCTACTCCCTTGGGACTGTAGTACGTAGAGCAACTCATCATGCGTGTTGTGATATCATGCTGATCATTACTTTAGCGCCAACTGGATGGTCGGCCAAACAGCCAGCGATTTTCGCATAATGGACTTCATTGACAAGAAGCACAAGGAGTACACTCGGAAAATGGCCGCCGCCGCCCCGGGCTCCGATTTCGATGTTCTCGTCCAGTTCCAGCCGGTCACCAAATCCATCGTCGAGCACGGCCTCAAGAACGGCGGCAACTCCATGGGCCTAGAAGACGTCGTCGCCGATGGTCCCAGTCTTATGTGGCTCATTGCCTTGACGGTTGATACCATAGAGAACCAGAGGGTCATTCTCCCCCTGGCCCTCGAATACCGAGAAGCGATTGACAACTATGCGAAGTCGCTCGGGTTGTACAAAGACTGGAGATATCTCAACTATGCCTGGAAAGACCAACAACCACTCTCATCTCACGGCAAGCAAACCGTCAAGTTCCTTAGGTCCGTTTCAGAGGCGTATGACCCCCATGGCGTTTTCCAAAACCTGCGGAAGACAGGCTTCAAACTCCGTGGTTAGGATTGAGCGTTAAGCACGGCATAGAAGCGTGATTTTATAGTTAATATTTCTAATGTAATCATAATACCCTACATTATTCGCTTCCATAAGGACTCGTGGATTGTTGCCACGATTGCACCGACATTCAACTCAAGCTTCAGTCTTGAAAACTTCTGTGTCGAAGCCTGCTGATGTTGTCTTCTGTATTTTCACTTGATCGATTAGGTCTTCTACGTTTCTCAAAACCCTGTGTACTCTTTATAGCCAGGTCCAACTAGTAGCCTTATCTCACCAGAGTGTCTTTCCACCGCTTACATGGCTTGGTCCTGGTCGATATCCCAAAGAGGCCGGCTTTCTACAGCTCTTCCATCAGTGAGAACAACATTCTAAAAGATGCACACTCAGTTAGACTTGAATATTAGTGGCCTCGGGCTGCTTCAGTTTGCCGAGTTTTTTGGCAAAGATACCCGTTACTTACATGCTCTTTTGTTTGTGTACAAAATGTAGTCAGTCCCGCCATACTTGGTTGGTAGGACTCAGTGGACAAAGTCCAGCAGCGTATGCCTAGTCAAACGATCATCTCACCCCCACACCTTGCTGGGTACAGATAAGCAGTCGTGGGGTCAAGCTTCTCCCCGCTTTCGACAGTTCGCAGCCTTTATCCGTTCTCCCATCTGGTCTAACCCAACCAAAGAAACATTTAAGAGGGAAAATACCATGTCGGAAACAAAGTCGGTCGCTATTGTCGGTGGTGCGTGGACATCCCCGACTTTAATCCTTGTTATATAGCTGATCGTCTTGTTAGCGGGCATCTTCGGCCTGTCTCTAGCGGTTGCTCTGAGCAAGCGGCGTAAGTATGACCCGTCGCCGTTGACGTATTGTAAAACTAATGAGACGCCATAGAATATAGAGTGACAGTGTTTGACAGATACCGCTACGACGAGACAAACTACGCTCCTGATCTGGACGGCAGTACTCAGGCTGCCTCCGTCGATCACAACAAGATTGTGAGTCTCCTCAAATTCGAAGCCGGAATTTGGTGGTCAGCTCACGAGACACGCAGTTTCGAGCTTCGTATGGGACCAAGCTCCATTATCAACGCCTCGCGATGGAAAGCCGGGCTGCCTGGGAGAAGGTCAATGAGCAACGTCACCGTGAAGAAGATGAGAGCCAACGGTCGAACCTCTTCGTCGGGTGCGGCATGCTCCGCGTACAGCCTACGGCCAGTCTTGACCCCCTTGAGCGCGAGACCTTGAGCAACTTCGAGCGAGAGTGCTTGAGGCACACCCAGTTCGTCAAGAGCGACTCGGCTGATCGCAAGCAATCCGCCGAGCGTGGCTGGGACGCGAAGCTTCTGGACTTCGAAATCCCGGCATCTTCGCCCGCGCGGACGTACGAGGCCGTCCTCGACTCCCTTGCCGGGTTCACAAAATGCAGCGAGGCGTGCGACTATTTCTACGCGCTGGCCCTTCGCCAGGGTGTCACGTTTAATTTTGGTCCCGAAAAGGGTGCATTGGACAGTCTCATCGAGAAGAACCTGTCAACGGCGGGCCAAAAGAAAGCCGTTGGAGTGAAGACAAAGGACGGGACTTCTCACAAGGCCGATCTCGTGGTTATCGCTGGTAGGAATGAGCCCGGTTCCAGAACTCCCTGGAGCTCGTGATGCTGAGCGGAACTAGCTGGATCTTTTACTACACAGCTTTTACCTGAGCTGTCTTACCATCTTGAGTCCTCGGCAGGCAGCGTGGTCACCTTCAAGGTCGACAAGACCGATACGGCTCTGTGGGACAAGTATTCCCCTGAGCGCTTCCCGGTCGTTACGTGGACAAGCGCCCCGCGTAACGCGATCGGAAAAGACTCGGGCAGCGTGTACGTCCTGCCCAGGACAGCCGACGGTTTGATCAAAATCGGGTTCCGTGGCATCAAGGTCTCTTTTTATTTTTCTTCTTCTTTTTTATTTTTATTCTCACGAGGGCTGCAACTAATGCAAACTCCCAGTTTACCAACTTTCAACCAGCCCCTTCCGGGGCATCCTTCAACCAAGACGGGAAGTGGTCGGTTCCCCTGCCACCGGCAGACTGTCGCATAGTCCCCGAGCCAGCCAGGGAGGCCATCAGAAACTTCGTTTCGATTTTCCTCCCAGAGTTTGCTGGGGTGGACTTCAACTCGACCAAGCTATGCTGGTATACCGACTCGCTGGACAACTCGTTTGTTGTATGATGGTCCCAGAACACCCACTTCCCGCTCCTTAGCATCGACAGCTGATCCTTTCAGATCGACTACGTGCCCACCTACGCTGATAAAACCGTTTTCGTGGCAACAGGGGGCAGTGGCCACGGTGCCAAGTTCCTCCCCGTTCTTGGCGAGGTGGGTTGAAACGCTTCTGTGGTCTCGGCTTCTGATTGACACTCCTCACAGCATGCGGCCGACATCTTGCAGTATGAAGACCAGAGCACGTCTTTCATGCGACCTCATTGGCGTTGGCGGGAGGGTGATCGGAGAGGCAATGGTCTTGAAGAGGGACCTAGTGGGCCTAGGAATATTGGAACATTCAAGACATCAGCTTAAAATCATCGAGGCAATTCTTACCTCATGTATTTCTCTATTATCGATCCACGTGAGGCGCTCTTATATACTTTGTCCTCGCCCCGAGCTATTAGACAAAGAAGGGGCGATACGGGCAGAGATGATGGCCCTCGTCATCCGGTTCTTTCTCGCCTGGCAGAGTCGCCAAAGTCAGCTGATACTGGAGAAGAGCGAAAGTAGCGACGAGGAGGTATTAGACATAGTTGACGGAGGAGCATTTGACAAAGGAACATTTGGCGAAGGAATATGTATTCAAGACGAAGACGCGATCACACGGATAAGCAGAATCTCGCGTTTATCTATCCTCTAAGGTATCGTTACTGGCTGAGCTTTGTGGCATGGAGAAGGCGGTAGGACCGTTCTGACATGAGACGATACCTGAAGAGGCAGACCAGGTGGAAAGAATGGAGTGTTTGGAAGCACGGTTTTACTATTTCCTAGGATAAGCACAGCTGGACCTCTTCATTGGCGCAATCCCTCTTAGACACGCCCAGGCTCATGCTTGTTCATCGCCGCCTGAAGCTCCACCACTTCGAGCTTTTGCCAGACTCAGACTCTGAGACCTCGTTCACCTGGGCGATGCCCTCCTCCTTGAAGAAACCCGAAGTGATGGCCGCATCGCTCGGCGTCACTCCCAGCTTGGCCGCCTCACTCGCCGTGAACGTCCCGTACTTGTCGTCTTCGTCGATCTCGCCGAGATGCGCGACCGGGAACGCGAGGTTCGCGAGATAGAAGAGTACGAACGAGACGAGGAACCCGATGAAGAAGGCGACGTAGTACAGCTCGTAGAGCGCGTCGGGGGCGCTGTCGTCTTTCCCCGCGCTCGCGATCAGGCCGCCGATGGTGGGCGCCCAGCCCGCGACCCAGCAGGGTATCACCCTCCAGTTGACGCCGTGCCAGTACCAGTAGTCGGAGCCGTCCGGGTGGAAGAGGTGCGACAGCTTGATCCTCTGGCGGCGGAGGATGAAGTAGTCGCAGACCATGACGCCCATGATGGGCGCGAGGAAGACGGCGAACGAGTTGAGGACGGCGACGAAGGTGGCGGCCTGGTTGATCAGCTGCCAGGGCTGGATGACCCACGCGGCGAAGAAGGTGATGAGCGCGCCGCGGCGGATGTCGATGTAGCGCGGGAAGAGGCCGGCGAGGTCGATGCCGCCGGCGACGGCGTTGGAGCAGACGTTTTCGAACATGGAGGTGAAGGCGAAGGCGAGGGCGAGGAAGAAGACGGCGGCGCGAGACGCCGAGGAACCGTGTCCGTCTGATGGAGTCGCGAAATCAGTTTTCCGGCTTTTTATACGTGAAAGGGGAGGGGGGGGGGGGGGGGGGGAGGAAAAGCGTACGATCCATCATGACCATTAGCAAGTCCGGCGGGTTCCAATAGATGTGCCCGTAGATCTTCTGGCAAGCTGCGGTGGTCACCAGACCCCCCAAACAGACGAGAACCCCGGTGATCCAGTAGACCGACACAGTGCCGATGATGTAGTCCCTCTTGTTCTTGGCGTACCGCGAAAAGTCGCTGCTGTTCGTCATGCCCGCGGCCTTTCCCCCGATGGCCTGGTTGATGCCCGCCATCATGAGCCAGGAGGCGCTCCACCGCGAGCTGGAGGAAACGCTCTGGCCCTGGTAAAAGACCGGACCGACGCCCCCCGCGGCCGCCAGTGACCAGACGAGCAGGGCGACCATGCCCACGCCGCATGCGACGGAGGACACGAAGAAGGGCTTCTTGAACCTTTCGGGTCGGATGAAGAGGAACGGGACAGAAACGAGCCAAAAGACGATGAAGCCGACCATCTCGTAGGTGGTCGTTGGCGTGCTGGCGCTGAGAGTGTTGGGTATCTCGGCGAAGGACGGCCAGATGGCTGTGATGCACACCCTGGTGGTATCGTCAATGGTTGCCGGGGCCTGACCAGGCGGGAAGAACATGTACTCACGTCACCAACTTACCTCCGTTCCAGCCTGCTCAACTAGTCAGCACGGGATAACCGTCCAACCCGGAAATGAAATAAAAGAGACTCACACTGGAGAGCGGTCCAGATAAAGTTGAGCAGGATGCGCTGCAGCAACGGGATGTAGCTCGCGCGGAATCCCCAGGTGTATCTGTTCTGGACGGTGAAGCCGATGTGCCACGTCAGACCGCACCAAGCGACGAAAACGGCGAAGAGACAGCAGAGCGCCCGAGAGACGACAATCACGGCCATGGCCTGGCCGACCGAGAGCCCCTGGGCCAAGAAGGTGTTGGGCGTTTGCCATGTTGCCACATTCAGGGAAGACCTAGCATGGTAGAGTAAGCCGGTTGGGTTTCCGTTCTGTTTACGATCCGTGTCATTGGAGAAACAGAAAAAGAAAAAGGAAAAAAAAAGAAGAAGAAAACCACTCACAGCGACCAGGAACCGAAGAAGTTGAACCAGCCCCAGGTGCGTCGGGACGGCGGCAGCGGGATGAGGTCGCGATTCGACCAGGCGCTGACCTCCTCGTGGCGGGACTCGTCAAAGTCGAGCGTCGCCGCCTCTCTGATCCTGCGAACGGTTTCCTGCGCCATTGCTCACGGGAATGGGCTCAACGGGTCGGCCTGCCGATGGAGAGGGGGGACATGGCGAGAACCAGGTGCATTGGCTCTCCGCCAGAGGTTACCGTACATCTGATATAGAACTGCTCCATCTTATCTCCCAGTACTCGCCATCTGCTAAAGCTCCCTGCCACGCCCGCCAGTCTTCCGAAATGCTTGCTCTCGACACTAGGGAAAGCAGTCTTGGCAGGGTTCTTATCGTACAAGGGCAGATTGCTTTTTCGGTAGCGATTTCCCGGGGAAGCAGCCTCTATCCGGGGTTTGGTTGGGTAAACGAGCCTGGGAACTGGCAGACCCCTCCCCCCCCTCGCCCCGAGGATCGGATCTCTTCTCCCACCAGTTTGCTCCCTCGAGAGAGAACCTGATGCAATCTGAGATCCCGGTCGATATCCTCCCGATGCCGATGATAACGATGTGGATGCGGTCGAGTGGGGTCTGTCTCCGCCGGTGACATGCCCGTGATAAGAGGGCAGATGGACCACTTGCAGTCTACCCTGCTACTTGTGACTAGGCAGGCTTCCGTCCGTGACGAATCAACGGCAGCGATTGCCTCCGTTTCGGTCTAGTTAAGTAGAAGATAGGAATAAGACCGGTCGCGGGTTTGACCCCGGGTTTGGCTCGGATGTCGGCCGTTGCCCGATGCCGGCGCCGTGTCGGAGAGCGACCGATAACACACCATGCGTGACTCGTCTCATTCGCTGGTGAGTGAGATGTCATCGTCGTGAGTTCTATGCTCTCATAGTCCGCGACTTCGAAGTCGTGATATTCCATCTCGGCTCACAAAAGTTCGACATAAAAATTAGATAATAAAACAAAAAGCTTCAGAAAGAGGGCAACGCAACTCCCCTTCAGAGGCAAGAAAATGGTCTCACCTATTCTGAAGATCGGGGTTGACGTGGGCGGGTACGTTTCGAACCCCCCCCCCGCCCCCAAACTGAAGAAAGCCTTCATCATTCTATAAGACAACCGTACTCACGAACCCCCAAAGCACGAACACGGACGGCGTCATCCTCGACCCGACGGCCTCCACGTCCCCGGGCCGCGGCATCCTCGCCGCCCACAAGGCCAGCACGACCGCCGACCCCAGCGACGGCATCGCCGCCGTCATCGCCCGGCTGCTCCGGGACTCGTCCGCCGACCCGGCGGGCGTCGCCAGCGTCACGATCGGCACGACGCACTTCGTCAACGCCGTCGTCGAGGGCGACGCCACGCGCCTCGCCCGCGTCGCCGTCGTGCGCCTCTGCGGGCCCTTCTCGGCCGACATCCCCGCCGGCGTCGACTGGCCCCCGCGCCTGCGGGCCGTCGTCTGCGCCCACCGCGGGCTCGTCGGCGGCGGGCTCGAGATCGACGGGGACCTCATCGCCGAGCTCGACGAGGACGCCGTGCGGCGCGAGGCCGAGGCCATCAGGGCCAAGGGCATCCGCAGCGTCGTCGTCGCGGGCATCTTCAGCCCCGTCGACGTCGTGCACAGGCAGGAGGAGCGCGCGGCCGACATCGTCCGCGCCGTCCACCCGGCCGCCGACGTCGTCCTGTCCAAGGACGTGGCCCACATCGGCTTCCTCGAGCGCGAGAACGCCGCGATCCTCAACGCCTCCATCCTCCCCTTCGCCCGGCGCACGATCCGCGCCTTCCGGCGCGCCGTCGCCCGCCTCGGCCTGACGTGCCCCGTCTTCGTCACCCAGAACGACGGGACGGTCCTCCCCGCGGCCGCCGCGGCGAGGCTGCCCATCCGGACGTTCTCGAGCGGCCCGACGAACAGCATGCGCGGCGCGGCGTTCCTGACGAGGAACCTCGGCGGGGGGGAGGAGGAGGCGATGATGGTCGTGGACATTGGGGGGACGACGACGGACGTCGGGCTGCTGCTGGCGAACGGGTTCCCGAGGCAGGCGGCGGCGTATAGCGAGGTGGCGGGGGTGAGGACGAACTTTTCGTGTCCCGACGTGAAGAGCATCGGGCTCGGAGGCGGGTCCATCGTTCGAAAAGGGGCGGACGGCGGCGGCCTGGTGATCGGGCCGCAGAGCGTCGGGTACCGGATCCGGCAAAAGGCGTTGGTGTTTGGCGGCGACGTCGCCACGACGACGGACTACACCGTGCTGGCGGATCCCGGGGCGGACATCGGAGACCGGGCCCTGGCAGAGCGGGCCGGTCTTCGGGACGACCTCCCCGAGTTCAAGGCCAAGGTCAGGACGATGCTCGAGCGCATAATCGACACGATGAAGACGTCCCCGGAGGACATCCCCGTCGTGCTGGTTGGGGGCGGCGCGGTGATCGCGCCGGATGCGCTGACCGGGGCGAGCAGGGTGATCAAGCCGGAGTGGGCCGGCGTCGCGAACGCCATCGGCGCCGCGACGGCCAGGGTCGGCGGCGTGGTGGACTCGATCGAGAGCACGGAGACCAAGAGCTCGGCGGAGGTCATCGAAGAGTTGTCGCAGAGGGCCGTGGACAAAGCGGTCGAGAACGGGGCCTCGAGAGAATCCGTCACCGTTGCGGAAATCGAGAACTTCCCGCTCCAGGTAACGTGGTCTATTCCGTCGCGGCCCGCGGGCATGTAGCTGACGCGGGCGCCCAGTATATCGCCAACAAGGCGCGCATAATCGTCAAAGCCGTGGGCGACTTTGATTTCTCCAGGACCGGAACCGCCGACGCAGATCCGATCCCCGATGTGGCTGGGGACGACACCGATGAGCCCAGCCTTGCTGGTGACAGGCAGATGATGAGCAGCAGCGACGACGGCGAGTCGCCATCCCTGTCAACAAGCTACTCGAAGACGTACATTGACGGCTACAGGCCGAAAGTCATTGACCGACAGTGGCATCTCTCCGAGACCGACCTCGACTGGATCACGATAGGTTGCTACATTCTCGGCACGGGCGGTGGCGGGTCGCCGTACCAGCACTCGCTCAGGCTCCGAGAGATGATGCGCGGCGCCGGGGCGACCGTCCGGATCGTCTCGCCGTTCGACCTGAAGGACGACGACATCGTGGCCTGCGGCGGCGGCAAGGGCTCCCCGCAGGTGTCGATCGAGAAGCCGTATGGCGACGAGTAGGTTCCCCTCGTTGTTCCTCCGCCCGGGATCCATCTGTCCGTTCGGGGCTGTCTAACGCGAGATGTTTCCGGGCAGAATCATGGAGTCGCAGAGGGAGCTCTACGCGTACCTCGGAACGAAACCCACGGCCGTCATCTCGCTCGAGATCGGCGGCGGCAACGGCCTCCAGGGCCTGATCCTCGGCGCGAGCACGAACCTCGACGTGCCGACCGTCGACGGAGACTGGATGGGCAGGGCGTACCCCATATCCCACCAGACCACGCCGGTGGTGTTCGAGAAGAAGGCGACGATGATTCCGTCGTGCATTTCGGACGGCAACGGCAGGATAATGGTGCGGTTCCCATCACCCCAGCCCGCACAATCTTTCCTTCGAAGGACGGGGGGGAAGGAGGAGCTCGATCGGAGTAGAAGACAAAGGAATCAGCTGACGGTTGACCGAAACAGCTCATGACGAAAGCCCGCACGGAGCTTGACGCCGAGCGGGCGTTCCGCGCCGCCCTCTCGCAGATGGGCTCGCACGTCGGCTGCGCCAAGGGCCCCGTCAGCGGGCGCGACGCAAAGTCGTGGGTCGTCGAGAACACGGTGTCGCTGTCCTGGCGCATCGGCCGCGCGGTCGCGCTGGCGCGGTGCACCAACACTATGGACGCCGTCGCCGAGGCGATCGTGGACCAGGTCGGCGGGGAGGAGTCGGCGCGGGTGCTCTTCCGAGGCAAGATCGTCGGCGTCGAGAGGGTCACGAGGGCCGGGCACGCGTACGGCGAGGTCGTCATCGAGAGCGGCGCGTCGTCCGGCGGGGCGAACGGCGGCGGCGGCGGAGAGGTTGAAGATCCCGTTCAAGAACGAGAACATTCTCGCCAAGAAGGTTCACGGCGACGGGACGGAGGAGGTAAGAGAGAGCAGAGCAGGCGGCCCCGATTCGGGGATTGTTCCTTGGCTAACGGCTCGTTGAAAGATTCTAACAATCGTGCCGGACCTCGTGTGCGTCATCGACGCTCAGAACGGCGAGGCCATCGGCACGCAGGAGTACCGGTACGGCCTGCTTGTGGTGGTGCTCGGTATCACGGCCTCGGAGAAGTGGACCTCGACGGCGCGGGGCATCGAGATCGGCGGGCCGAAGGGGTTCGGCATGGATGATCTGGAGTATGTTCCGCTCAGAAAGTTCAAGAAGCCCAGGAGCGTCATTGAAGAGTTTGGGGTTTAGACATGCGGGAGGTGTCATGGGTTTACGCGGCTGCTGCATGAGATGCTTCTGTGTATATCAGTGCATCCGTCGATGCGATCAATGAATACCCAAATTGGCCCTAGACGACAGCACAGGATTGCTTCGGACAAGGTTCAAGAGAGGAAGAAGGAAAGCCCCAACTGCCATGGGTAACGGCGAGATGCTGAGCTCGGCTACGCATATACTAGGTAGCATCGAAAGGCTCTATCTATACTGTAAGTAGTGTACACTAGGAGTGAAGCTGCATGCGTAGTGTGTATAGCAATCCTAACCGTTGCAGAATAGAGTGGTGGAGTCCAAGACACACCAGCGACATCCCTTACCGGGATGCGATTACGCCACTCCGACTAACCGCAAAAGGTAGTGAGTGTATCCGTATGGTACACCAACAAGTAATAGGTAGTTGTGTTGGGGGGGTGTCTCCAAGTCGTCGGTGGCAGAAGTCAGAGTTGAGCCCGGTACCGGCTTTTCCTCGTGCGGGAAGCATATCCGGAACATGGATATGAGGCGAGAAAAGGACGCAATTGCACAATCGAGCGTTATCTGTATTCATTCTTTACTCTTTTTCTGGAGAGGGCAGGGTGGGAAGAAGGGGGGAAAAAGTCAAACTCAACCCATGCCCCCTGGCCTCCAACGACACCATCAAGAGTGTAACTCCAACTCGGGAGCCAAGCCAGCTTTTGCGCACGCGCGAAAAGCAGCCGGCGGTGTCGGTGGTGCGGTGCGGTGCGGTGCGGCGCGGGGCAATCAATTATCGACCTCGCAAGTGAAATCAGATCGACGAACCCCACACCCATTTTGTCTCGCGTCATCGGACGACCATCGCGATATGGGTCCCTGAGCACGCCATCCGAAGCATCGAGCTCGCCAGCAGCCGTAACACAACCGGACACCCCCAAATCTCAATTCCCAATGGACCGGTTCGCCTGGCGTGATAAAGGCCGCAGGACCCCGGGGGCACAGCGTTGCAGACTATGAGAAAGTTTGAGCTCACACACACACAAACACACGTGTTAAATAGTGAGCGGTAGAACCAACTCCTTTCCAGACTGTCTTGCCTTACCTTCTCCAATTCTCATCTTTCAAGACAGCCAGCTACTGCATCCCGTCGTCGCTGATTCTTCTGCTTCGTCGTCTTCTGCGGCTTGTTCTTCCACTCCCCCCCCCCCTCATCGTGGCACCTCAAAAGACACCCAATTGATAACCCCCCAATAAACACACAACCATGGCGCCAGGAGCCCTCATCGACGAGCCCGTTCAGCCCGCTCAGGGCCCCTGGAAGGGCAAGAACGACAATGCTCCTAGGGATATCTTCCCCGACGGCATCCGCACTTCGGGCCAGCACAACCCCCTTTACGACGTGTTGCGCCCGTACGAAGAGTTCCCCAAGGAGATCTCGGGTCCGACCGTCTGGCACAAGGAAGAGTTTGAGCAGCACCCCGAGAAGTGGACGCACCGCTTCACTCCTGAGGAGGTTGAGGAGCTTGGTCGCACCTCCGACGCCTTCATCGCCAGCAATACGCCTCTGACGGGCATCTCCAAGGTATGCGTGTCTCCGGTTCCACGCGATCCCCCCAGCCCGACCCACGACTGACACTGGCACCACCGCAGGACAACTTCCCGCTCCCGACGCTGGGGAGGCGCCTCATCGACCTCCGCGAGGACCTCATCAACGGCAAGGGCTTCATTCTCTTCAAGGGGTTCCCCGCGCAGGAATGGGGCCCGCACAAGACGGCGGTCGGGTACATGGGCCTCGGCACGTATCTGGGCTATTTCGTGTCGCAGAACAGGCGTGGCCACGTGCTGGGCCACGTCAAGGATGTGGGCGACGACCCGACGCAGATCGACAAGGTGCGCATCTACCGCACGACGGCGCGCCAGTTCTTCCACGCCGACGACGGCGATCTCGTCGGGCTGCTCTGCGTCCACCGCGCGGCCGAGGGCGGCGAGAGCGACCTTGTCAGCATCCACGCCGTGTGGAACGAGCTGCAGCGGTCGCACCCGGACGTGGCCGAGCTTCTGACCAAGCCCGTCTGGTACTTTGACCGCAAGGGCGAGGTGTCGGAGGGCCAGGAAGAGTGGACACGCCAGCCCGTATTCTACATTGAGAACGGCGGCAAGGGGCGGGTGTACTGCAAGTGGGATCCGTACTACGTGCGCTCCCTGACGCGCTTCTCAGACAAGGGCATCATCCCGCCGCTGAGCGAGGCGCAGCTGCACGCGCTCGAGACGCTCGAGAACACGTGCCAGAAGCTGGCGCTGCACATGATTCTCGAGGTCGGCGACATCCAGTTCCTGAGCAACGCGCACTTGCTGCACGCCAGGACCGCGTACAAGGGTGAGTCTCCTCTCGTCTCGTAACCTCGTTGAATTCAAAAAGAATTCTCGACGTCTGCCGAGCCGGACCGAAGCAACAATCGCTGACTGTGAACCAGATTACCCTCCGCCGGCGCCTCGCCGCCACCTCCTCCGCCTCTGGTTGTCGACGCCGGAGACCGAGGGCGGGTGGGCGCTGCCGTTCCCTGACAGCAAGGAGCTGAAGCGCGGCGGCATCCAGGTCAACAACACGCCGCCTCGTGCGCCGTTGGACGCCGAGTAGGCGAGGAACTGAAGCGAGAAGCATGGTAAAAGAACTGGACGTTGTTATTATTTTGTTAGTCTTTGGGTGTCGTGTTTATATGAATAGCGCGTTAGATGAGGACGGGGGCAAACCACGCGAGCCGTTTAGCTCTTTCGAGATGGTGGCGCTTCCTTGTAAAGTCGGAATAGAAACGACGTTGCGTATAGTGTCGAACAGTGGGTTTGAATAGATAGATAGGCAACTCATAAACCAAACAAGTAAAAAAAGTCAAATAACAAGGACCTTGGTCGTAACGTGTGATACATGTCCCCACGGACGCTATGTGTGGCACGGCGAGCAACAGCGAAAGTGAGGCAATACCGTTGTATTGACGATAGTGGTGATTTGTTGCTGCCGAGAAGTGGGCTGCCCGAGGTGGGCAGAGACTGGCCAAAGGGAGGGAGGAGGTGGGTCACGTGACCCAGTGGGGTCCTCCGTCAACACTATGAGATGCTCCGAGACGACTTAAGAGAGAGACACCTCCACCTGACAGCTCTGTTATTCTCCGCAGTTGTAGCCCCTCCATATCGTGGGAAAGGCCATGTAATTGTCGACGTGCATGCGAGGAGGAGAGATTCGCCGTGTTGGAGCGACTGCGGTGAGTTTGGCGAAGTTAGGCGAAGTTTCCCGCGGGAAAACTGCTTTTCCGGGGGTTCTCCGTCGTTCCCCGCTTAGGACAGTCAGTTACCGTGGTTGGAAAGAACCCCCCGCCCCCCGCCAGAGGAAAGCATGCGACGCGGGGCAGGCCAGGCCCCAGGGAAAGAGAAGGGAGGGAAGGAAGTACCTAGACAATTAAAACCTCATCAAGTAAGTATTCTAATTACTAATGGAGTACCTTTTGGACTTAGCAACTTGCTGGAAAACACAAGTACTGCTCTAACCTTCAACACGCTGGAGGAGGTTCGAGATATGTGCTTCTCTGATTTATATCTAACGACCATGACCAAAACATTCGCGGTGCCGCTCCAATCTACCTACAAACCCAACTTATGGATCCAGACAACACAACCACGACAACACAGACAGACATGTCCTCAGATCAGCCCACAACCCCTATCGCCAGCCGACCCCGCGACCGTGTTGCAGATAACGGTGGACCGTTGGTCTAGAGAGTGTGTCTCCTTTACCCACTTGCCCGCCTTCAACCGCTCGAGTCAGCAACCCGAGCCTTGCCTTGGCCATCCGACGTCGCTGTCGTCAGCGTATCGCCAATGCCTTATTAAACGCGGCCTTGTTCGCTGTCTTGTCCTGTCTTGTCATGTCGTCTCTCGCCCAAGTCTTGGTTCTTCTTCGATAAACCCTCCCTTTTCAATAAAAGAAAAAGAAACCTCAGCAAAATCCCCTCCATCATGTCTCTCCTCCCCGAGCCCTTCGCGAGCATCCCTCGTGAAAGCTTCCTCTTTGGCCCCTCACCTGTCGAGCCCCTCCCCCGCATATCCGCTGCCCTCGGTGGCAAGGTCAACGTCTACGCCAAGCGCGAGGACTGCAACTCCGGCCTGGCCTACGGCGGCAACAAGACACGCAAACTCGAGTAAGACGTCCCTCTTCTCATCTTCCTCTTGCGTATTCAGTTATTAACATGACCAGATACCTCGCCTCCGACGCTCTCGCTCAAGGCTGCGACACTCTTGTCTCCATTGGTGGCGTGCAGTCCAACCACACGCGCCAGGTCACCGCCGTCGCCGCCAAGCTCGGCCTCAAGGCCGCCCTCGTCCAGGAGAAGTGGGTCGACTGGGAGGACGTCGTTTATGACAAGGTCGGCAACCTCCAGCTGTCGCGCCTCATGGGCGCTGACGTCCGTCTCGACCCCTCCCCCTTTGGCATCGAGCACAAGGACACCCTTGCCAACCTAAAGGCCGAGCTCCTCGCCGCCGGCCGCAAGCCCTACTACATCCCCGCAGGTGCCTCGGACCACCCCCTCGGCGGCCTCGGCTTCGCCCGCTGGGCCTTCGAGGTCGAGGCCCAAGAGAAGGAGCTCGGCGTCTTCTTCGACACCGTCATCGTCTGCGCCGTCACCGGCTCCACCATGGCCGGTATGGTCGCCGGCTTCAAACTCGCCCAGAAGAAGAACGGCTCGCCCAAGCGCCGCGTCGTCGGCATCGACGCCTCCGCCACCGTCAAGCAGACATTTGACCAGATTCTGCGCATCGCCAAGAACACGGCCGTCAAGATCGGCCTCGACGAGAGCGATATCACCGAGGACGACATCATCCTCGACGACCGCTTCCACGGCGGCATCTACGGCGTGCCCGACCAGGTGACCGTCGACGCTATCAAGTTCGGCGCCAGCACCGAGGGCTTCATCACCGACCCCGTCTACGAGGGCAAGAGCCTGGCGGGTATGATGCAGATGATCAAGAACGGCGAGATCCCCGCCGGGAGCAACGTACTATATGCCCACCTGGGCGGCCAGTTGGCGCTGAACGCCTACTCTGGCATGTAATGTGTAGATACGCTTGACGAAAAAAATGAAAATACCCTGTACAAGTTTCAACCATTTCTGTCGGTCCGGCAAGTACCGAGTGTTTCTCTCGCTGTCTGGTTTTCGGGTAAAGTTGGCCGCATCCACGGGTTACCAAACTCAACGTCGAAGTGCTGCCCGTCGTTGGCAACAGTTGGCCGGAAGCCAGCCCATGGGTCCATTTGTCCATCTGTCTGCCACTTTTCTCCGTCGTCAGCCTGCCATCGTGTATGAACCAAGTCCGGAACATTGTGCACCATACCTCCAAATCACAACCGACATCTACCATTATCCATATTCCGTTTATGATTCCTTCTATGCCTTCCTTCTCCAAAATCTATCCATCCCGATCCATGCCATTTAGTCCGTACGCCGACCGATCGAACGCCAGCGCAGCAACAACGCACATCCAGGGACCCAGCTTGATGTCGTTCATCTGGGACGTCGCATTCATCGCCATCGTCATCGTCCTCGTCAAGGAAGCCGTCCGCAAGATGACAAGCCCAAAAGACCCCGGCTTCGTCATGGGCACCAAGTCAAGCACAAGCCCCCAGGCCACCACCGCTTGGGGCTCCTACTGCACGTCTTCTCCCCCCCACAAGGATCTCGCGCGCTTCTTCTGTCCAAAAGACGCCCAAGCTGACTCGACGCAGACAAGGGCTCCCATGAGCAGTTCATCGGCATCAGCCGCGCCGCCTTCCTTCGGTTCCGCAAGAGGCAACAGGTCAGGGAGTACTACCAGCGTAGCGCCGTCGAGGCCAGCTTTGCGCGTCTCCTGCAGCCGGCGTCCTGGGGCCGATCCGAGAGGGAAGAAGAGCGGGATACGGCCGTCAGGTTCGCCGAGGTCATCGAGTACATCCCGCCGACGCAGACGCCCCTGGGGACGGAGGAGCAGCAGCCCTGTCATCCGTGCAGGACGGAACTCGGGAAGCCGACGGTCAACGAAGAAGCGGCCGGAACGGGGTCAGTTGAAGACGATGCAAAGTCTCTGGGGGTTACAGGCGATGACAGTCAGGGCGAGATCGTCAAGAAGATCTGGGGCGTTTTACGCCCAGAAGAGACGTAACGCGGATGTGCGTTTGGATAGTTGACTGAAAACAAAAGGTTTGCGTCGGATCATTGTATGGATTTCGGTTCTACCGAGAGCATGTAAAAATCCAATTTGGCAAAAACGTTGAACCTGGTCGCTGCACACGAAAAACCAGTATACTCGTTCCCTTCTGTTACACGTTCAGGCCGGCACGGTAGAAGAAATCCGATCTGTTCAAGGTCACTTCCCCGCGCCACTCATTGATTGTTGATCGCTGATCGCTGACTGCATGCCGACTCGTCTACCTTCATTTCCATCCCTTCAATCACACAAATCAGGCACCATCCATGATTCCCTCTAGCCCGCTTCCGGCGAATCTGTACCTCACAAGAGAGAGCACCAAGTCTGTTGTGACAGGACAGACCGATCAAAGACACGCTTATGCATGAGAGCTAATGAGGCATCATCCGCCCGGTGTGGTCACGTCCGCCATTGACCTCTCCGCCTCGTTCACAGTCACAGAAAACCCGACACCACGCGTCACCGTGTCAAAAATTCCCTGCACGAAATGAAAGTCTGTAAAACACGTCCTGGAAGGCCACGATGCAGACACCAGCCTCCGCGTGTGCCTCGGCGGCGATCCCCCCCCTCCCCTTGGCTATGCTGGAAGGGCTCAAATGCAGGCTTCGATCGCGGCCTATGCCGGATCCGGGCCACCGTGCGACTGCCTCGCTGCATCGTACCTACACTACTCTGCTTCGAGAGCATATCGCGATGACGGACCGGTGGTGTCTCCGAAGTGTGTATAAGCAAAGCCATAAACCTTCCCAGAGACGTACCGTGATTTCTGGACCAGCAAAGAACACGATGCCCGTCCACCGGAACTCGGCCCGTCGTCGTTTGCTTCAGGCCTCATCACGCGTATCAGGAGGGGACAAAACACCGGCATGTCTTTCCGCGATGACCTCTGGAGAAGCAACCTCGGTGCCGTTGACTGTTCTGGTGCCGAATGTGCGGCTTCTCGCGCTGCGAGCTCCAATGGCACGCCAGGGAGGGCGGTTGCCCCGAGTACTCGAGTACTGCCCTGTCTCATATAGGTACGTGCCTCCGGCAAGGGACGGCGACGACGTTTATTGCTACGTGCGTTCTCCCCGAGAACCATGGCCTTCGCGAAAAGCATTTCGGGAGGGGGGTTTCAATGGTGTCTTGGTCAAAGCCGGAAATCGGGGTCTGCGCCGCGTGCTCTGGCGGGGGTAGTCTATACCGAAGTCGCCATTGTAATTAGGTGTTTCATACCTGCGCGTATGTCGGCTTCGTAACTTGCTGTAGGGGGGAACGGACCCTTCTACAAGACGAACTGTAAGCACGACGGTGAGCTTACGACGAAGTAAGTGATTGGCACTCTGTACCCGCTTATGCAGTAGTTGGATGTGTGCTGACACTAAAGCTCATAGCCGCCTGGGTAGGTAGGCAAGGCAATAAGCCGTCCTGAAGAAAAACCAAGTTTGGTCAATAAGTCACTTGGCGCGGTTAGAAAGCGCCGCATCCGATAAGATATTGTTACATGGATCACGCAACCCAACGCCGGAGGCAGGGGGGGAGGCGCCTCCGGAGGCCCGTCGAGTCAGGGCACAACATCGTTCCGGCTCCGCAAGTCCGCAAATCCGTGGAACCAACCCCCCACTCCCCCCCCCCCCCGTTGATCAGTTTTGATGGGTACGTCGGTGGTTTTTTATTCCAGAAAAACCAGAGAGAGCGGACTCGGCAAGGACATATCGCAGCGGGTGATGGACGGGAGCTCGGGCAGCCCAATCAGATAAGATCTGATGGCTGAATGCGGGATGATAGACGAGCAGCCGGGCCGGCCCGCCGAGACCGATCGTACCATGGCGCAGAGGACCTGCGCCGAAAAACCTTATTTGGACGCCTTGTCCTGTCTCCTGCGAGGCGCACGCGAGCGGGCAGTCGGAAGGGCAAATCACCTCCCATTCTTCCTAGACGGGATAAGGAGGCCGCCGGATACCGTATCGTGGGGAGCCGGGCCGTCCGGGGGGTCCCGCTATCCGCTGCAGGAGGCCACGGCAGACACTGCGAGGCGGTGGGAAGCTCACCACGATCACCTTCGCCATAGGCCCCGAAATGTTGGAAAATCAGGGGCCGCCGAGACTTTTTTTTTTTTTTCTTCTTTCTTTTTTTCCCTTTCCTGTTGGGCAAGACAGGGGAGGGGGTGCTCGACCATCCCCGAGTCATGAGATTGTCCCAAACTCCCGGGACGGCCGGCCGGGGGGGATTAAAGGCGGGGATCGTCGGCTAAGATCCGACGACTGGGAACAAGGCAGTGGAGAGCCGGGAGAAATGATTGTACACACACGAGACGCATGCAGCATACATCCGGAAGGGCGGCCGAGTTGGTTATGGCGCCAGGTTGAGGTCAGCTTGACATCTGGTTTTTCCTGGTGGGGCAACCCGCGCGAGCTCTAGTCTCGTCCCTTTCAGTTTTGATGAACCTCGTGTCCTGCAACGGGGGGGAAACATGGTGACGGGAAGTTACGGGTGACGAAAAGGAGGAGGTCTTCCACAGAAGGGAAAGTGGTTGCGAAGGACGGGTAGTTCTTTGACAGTTGTACACTAACATGCTCTAGTCTTTTTTTTTCTTTTCTTTTTTTTTTCTTACGTTTTTTTTCCCTTACTTTTCCTCCGCCCCATGTAAGAGTTGTGCAGTTGATGCTGCTTTTTTTTTTTTCTTTTTTTTGGTAAAGATACACAAGGTACTGACCGTATGCCGCGCGCAGTCAAACAGGTGCTTTTTGTCATGAGTCGTGCCTCTAGAACCTCGCTGAGTGTATATGTATATATATAGATATATATATATGTAGATAGATAGACAGACATAGATATAAATGTAACAACAGACCAAGAATCTATCAAGAAAAAGAAGAGGAGGGAGAAGGGCGTCTGTTTTCCATCCAGACGGCGAGGTCGTCGAGCTCGCAGCTGCCGCACCGGAGCAGCAGCCGTTGCGTGTAGGGCACCTGCGCCTTGGCCGGCCCCGCCCCCGCCCCCGCGGTCGCGTCGTCTCCGGGGGAGACGGGGACGACGGGGACCAGGTCGGCGAAGCGCGGGTCGGCGGCGTAGTCCTTGACGCGCATCTCCTCGGGCGGCAGCGAGAAGAGGCCGGCGTTGTGGCGCGTGACCTCGTCGATGTTGACGTTGTGCTCCCGCTCGATCATGCGCTGGCCGACGAGGTGGAGGAGGAGGCGGCCGCGGGCCAGGACGCGCGGCGTGCGCTCGGTGGCGAGGGCCCGCACGATGCGCCAGGCCTCGTAGCGTATGTCGAGCCAGCGGCACTTGGCGATGACGAACTCGAGCAGCGGCAGGTAGCTCGTCGTGAAGTCGAAGTCGAACTCGGGCGGGTCGGGCGCGGCGGCGGCGGCGGCGGCGGCGGCGGCGGCGTCTGGGCAGCTGTCGAGGATCAGGCGGGCGAGGGTGACGATGCGCCTGAAGGGGTCCTTGAAGCAGTCGTAGACGGACTCGTCGTGGGAGCGGCAGACGCTGATGCAGATCTTGGCGGCCTGGTACTTCATCTCGGTCTCGGCGCAGATGAGGCCCCGGTGCGTCGGCAGCGGCGGGTCGGCCGGCCTCCCGGGCGCGTCGACGAAGGCGAGGAAGGCGGCGTGCCACCTGTCGAGGGAGGCGCAGATGCTCCTCTGCTCCTCGGACATGACGGGCCCCCTCGAGGCCAGGCGCGAGTCCGTCTGCGAGCCCGGGTCGGCCGACCGGATGTAGCGTATGGCGTCGAGTATGATGGGGTCCACGGCGCGCTTGGGCAGGTATATGCTGCTGCCGCTCTTGTCGAACGGCCCGAGGTTGTACCGCGGCCGGTGGCCGTGCTGGAGGCTGAGCGAGGGGAAGCCGGGTTTGTCGTAGAAGCACAGCTGGACGATGCTGAGGCGGTGGAACTTGGGCACGATCTCGTCCAGCGTCGCCTGGTCGACGTCGGCGTAGTCGACGTTGTTGAGGATGTTGATGCCGTTGGCGAGGTGCCGCATGGCCTCGTCGGGGCTGCCGCGCAGGAACTCGGCCGCTATGAAGAGTATGCAGCACGACAGCACCACGTCCACGTCGTTGCAGTGCGTCGTCGGCGGCTCCTCGTCGCCGTCGTCTTCTTGGCTCGGGGGGGACGCGAAGGGATTCGTCGGCCCCCGGCTGCTGCTCGAGCGGTCGGTCTCGGTCGGGTCCGGCACGCTGCCGTACACGCTCGGCGTGAGCGGGGCGGGGGAGTGCACGGCGGAGTACGACCCGGCGGCGGCCAGGCTCGGGGAAGACCGGCTGCTCAGAGAGGTCATGGAGAGGTTGCGGGGCCTGCTGGCGTCGTCGGCTCGGGGCGCGTCGTTGAAGCTCTGGCGATGCCGCTGCCGCCTCTCGTCTCTCTCGGGCGCGACTGTCCTCGCCATCAGCCGGAGCGCCTCGCTGTAGTGCGCTTCGGTCTGGGGGGTTCCGCCTTGGACGGGGTTATTACTCGACGATCGCAGGCGGGGGGGGGGGGAGAGGCTGCCGACAGCAGCCACGGCGTGGCGGACGGCGGGCTCCGACTTACTCATGCGCGGCACGGCCACGGTCCAGAACTGGTTCTCGAGGTTCTGCGGCAGCTTGGGTGCGACGTCGCGGGCGAGGTATTCCAGCGTGGCCTTCTCGGAGCCGCCGCCGGCCATGCTGGCGCGGGCCTGGGCAAGGGCTTCCCTGAGTCGCGTCGTGCGTGACCGGGCCCGGGCGATGGCGCGGTTGCTGGGGACCACGACGGCGTAGCCCTCGCAGCGGCGCCCCGTGCCGGTGCACCGAGCGCAGGCCGGCTTTGCTTCGTCGCATTTCACCTTGCGCGACCTGCGTGACAAGAGGCAGTTAGTTTTTTCTGGGGGGGGGGGGGGGGAGGAGAGGAGGAGGAGGATGAGGAGGAGGGTGGTGGTGGTGGTGGTGCTGTTTGTGGTAGGAATCGGGGCGGGGGACCGAGGTTCGGCGACGGCTTGGTCACACACACGGAGGGCGCCGTCCGAGTTCGTCCCGTCTCGTCTTAACAAAACCGCCGGCTCGGCAGAGTTGTCGATTGGACCTCGTCGCATGATGCATCAACGCATCCGAGTCGAGCTCAAGAACACCGGAAGATGAAAAAAAAAAAAAAAACAGAAAAAACAGAAAGAAAAAAAACCACACGATACGGACAGTGAGAAGGGGCGGGAAGAGACGCAGTGTCCATCACTCACTTGCAGGTCAAGCACCCGGTCCGAACCTTGGGCTGGCCCTTCCGTGTCATTATGGCTTTTCTCCGGGCCGACGAAGGGCTGGCTTCCCGACTATACCGAAAAGGGGGGGGGTGAGAAAAAGAAAAGAAAATAATAGAAAAAAAAGAAAATAAAAAAAACCAAGGTCCCCCCCCAAAGTACCGCAAAACTAGGGGGAACGCCAGCGGCCGGCAAGACTTTGGGCTGTGTTTGCCAAACAAATCAGGGGACCAAGACGGCGGGATCGGCTTAGGGAGGAGGAGGAGGCTTCTTCTGGCTGGATTCCAGAAAGGAAGGGAGAGAGAAAAAAGAGGGTAGGTTGTGTTTCAATCTTCGGAGGGGTAAGAAAATTGGCGGCGCCGTGTGAGGCAAACACAGATAGACAGACAGACAAGCCATCGACGGCCGAGAGGCTGTGTCTTTGTGTGTGTATGTATGAGCGTGAGAGAGTGTATGTGTATGTGTGTGTGTGTGTGTGTGTATGTGTGTGGGTGGGTGGGTGTGAGTGAGGGTGTGAGTGAGGGTGTGGCGGGATGGGATGGATGGGCTGAGTGAGTTCTTTTCTCGAATTAGTCCGGCTGCGTGCGATACGGTACGGTGCGTTGCGGTGCGTTGCGTTGCGTTGCGCGGTTTGTCACTTCCCGCCTCCCTGCATTCTGTCCCCCTCCTCAATTTGGGGGCCGCAGTGCCCAACTAACCAACCGGCCGCGCCTCGGTACCGAATGGATTCCTGGTCCCCTGCAGTTGTCGCCTGAGAGGGCCTTGCTCTCTCTGGGCGGCACTAATTTGTGGTGACCTAGGGATACTTGGCGAACGGGGACCGGGGGTGTGGGTGTAGTCTGGTCAAGCAAGATAAGATAGTGTGTGTGTGTGTGTGTGTAGAGAGGAGAGAGAGAGACAGAGAGAGACAGAGAGAGAGTGAGAGAGAGTGAGAGAGAGAGAGAAACGAGCAGCGAGCGGGTGGTGGAAGGATTTCCGTCGCAACTAGTTCGTTTGTTGGACATGACTGGATGGAGAAACCATTAGTTACATAGCTACGAATACATCGTGGTCCGGGTTGGGCGGGAGGCCGTAGTGTATCATGTCCCGTTTCCGTCTTTCTCTCTCACAATGCGTCCAAAGGCACACAATACCACAACTACTATCCGTACATTGTACCTCGACGTAACCCTCCTTCTTCCCCATGTCCCAAGCGCCGCCGTGGCCAGACTTGCCAGTTCAGACCAGACCATTTGGTTGTCCCGAGCTAAACTGCCAGGGCTCGGATACTGACATTTGACACTTTAGCGTCCGGGTTCCTAGATTCTGGAGGCCCTGTCGAGGTCGGCCGCTTCTCGTCGAGTATGTATAATGTATGCCAACGGCCGGCCAATGACATTGCCTGGACCGAGACAATCGAAGGGATACGAACGGGGACGATGCCATGCATTCGCGGATTCACCCATCCGGCGCTGTGCCAGCGAACTATTTTGCGAAGACACGTTTCCCAGCACTCTCATGGGTCCCGCCAAGAGAAACGGGGCGGCGGCGGCAGATGCCTAAGCCTTGATTGACCCTTGCAAGCAAGGCAAGCAAGCCGAACTAAACAGGCTCGTCCTCGCCCAGATCAATAACATGTCCGGATTTGATATCAAATGTTACTGCAATCGATAGGTGGCCCGGCACGAACCGAGGAAGAGGCGGGTGTCTCACTGCAAAACGCATCTGATCACGATGCTTCGCACATAACATGGCTTGCATGAGACGAGGGGCTGACAGGAGCACTGTCTGTCTGTCTGTCTGTCTGTACACAGACACGATCTGCTTTGCTTTGCTCCCCTAAACCAAACAACAAGTGCCCGATTCGGTCAAGAACCCGAGGCGTCGGCAGTGCTTTTGTGCCAAACGGCCTGGAACCAGGTTTTCTGTCAGATTTGCCGCCAATAAATCCATAAAAAAAGATAGGGAAGAACAAAAAAGAATCTAAAATGAAACCCCCCCAAGGCTTACTCGGAAGGTCCCGGCTGCTCGAGTCTGCTCAAGCAGACAAAATTTTAGCAATGGCGAGGGAGCGAGATTGCGCTGAGAGGACGCTAAACAAGGGTTGTATCATGTATGTAGAGAGAGAGAGAGAGAGAGAGAGAGAGAGAATAGGAATTTGACAATAACGAGATGCACAATCCAGCATTTCGTTTCTGGGAATAAAAGTAAAATAAAATAAAACAAAAAACCCAAATGACACCGGGTGGGGGATGGGCTCACTTATACAGCGCACACACAGCAGTCGGGCGTCATTGAGAAACTCTCGACGTCGCCGACGAGCGCCGGCATGATGGCGTAGAAAACAGCGCCAAAGCGGACAACGCTCCCCCGCTACTTGGCCATCTCGCTTTCAACGAGGAACTAGACGTTGTGTTGCCGTCTTGTTTAGGAAGATCGTGCAGATTCCGGCGTATCCAGTACAAGTAGTAGTGTAACGGAATCCAGACTACATACAAGACCCGCCTTGCTAGCTCAATCGGTAGAGCGTGAGACTCTTAATCTCAAGGTTGCGGGTTCGACCCCCGCGTGAGGCTCAAATCCTCACCGCGATTGATCCAATCATTCTCACGGGTTATTGACTTTTTTTTTTCTTTTTTTCTTCTTTTTGGTGCTTCTTCTTTCTTTTTTCTTCTTTTCTTCTTCGCCCCCTTCTCCCCTCTTCTATCTTTGGATACGATTCGACCGCCAACTCCATGCCTACACTACTAGGTCTGCTCACACCTACATGCATGGCCAATCAAAACCCATAGTACGTGGTTGAGACACAGGGCCTTTTTTTTGTAGTGCATTGTGAAGTGACCTCGAACTATCAATGCGTCTCCCCTCTTCGACTCTTCGTTGGGTTATCCTTATTGGTGTGTGACCAGACTCTTGACCTAGTATTGTGTGTAGCAAATAAACACGAAGCCATCAAGGCTCGGTTTTCCTCAAACATTGTATTGTATGTATGTATGCCTTTGAATGGCCGTTTCATGCAGATTCTATTCAAATCCGTCCATCACACCATGTTCTTTGGGTCCCTCTCGTACTACGCCGCACTGCTACAAACGAGTAAGCTATCTTCGGCTTCAAAGAGCCGTCCTTTGTCCCTGGTGCCGTCAGGTCGTGCAAGTGTAGCTATCCTGCATCCACATCTGAGCAATTCATCAGCTGTCGGCTCATGGGGCTGCTGGTTTCCTTCTGATGGCAGTGCTCGTAAAAGTCTCAAGCATGTTGCCAAAAGCCGCATCGGGCCCAAATGCCGAGATGAAGCAGCACACAGCCCGATTTGACTTTCTGTGAACACGCGCGTACTTGAGACCCATGCCGGCATCGACTGTTTGAACCTCGCAAACTTCTCACATCGGACGAGTCAACCTTTTCCGCCCTGCCAAAGGAAACCTTGGTTATTCATTCGCCGGTTCCAGCCGAGCCTCCCAATGGTATCGTATCAGGAGGCTCAGAAGAAGAGGGCCAAAAGGGGGCTCGACGGCTTACCCGCGGAGATCCTCGTCGAGGTGTGCCGCCACCTCGTCCGCCCGATGCAAAGCAAACCCCACGGCCACGGTCCCAGGATGAGGCCCTCGACCGACGATGCCCTTGCGTGCCGGGCCGCTCTGGCACGGCTGATGAGGACCTGTCGCAACCTGCACGACGTGGCGGGCTGCGTGCTCTACTCGGGCTACTACCAGCTCTGGCACCCTTCCGACGCCTATCGCTTCCTCAAATCCCTCGACCCCCACACGAACGAACCCTATTACGAGAACCCCTACGCCAGGCACCTGTCTCCGGACGACACTCGGCGCCAGCTCGTGCGCCACGTCGACGTTCATGGCAACGTGGATAGGCGAACCCTTTCCGGGGCCCCGTGGACGGACGAGCAGGCGGCGAGTGCCCACCGCACATGGATCGAAGAAATGGCTGCGGCGATCGCAATGCCCTTGCCGGAAGGCTGGGACAAGCCTCGCCTCGAAGGCGAGAAAGAGCCGCGGGATCACGCCGCGGAACACATCAACCAGCTTCTGCTGCGCTACCTTTCCGACCTGACGAGCCTCAAGATGACGCTCGTCTTCAACTGGACGTTCGACGTGCTCGAGAAGTGGATGGCCGAACAGAAGAAAGACGAGCACGCGGGCCCCTTCCGGAACCTCCGACGCCTAAAGCTGCATCTGCGGTCCCTCCAGGCTCGGAGCTTCAACTGCCTCAAGCTGGTGATGGGCAACGCGCCCTACCTGGCCACGTTGGAAATCTACGACACGGCCTCGTACAGGCCCCCGCGGCACTGCCGTCTCGAGGCCCTGCGAGATCTCAAGTTTGTCAAGAGCTCGATGGACCGGGGCGCTATGAAACTGACCCTCCAGGCCGCGCCCAACATCACTCACTTCGAGTACCACCACTCGGCCAAGGGTGTGATCGCCGATAGGCAGCCACCCCTGACGCCGCAAATGCTGTGCCACCTTCTGAGCAACGAGTACGAGCTGACGCTGCCCCCTCCGCTGGACGCCAAAGGCCGTCTCGTCAAGGCCGCGCTGCCAGACCTCCACCGCCAGCTGCGCACTCTGATTGTGGACTTCCCCGTCCGCGAGGGCACGGAGCCCTGGGGGGATGGGGAGGCCATCCGCAGCCTGCAGCACTTTGCGAAGCTGCGCCGTCTGAGCATCGACGTCGACAGCATCGCGTGCGAGGCCCACGGGAAGCAGACCCGGACGATCGACACCGCTCTGGAAACCTTGATCCCGGAGACCCTCGAGCACCTGGAGATAACGAGAGTGGGAGGCAGTCTCCGAGAGCTTTCTAGGACATGCTTGCCGAGCCTGGCGGGGGCGGTGAGGCGAGGACGCTTCGATAGGCTGGAGCGCGTCAGTCTCACTGGCTGCTCGGGCTCCAAAGATGCCATGCTTGAGACTCGGTTGCTTCTTCAGGACATGTTTGGGCGGCAACAGAAGCCCGGAATCTCGGTCACTGGCCATGCTGAATAGCTCTTCGGGCACTGTTTCCGCTTAGGGGATGGCGGGGGAGTGATTTCTTTCTTGCGTCACCGTCTCCGGGTGTCTTGATAGAAACGACGTTATTGGTTGAAGGAACGCCCGAGAGAAAGGAACACTGCACTTTGCAAAGTGAATTCTGACTATACCTAAGCATTCCAGGACTGAAAGAGACAGAGAGAAAGGTGTTGGGGGAGGGGGCTGGGCGGGAGGACTAACGTTGACTGTAAAAGCGGGCTTGTAGTACCAGTAAGACCATGTGTGATAGATAGCAAGCCTAGCCGCAATAAACCAAGTAGCACCTCTGTTTCCCTCCAAAGCATCTCCAAATGGCGTGTTTTACACTACAGTCTTGGATTTGGATGACATTGGCCGCAGATGGCGAAAACATGCCAGAGCCTGATGACAACTTTTGATGGGAAACAAATCCATTTTCCTTCACCCCTCCCCCCCCCCCCAAAAAAGCCGATGGTGTTATAGCGACTATAAACATTCAACATAAACAGCAAGACAGTTGCCTCCCGGAGAGACGCGGGACCAAATGCAAACGGGTCGAGTTTGATGTGCTTAGACCTGCTAGCTGCGCAAGTCCCTTTCTTCTAGAAGAAAATGTACAACCTTGGGGAGATGTGCAAAATACTCCTTGATGCGCCAGAGGGGTTCTCCAAGGCTGATAGGACGTGTTCTAGACACTTGAATGTACCTTCAACGGGTACGAGATCGGGACTAGCGGGCACCCCCTCCCGTGCGCCGTACTGAGATACTAGGGTACATATACAAGGCGTCCCCCCCTTTCTTAGGGTTCCCGTGTGCCTTACGGCCGTAGGGCATCATTGTTATAGCAAAAGTGTGGTTCAAAACTCTCCAAGGCCTCGGGCTTTCTTGCTTCTAAGTTCCTGGTTTATCTGGGCGCCAACCAGTCGATCCGGCCTGTGGAGGGCAAGGAGGTTCCCGAATCCGGAAGGCCACCGTTGCGTTCAAACGCCGAGACACACAAAAAGACTACAATCACCGGGGACAGTCGGCTATTATTGGCGTGTTTGAGAAGGACAGGCAGGACCTGCTGGGGGTTTCGCGTTGTGAAAAGTGACGATGCGCGCGCCGGTGCACCCACCACAGCCGTACGAGCTGAACCAGCGGTTGAAGCTGCACAGCCTGCCCGGGTCTGTCTGGTTTTCTCTCCATGGCACCACATCCGAAAGCCACTATACATGGGCAAAGATGCCTTGGGTAGATTGTAGACCGGCATCTGCTCGGACTAGTGGCTCCTAGCGCGTCGTTTCCAGTGTGATATTGGAGTGGCCTGGCGGTTCTGCCCCCTCCCCCCACATGATTGACAAATACCAGGGCCGGTTGCCATATCGTCGCCGAAGCACTACGGAGTACAAATACTATGGATTCAGAAGCCCCCCCCCTTTCCCCTTATTAGATAGCAATAAGCAGGCATAGACCCTGTTGCTCTTGCACTTTTCCGCCTGGGGACTTACTATGTATAGACAGGATATGTATAGACGGGACTTTGTGCTGTACCAGATGCCGAGCCGTAGCTTGCTACGCGGCGGCAGTAGTACGGGAACAACGGGCCCTGTGTTTTGTAACGCAAGGTGCCCCCCCTCGTTCGTCGACTGGCAATAGGACGATACAAGGGAAGAAGAGAACCCGAGGGGGAAGGCTGGCGACGACTTATGTAACGGATTCCCGTATTTGGTCGCGTTGCGGCGGCGACATGGGGCCTTTACGGACTTTACTCCGGGGATCCAAGTCCAACCTTTTACGCGTGAGTGCGGCTCGTCAGCCAAAAGCTCATGCTGTGCATAATAGATGTAGCAGTAAATCCAGGTGCTCAGGTTTATGCTCTTGGAAAAACCAGGTACTCCTATTGTTTTCGGCCCGATAACCTGCACAGCAACTACGTCCGGTGGGCAATGTGACTTATCATTTAAATCGCCGAATCTTGCCATACGCGCGCGCGCCCTACCAAGTAAGCAGTATGTATAATGTACTGGGCCAGCTTAAAGATTTCTCCAAAACATGCAAGGGGCGGAGCGGAAGGAACCCTATTCTGATCTCCTCTTTATATTGAGGCACGAATATGCTGCATGTTGCGTGTGATGTTCTTGTTCGGTGGCGCTATAGAGGGGGTATTGCAGTCTAATTCCAAGGTTCGAGTCATTCACGCCCGCTCAATGAACATGAAATGGCCGGTAACATCTGGTGTCAAAGAACGTACCGGAATATGGGCTGCAGGTAGAATCATCAGTTCGTATCAACGCACAACTCGGACCACAGGGCAAGTGTCACTTGCTTTGGCCTTGTCGGTCACGTCCTCGAACCCCAGCACCTCGCCCTCCCTTTGCATGTCCGCAATCTCCCCCTCGGACTTGCCCTCGAGCAGCTTGTCCCGCCTCTTGTTCTCCGCCGCGTAGATGAGCCTGAGGACCTGGTTGAGGACGAGGTTCACAATGAAACCGCACAGCATGGCCACGATGCCGTCGCGGTAGGCGGGGGCTTCCGTGCTTTTGAAGAACTGGGGGCCCGCGATCTGCCCGGCGCAGTAGCACACAAACACCCGGCCCGAGGCGACCGACCTCTTCGTGCCCCCGGCAACGTTGGTCGACAGGAGACCGAGGATGGCCATGAAGCCGACTGGGTACGACCCCGGAAGCTACACGCCGGCGAGACGACCCCATTTGTTGTCCAGGTGGAGCTGGTTGATCAGCAGCGTGCCAATGATCTGGGTTACGAGGCGTTAGCAAATCATGATGAGAAAAAAAAAAGGAAAAAAAAAAAAAAAAAAGAGAGAGAGAGACCGCGTCGGGGCAAAAGGTCCGTACCGGCGGAACCATAGCGGCCGTAGCAATATGCAGCCTCGAGCCCGGAATCTTGCTCGTCAAGAAGCCGGCACCGAGCTGCGCGACGACCTGGACCGCGGAAAGCGGCAGGTTCATCAGCGTCGTCTGCAGAGGGTTCGAACCCGAAGCCCTGGACGATCAACGACCCGAAAGCCGGCCCGCCCCGACGCGATGGCGTTGACGAAGGAGACGAGCCCCAGGATGACGACCGCCGGGCCCCCCCCCCCGGCCGCCTCGACGACTTGCGCCGCCGCGAAGTCCTTGCTCCGGCCCGTGCCCGTCTTGTTCTCGGCGAACCCTCTGGACGGCGACGACCTTTTCCTGCTCCGTCAGCCACTTCACCCGGGCCGGACCGTCGGGCACGAAGAGGGCGAAGAACGACGCCCCAGACGACGGTGACGGCGCCGAGGACGAGGAAGATGTGCTTCCACGGGCGAGAACGAGCCGCGGACGTGGCCGATGCCGTACGCCAGCAGCGTGCCGACGAAGCTGCCGACCCCCGAGGAACGAGACCCAGTGTAAGGGAATAAGTGGGAACTTCCCTTAATAAGTGTATGTGTGGTGCAATGCTGGCACTTTGTGCCAACATTGGTTGATCTTTTGGGCATTTGCCTGAATGGTCTATGGACGGGCTCAGTGCACCACCTGAGTTCCCTGACACCCGGAGCGGCGAGCGGGCCCGCCTGCTCCCGGCGCGTCCACCACATTGCCCGTGACGGCCACGAACCCGGGGGATACGGTCGCCTCGGCGGCGCCGAGGAGGAAGCGGACCGAGGCCAGCCCGGCGAAAGGAGCCGCACGCCGCCGTCGTCATGAGGACGGCGCGCCCCGGAGCACGATGTTGGCGCCGGGGAACTTTGCCGCGGGGAAGCGCTGCGGCACGGCGACGCCGGGGTACTCGGCGAACAGGTAGCCCGAGTAGAAGATGCTGCTCGTCCAGCCGTACTGCTGGCCGACGAGCCGGGTGTCGGGGACGATGCCGTAGACGGAGCTGTGACCCCAGCGACGTCTTGTCGACGAACTGGAGGGCGTAGGTGACGCACAGGAACGGGAGGATCCGCCTGTCCAGCTTCTTCAGGACCGAGCGCGCCGGCCTCGTCGGCGATGTAGTGCTTCGAGACGGGGTGGTCATCCTCGGCGGGGTTGATGTCCGAGTGAACCCGCTTCTCCGGATCCGGGCCCGGGGCTTCGGTGAGTGCCATTTCGGGAATGAGTCAACAGACTGGGGAAGTGTCCGGTTGGGGGGGGGGCTCGGTTCTGGAGAGACTCCTCACTTGCATGAACGCACGTCGAGCACGTCTTTCGACCCGAGTTCCTGGGACCCTCGACTCCTTTATCAACACACCACGTTCTGCCGTAGGAGCAGTGTGGGTCATGGTTATCGGGGGACACCCGACCATCGGCAACCGGATGGATGTATCCAGTGTTCGTCTTATCTCGCGCTGTTCCTCCTTCCAGACCCCACCGCTCCCAGCTCACAAGTGTGCATCATCTATTGGGCTGAGTTCTATCAATCAATGATATATCGCGGAGGGAAAGGGTTCCTTTGTAACGAACATCACCGGAACCCCAGCTTGTGTCTTGCAACCGTCTTATACAACGCCTGATGAGTACCTGGGCTTGGACATTTCGCCATGACAAACTTCACGTGCTCACTTCCTGCTCGAAAAAGGCCATCATCTATTCCTCAACTCTCTCCGGCGAAGTTCGGCCGGTGCCCTCAGATACCGTTGACAGGGGATCGGCGGGGTGATAACGGGTAGATATCTCCCCCCCCCCTGCGGGGGAAACCGACCACTTCCGTCCAACAAGTCGCCGCCCTAAGCCGTTGCACAATTCGATTTGCATAAACGGGCCCCAATTCCACCAGAGAGAAAGCTCGTTGGGCCAAAGCAGCTAAGCGGCCTTGGCAAAAACTATTGGTTGTTGGCCGCATCTCGAGGAACCTCGTGGCTTCATCGCCATCTCCGTCCCAACCTCACACCCGCCAAAGTCGTCCCCCCCCTGCATCAATTCTCGAGTCTCACCGTTCTTTGATATAACATACCCTAGGCCAACTCCAAATCTAGTAGGTAGACCATTGTTTCGCTCGTCGTTTTTCTTCTTCTTCTTCTGTCGGACCCCATCCCTAACCCCCCATCAGCTCCTCTGCTGCAATGGCCAAGCGAAAGACGGCCCCCGTGGCCTCCTCGTCAAAGGCCGGCGACGACGGTACCGCTCCGGCAACACAGCAGCCGCAGCAGCAGCAGGCCGGGAACGACCGTCCGACGACGCAGCTCGGGCGGGCGGCCGCCTTTCTCGTGCCCCCCGCCTGGATGCGCAGGATCGTCTTCGCGGCCGTCCTCATCTACCTCACGCCCATGCTTCTCGCGCACTGGATCGAGACGTCGACGAAGCTCACCAGGCTCTTCCGGTCCTTCGCCTCGGGGAGGTGATTTTTCCTCTCTTTCTTTGTCTTGGTTTGCGGCGCGCCGTGATCAGGAAACTGGATTGAAGGTCGGCGGGGTTCTTGTCAGTTTCCCGGCTGGGTGGTTCGCTGTTTTTTTTTGCGACGCGTTACAATGTATGTTACACACAGGCGAGGCTTGAATACGGAGCTTCGATGTTGAGTTATCATTACGAGAGGGCGCATACGAAAAGTTACAGGTCGTATGCCTGAGTAGAATCAAAAGTTGGAGGGGATACCTATTTCTCGGAACTTCAGACCGCTCTATTATATTGAAGACAACGAGCCTACAATCAGCCGAACTCTGCTGGCCCCGTCACATTACCATCTCACTGAGGAATTCGAGATGTACTGCCTCGGGTTTGTTGTGGATTATGCCCTCAGCTTCTTCTTCTTCTTCTTCGTTGTCTCCATATGTGCCGATCCGCCTCCAGCCATGCTCTCCGACCGCCTCCGCCGGGCTCGGCCCCTTTTTCTTGCGGCCGTCCTCGCCCGAGTCGCAGGACCCGTCGTCGTACGAACCTTTGTCGGAGTTCTCCTTACCTTTGATCTCGTCCAGCAACTTGATTATCTCTCCCGAGAGGCTCAGCATCATTGACTCCTCTAACAGGCCAAAATCGTGCGTCTTGACCAGTTTTCCCTTCGTTCTGTCTCCCTTAACCTGCCGAGACACGTGTCGCTTGACGAGACTCCATCGTCTCCTCCCAGACCGCCAGCCGCCGGGCTTTTTTTTTTTTTTTTTTCTCTCGCTTGGACAGCCTGATCGTCTACCTCCGAAGCGGGAGACTGGCGATCCCGGCCAACTCAAAGGGTTACGGAATGTCCCGCTGTGGTCGTATGGAGGCCGGGGATAAGGTCAGCCGAAGCTTTGAGCGCCGAGTGTTTCTCCAACCCGTAGAGCGCCAGCGGCGTGGCGCCTTTTGTCCGGTCAGGCTTGCAATCCGTCAACAAGTAATGATCCATTGACTGATCCGGGTCGCAATCAGCTTTCTGTGCCGGTGCCATGCACTTGGCGAACAATTCGTCGGCTCTCCTGGTTTTGGCCCCGCCCCAAGGCGCGGACATCGTCCTCCCACTTTCGGGACATGACCTCGTAGCCGCTCTGCAGGCCCTGCTGCGTTTCATGCGACTGCTTCGGGGACGGGGACGAAAGCGCACCGGTTTCGGCAATCAGCCGCCATCTCCCTAACGAGGCACACACTCACCCGGCAGCCCGTCGATGGAGCAGCGACGCGCTACTTACCGTTCCAGAATCGACAGCTCTCTCGAAATCTCACTAAGCCGACCCTTTTGCGGCCTTTACAGGGAATCGGATTCCGTAGCGCGTTGACTGAGCGGCGAACCAGGGCTTTGTGAACAGCAGGCATGCTTCTTCCATGGTTCTCTCTTGGTCCCGCCTCGAACGGGAGAGCTCTGGGTGTAACAGCTTCGCCAGCCTCTGTTCCCTTGGCCGTGAGCCGCCGATCTTGGCCCAGTTGAAACTATTCACGCTCAAGAACCGGTGGCTCGGGGCGCCCGTCGGCACTCGTCATCTCTTCCTACGATACAAAATCAGACAAACGTGGAAGATTCACAAGTATGGATGTTGGACCGCGGCGGGAGTCCTCAATCAAAGCGATTTCGTTCCTTCACGCGAGGAGACGAGGTCTCACTTGAACAAACGCTGAGTAGTTTCACACACTAAGATACTTATATAAGACAGTCACCTCTTGAGGTCGCGCAGTTACGCAACATTAACTGTGCACGCAGAGACATTCAACCACAGTAATTCAACCACAGTAGAGATACGACGCCCAGTGCTCAATGCAATATAAAATTAAGAAGAGGTAATATAAACATATCAAGGTACCTACCACATTGACTACTAGAGTCTGCTTCTAATCATAGAGGTCAAGAGTACGTCTTGAGACGAAAGTACTCTCAACCCGACGTTGGCCGGCTGGGTCGAACTGCCTTGTCATTTCGCACACCCATGCCCAGGTTGTATTCCAGCGGTTCACAGCTTGGATCGTGTGGAATGAGAAGCAAGACATGGATATGGCAAACCATCGTATCATTTTTTTCCACACGTTTCAAGAGTCAGGCGCCATTCTCTTTGTGTCCCCTTGCCTTGATCGCGCCGCTCATCTCAGCTCGGCTCGGGAGATAAGCATCGCGGGCTTTTATCTTATGCCAAACCAAAGAAAGTTATGCTCTCGGCACATCCCGGTGTCTAACACGGCGGGCGCGCTAACCGAAACGGGAAACCGCCAATCACCACACCCGCGGCGCCGGGAGAGATAACCGGGCCGGTGGTCGGGGCCACGCCGCTCGGAACCGTCTCATCATCCAAAGCTCACCACACTATATGCGGGGGAAGATGGGGGGGGGGACCCTCTGTGAACCTTCACTTCTCACGTTACGTCGCCTCCTAGCTGGCCTCACTCAAAGAACTGATGCAAGCTCACTGAGCCTCATTCGATTAGAAACCCGCATCCAGTTCTCCCCCCTCGTCGCGTCCGCCGCCTCCCATAACGCCGGCCCTCACACACACTCTCTCTCTCCATCTCACATCTTCCAAGTCTCAAATCAACCTCACAATGAACCCCACGGAAGACGACGTCGACGACTTCGTCCTCGTCTCCCACGCCGACGTCCACCCCTACCCCCCGGCGGGACCCTCCTCCTCGCCCGAATACCTCGACGAGATCTCCGCCATCGTCGACGACCTCGCCGAGAGCCTGTGGCCCGTCAACAAGACGATCCACGACAACCCGGAGCTCGGCTACCACGAGGTCGTCGCCCACGACGCCCTCACGACCTTCATGCGCGCCCAGCCCGGCTGGAAGGTCACGCCCTCGGCGTACGGCATGGAGACGGCGTGGGTCGCCGTGTGGGACAGCGGCAAGAAAGGGCCCGTCGTCTCGTTCAACGCCGAGATGGGTGAGTCCCCCCCCCCCCCCATTCCCCCCTAGACCCCACGGAGAAAGGGGGGAAAAGCTGACCAAAAACACAAAACAAGACTGCCTCCCCGGCATTGGCCACGCCTGCGGCCACAACCTCATCGCGACGGCCTCCCTCGCCGGGGCCCTCGCCGCCGCCACCCTCCTCGCGCGCCACCGCCTCCCCGGCAAGGTCGTCCTCTTCGGCACCCCCGCCGAGGAGGGCGGCGGCGGCAAGATCCGGCTGCTCCGCGCCGGCGCCTACGCCGAGCACGCCGTCGACCTCAGCCTCATCTCCCACCCGGGCATCGTGGCCAACACGGCCATCATGCGCACCTCGGCCTACGCCGCCTTCCGCGCCGAGTACTTCGGCCGCGAGGCCCACGCCGCCGCGAACCCCTGGCTCGGCGTCAACGCCCTCGACGCCCTCGTCACGGCCTACAACGCCGTCTCCGTCCTGCGCCAGCAGACCATGCCCGGCGACGTCGTCCAGGGCCACATCACCCACGGCGGCGCCCGCCCCAACATCATCCACGCCTACGCCGCCGGCAACTTCGTCGTCCGCGCCGACACCCGCGCCCGCCTCGCCGAGCTGCGCGCCAAGGTCGACCGCTGCTTCGCCGCCGGCGCCGAGGCCGCCGGCGCCGCCCTGCGCACCACCCCCACCATGGCCTACATGGACCACGTCCCCAACCGCGTCCTCGCCCGCTCGTACGTGCGCCACTTCAACGCCCTCGTGCCGGACGGCGACGCCGCCGCCGCCATCCCCCGGGACCAGGACATCGACGAGATCCGCGGCCGCACGATGGCGAGCACCGACCAGGGCGACGTGAGC